CCACCATCCACCATCCACCATCCACCATCCACAAGACTCCAAAACCCAAATAGCCAAAATAAATAAAATCTCATTAACAAAACTTCAAGATTCTCTCCCTCTCCTCTCTTCCTCCCCTCTCCCCCCTCTCCCTCATGAATCCTCTCCCTCCTCCTTCTCTATTTTGTCCATCCATCCCATCCATCCATCCCACCCATCCCATCCATATTCCCCATCACATTATACTTATTTCTTGCCTCGCCTCACATCCATCGTATCACATCTCATCACAATACCATTATATCCCATCACATTCCCTGCCTTCTTCCCTACTTAATTTCTCTTCTCCAACCTATCCTGATCTACTCAAAAATCAATACACACCTACTACTTCAAAATTTCACCGTTGAGTTACTAAGTATTATCTAATTAGACTAGAAAGCAACCAAAAAGTGACAAGACAACACAAACACAGATAAATAAATGTAGACTTTCATAAATTATAAAATCTTATATAGATTAACGAATCCTAGAAATAATTTGATTTGATTTAATCCCATCTCATCTAATCCAATCAATCAATTATGATCAGATCAAATTTCAAATTAAACTACCTAAGTAGATAAAATAAAGTTGAGAGAATCACCAAATCTCAATGATAACAATAGAGACACACCAAAAACAATAAGCCCGCCCCCCAAAAATCTTCACCCTATCCTGCCTAACCCCACTTCACCAATAATATGGTGAGAACGCCCGCCATCCCCAAAGTAATCATGAAAATATCATGATATGTAGGACATCTGAACGCCGATACTCGATGTAATAATTGGGGTAAGAAAATTGGGTTGGTTCCTTTTAGAATAGGATGATTGAAATAAATGAGTAGAACAAATCATCTTGATGGATAAAAGATGATTTTATGAAGTAGAACCTGGCTGTATTGTAGCATATTCGTATCGAATATCCCGATGTTCCATTTCCGTTGGTCTTTCTGCCTCTCGTCTTACGATATCGACTGTAGTGAGAACACTTTGACTTTCAAGCCTTGGTGATACACGAAGATGTGAGTTGGTGCTTAGATGGTAATCAGTAAAGGTATTTGGTCGACTGCGTGTTCTATCGATTGTCTCAAATAACATATTTGAATTCGATCCTCTGGAAAGATTGGTGAATTGACCTGAAGGTGGAGCATTGACTTGTGATCCACTAGGAGTTGGTCGAGTACCCACGACATTGGCATCCGGATTCAATTCAGCACTTGAGATATCAATGTTTCCTCTCTCAACTGCATCCTTTAACCATTGTTCCCATTCTTCATCCATTGGTGCAGTTAAATTTCCTGCTTCTCTTTGAGCAGCAGCAGCTCTCAACCTCTCGTTCAATGCCGTTCCCACGCTTGTAATTTCACTATCACTCTCTCCATCATCTTCCTCTCTTTCATTCTCCTCCAATTCTCCATCATCTTCCAATTCTTCTTCTTCTTCTCCTTTATCCGATGACACTACAGGTCGCACACTCACAGGCCTTAATTCCGGCGATACCCAATCCTCAATTCCATCACCAGTTGTATCCCTAATAATAATTCCTTGTTCCTTCTCAAATCTCTCCTTTGCCCAACGTGTACCTTCCCATTTTGTCAAGGTCGCAATTTCATAGTTCGTAAGTTTCAGGTTATCAAAGGCTCGAAATAGTCGTCTGTGCCATGGAAATCTCGATAGTCGAACCCGATGCGGTGGATATGAATAATCTAAGCCGGGGTACTTTGCTTCCTGCGAAGTTAAGTGACCATAGAATGCTTGAGTTTCGTGACGAACTTCCGGCACAAGACTTCGCTGGAGAAAGGCTTGAAAACTTTGAGGATCGCCTGTTTTTGGTTTTGGAAACATGCACTCGTAAACGAGCTGATCAATCGGGCGGCCCTTCATGATAGCTGAGGATGCGATTGTACGTTAAAAGTAAGATTGAGTTTTATGGCGAGGCAGGCCTTAACAATTGACCGTGGCAGTGTTCGAGCTGATAAAAAGGCGTGATTGTAAAAGCTTTAAATACTGGGAATATCCTTTGAAGGATGATTAGGCACTGAAGGATTGAGTTTCGACTTTCTCTTTCCAAACTTTGTGTAATTTGACGGTTGCGTAATACTTGGATTTCAAGCAGGAAAACCTATGAGTAGTGGTGAAAGTTGTGTGAGGTGAGCTTGGCCTTCTCCTGATCAAGTGTGATGATTCCGGACCAATGGTGATTGTGTATGATATCCAATGTGTAATGATTCACGAAATTCCCGATATGAATCTGTACTTGGCGTTGTCGATGATATGGTAATTGAACAAAGATTGGATGAATTCCAGACACAAGAATTGTCGTATCGGAATGTCTGTCTGTCTGTTCCTTTTTTCAATTGCCCCTAACGTTGTACAACTTGAGGATATCTTGGTGGAAGAAGGGCGTACAGCTAGGGATGAAGGTGAGGGATGGGATTGAGATTGAGTGTGCAGAGGAAAGATCTTGAGTGTTTTTAAAGTTTTTACACTTTCCAGCTGAACATTGAAGGATTGAGTGGGATTTGAATAAATTGAATAAATTGTTGAAGGGGCGATTAATAGAAGAAGAATGCTTAAAAGAAGGTTCAAAAGAAGGTCTGGCGGTGGAGTTTGAATGGAAGTGGAAGTAAGTGGATAATGATGAAAGGAGTATGATGATAATGATAATGATGTATGGTAAAGTGGTAAAGTGGTAAGGTATGGATGGATGTGGGTATGGGTATGGGTGGAAGGTATGGGTGGATGGGTGGATGGGTGGATGAGTGGATGGGTGGATGGGTGGAAGGGTGGAAGGGAAGAAGGGAAGAAGGGAAGAAGGGAAGGTATGGGTGAAAGGTTTGGGTGAAGAAGGTATGGGTAGTAAGTAATGTGAAGCAGGGTTTGTGAGGAAGGTAAAGAAGAAAGAAGGCAAAGAAGGCAGGGGGGTTTACTAGTAGGCTACGAGTAGGCTACTAGGTGAGGGTTGTGGGGGTGTCGATAATCTCCCAAATGAGCTATTTTGTTTGTTTGGGTGATGTTTTAGCGTTTTAGCGTTCTAGCGTTCCAGCGTTCCAGCGTTTGGTCCCTCGATGCTTCGGTGCTTCGGTTCGCGTGATGGATGCTTCGTTTAGTGGTTCGTAAAGGAAGAAATGAGTCCTGTAAGCCTGTATCGGTACTGTACGGAGTAAACCTGTAACCCGTGGGTCCCCAAAAAGATCGGGTCTGGAGAACTGTGGACTCCAATCTCTTACTTATTAATATCGATTAACTCTCCGTGTACCCAACGATGAGGGACTACGACTGGTGGACGTAGGGGCAGACTGCTTTAGAATGAATGTACTCCGCAGAAATTAGATCATAGCGAAAGACATCAAACTCCCCAGTAAGGAAAACCCTAAGATAATAATCCCTCGATGGTTTGGTGTAGATGAGAAAGTCAAAGGGTAGTGTGTGTCGGAGGTCGGAGGTATGAGGTATGTGGTATGTGGTATGTGGTATGTACGAGGAGGGAGAGAGAGATGCGTTATTTTGATGTCGAATTTGAGATACGGTATGGTGAATTCCTTTTAAATTAAGGATTGATTGATGGATTGATTGATTGATTGATTGATTGATTGATTGTAGTAATTGATATTGATCATGCAGAGTAAAAGGAGGAGGTTATGATGTCTTGTCGTTCTTTAACCCCTTTCCTTTCCTTTGCTCTCCCCTTCTCTTCTTTCCTTTCCCTGAATTCACTTAAATCAATTCCCTCTTACAACTCTTTGGAAAAATCAGGAAAATCATACGAGGTCGAAAGTACGAGTGCTGCGTAATGGCTGAGTCCTATGATCTCAATTTTCCTTCTTCTATAAACCCGAAGCTGTATCTATATGTACGAGTCGGTATGTGTGCGTATGTGTGCGTATGTGTGCGTATATGTGCGTAAGTGTGTGTATGTGTGTGTATGTCACCGTCGATATACTCTGTACTCTGGAAATAACTTTTGATTGATCCTTGTACTTCCCTTCCCGTATGCAAGCTTTTTCATTAATTTATCGAATTATTAATCAATGATCCTCGTCGATATGCTTCTATTCTCAGAACTCAATCTTCCGGGGAATGCTTGAAATCATATGTGCTGGGAAGTTTTTAACCTTTGAACCCCACCTAAGTTACAGCGCAGTGGTAGCAGTTTGGAATTGCCGTGGTTTTAGCTTTGAAGATCAGGTCGATGGGTAAAAGGGTAAATGGGAGGTGAGAGATGTAGATGCTACTTGTAGATAGATGGATGGATAGATATAAATATGTAATGTAACTGTGGATGTAGATATAAATATATAAATGGTTGATGTAGATGTATAAATATATAAATGTGGATGTAGATATAAATATATAAGTGGTGGATATAGATATATAAATGGGAGAGGGATGAATGAATAGATAAATATAAATATAGAAATATGTAGATAAACACAACCTATACACAGGAGTAAGTTATGGGCCGAAAATCAAGATTGATGATGATGATGATGATGATGATGTTATTGAAGTATGTACAAAAGGTACAAGAGTGTAATGATTCCTTGTGAACCTTCAAGTCTGTAGACTGTCTAGATATATATATATATGTATGTACGTACGTATATATGTACTCATGTAGATGGTTTAGATCCGGTGGATGAATGAAATGGATGGTAATGGTTAATGGAATGGTTAAATGTTGAAGTACTCCATACAGACACTACGTACTTGCATAGTAAGTACCTACCTAATAGTAAATGCTCAAATCATAGATTTCTATCGTGCAATTAATCCCAATAGATGAAAGTAACAAGTAATTTTTGAATCCTGCTTATCATTCATTTCCAGTTGCTGTTGGTCTTCACATCCATCTGCTATCTCATCATGATAGGTATTTGTTATGTGCACTGTATGATCTATACGGAGTACATATGAAATCCGACCTACTTTGCAACCCTCTAAAGCACCTCAAAGCATCAAGCTTTTATCAACCTTGATTGAAGAAATTAATCTTGTTGTCGTGTTCACTGACTACTGACCACGTCGATACTCCATGTTCCACTCTCTTTCTACCTTATCGTAAATTTCCAGTCTCATCACATACCTACTCATACTCACACTCGGCCATTTCATGTAAGTCTTACAATACAAAAAGCAAATCTCCCCTAGCTTCCAACATGGTTCATCGCGAGTCGTAGACAGGAACTGACCACGTACTCCATCCATACATACATACATACATACATACATACATACATACTCATATATACATACATACATAATCCATACATACATACAAAATCGACCTTCCTCGTACGAATCTACTCAACCATCTTCCTGTCGCCGGAGATATAAAGAGCAAGCTGCATACAGTTCGCATACGACTCCACAAATATCCTCTCTTCCCGTATCCTTGTGACTGTATCACCATCCTCTGTGCATCCAATTCTCACCAATGCCCGTTTCCATATTCACCAAAATCCCTGGATCATCTACTTTCTCACCATACGGTCCACACCCCAGCTCTGCAGAAAAGTACTTAAACTGCAGGTCATAAGATCCAATCACTTGGTCTTGAGATCCAGCCCTGCAACGTAATACAACCTCGGGGCAACCAAGGATAGATACATAATCCTGCATTAACATGATGGAATTTTTCTTTTCTTTTCTTACCTCGAATCATCTCATCGAATGACCAGGGAGGGAGAAAAGTTATTGCTAAAGTTATTGCTACCCAATAGTCACGCTTTTGTGAAAATGCATGAATTGGAGTAGGACAACGTTCCTAACAACTCCGCACTTCGAGATATCCAATCACGGGGTTTAACCTCTATATCTTGAATTCAATAACATTTCTTGGATATGTAGGGTTGAATATCCAATCACCAATCACCAATCATGAATACAAAGTACCGACCTTCTCTTTCGAGCACCAGAGTAATTCATCAAAAACAACTCTACCCAATAATTCTCCCATCCCTTCCTCTCAAACTTGTTATCAAAATCCATTACTCGAATACCAACCTCCAATACCGACTCAAGACCTACACAGACAACAAAACAGCACAACCCAAACACCAAAGACTAATGACCAACTCCCAAGCAATCTACTCACTCACCCACTCACTCCAAGCCACTCATCCATCCACCTCCAAGTCTCGACCCCAAAACCAGCCTTCTGGAAAGCTGCAGGTAAGAAGTAAGAATACGTGCCTACCTAACAACAACATACAGACAGACCCGTACATAAATAAATAAATGAATGAATGAATAAGCACATTATCTCGCAACCAATCAAAGCAGCACCCCACCTCGTGGTTTTCTACAAACAAACCCATCACGAGCTGAGAAAGTGGAGCTGCTGTGAACATGAATGTGAATAAACAATACTCCATCCATACTCTGTATCTTCTCCACGCTGCTCTGCTGAAGCCTCGCTCGTTGTATGGAGTACGTACTGCATAGATAGATATCGATAGTGTATTCGAGTAGTCATGCATTATTTTTGGGAATGGGATGGAACGGAATCATTTCATTCCGGTCTTATTATTTATTCGCAGCGGATGACGGATCAGATCGGATCCAATCTCTCTTGAAGAATGAAAGAAAAAGAATGAAAGAATGAAAGAATGAAGTAAGAAGTAAGAAGTATGAGGAATGAGGAATGAGGAATGATAAGGGTCTGTTGAGAGGCTACTTTTACTGTAATATAAGTTAATGTACTCGAGTAATAAATGTAAATGTAATGTCCAGCGTAGATGAGCTATGCATGGATGAATTAATCTGAGAGAAAGCCACACAACACACAGAATTACACACATTCATTCTCCCTGTATTGTATTTACTGCCTGTGGATATGAATCATATCATACATAAATCATACACAAGCTACAATTGGCAAACTCTGTCTGTCCTACGTACAGGTTGGCAAACTCCGTATATACTCCATCCATCCATACGTACATCGCAAACAGACTCATCCAGATCATCAACTCGGTGTGCAGATCTAGATTATAGAAATAGAAATAGAAATAGAAACAGATTTTGACTTTTTTCTTTCCCTTTCTTTCTTTCTTTCTTTCTTTCCTGAAAAGCAAGCTACCGCGTCGTCAAGCGTCAAGCGATGATCTTCTACACTGCACTGCACTACACTACACTAACTACACTAACTGCACTGCACATCCCCAGTAGAACTAAAATACTCTGTATAATCCACATGCCCCGCACTAGTGCACCTGTTTTTTCCAAGTATACTTACGTAGGTACTTGGGTACTGAGATACTGAGATACTGAGATACTTACAGTACTAAATAAGACTTACGTAGAGGAACCTAGTACCGGTATATGTACTCCGTAGAAGAAGCCGATGAAATAAATGAACATCAATCATCACAACAGCACATCCAGCACATCCATCACATCCATCACATCCATCACACCATCGCAACTTAAAAATAATACTCCGTAGTACTCCCTCTGTAGATCAGCATCATCATCATCATCATCACCATTAATAAGTACTCTAGCATGATGTGATGCATCATCATCATAAACTCAATTACATTTATTACCCATCACCAACCACCGAATTCCCGACTTTCCGATAATCTTTTTCTAGCTATCTCTATCTACCTATCTACTTCTAGATAGAGAGCGGTGTAGATTATACATTGCATTACATTACATTACATTACATTTACATCAACCCACAAAAATATCTAACATCGAAACCCAGCCCAAAAAATCGAAATATCAACATCCAATTCCCCATCTCCTAACCTATCACCTATCTCCCACCATTTGATGATTAATTTATTCCCCGCATACTATACTATGCTATACATATACATATACTATACTCAAAATCTCAGAATAGGAAGAGAAAATCTTGAAGAAGTTTTATACTAGTATCTTAATCTACTATATATGTGCACGAGTACACCCGGGCCTAGATAATTTTATAATTAGAGAATAGATAGATATATAAAATGAGTTTTATATATGATTGGAAAGTTTTAAGTTTTTGATGTTAAGTATCAGATATTAGATATTAGATATTAGATATTAGATATTAGATATTAGATATTAGATATTAGATATTAGATATTGATATATTATTTTACTTTTATAAGATTTATAAATATAAATATAATTATAATACAATTATTTTATTAAAAAATAAAAAATCCTAAATGATAAAGTATACATATATATAAATAATTTTTTAATAAATAATCAGTTTACAAATAAAATATAAAACTTTTTATAATAATATAAATAGTTTTATATTTATATTTTCATTCTACTTATCTTCTCGATCATTCAAATTCATAAACTGATATAAATATACTCCACTCTCCATTCTCCATTCTCTGTTCTTCATTCATCATTCCTTATTCTTATAAATACAATCAATAAAGCTCATTCTTAAATTTTCCATACAAGCAATCACTGCTAGTCTATATAGCGCTAAAGCAAGTCTTTCCCATCCATCCACCCATCCATATTGACCATGAGTATCGATATATACATGTAAAACTTCACACCCACACCTACACCTATACCTATGCTTATTCCCATTCCCATTCTCTTTCCTTTCCCATTCCCACTTCCTATCTCATCTAATCTTATATCCCCATCCATTAATCCCATCCCAAATCCCAGCAAAAAGCCAACGCCAAAGCAAATCCGGGTATCAAAATACTTATAAACCGAAGAGCAAATAACCACCAAGCAACCAAGCAACCACTCCACACATCCATACATACATCCCCCTTCCTTCATTTTGGTCGACGTCAAACACCCCAAACAACCCGAAACTCATCATAATTCCACCGTCATAATTCCACCTTACAATTCCACACTCAGCCCTCTCAAACCCGAAAGTGTATACGATCTTGCAACTGTGCTTGCTCCATCCAGATCCCCACCCACAGATTCATCATCACCATCCACACCTTCTATCCCTCTCTCCTGCTCTCCCACATCCACATTTCCACCTTCTCCAACATTCTGACTATCTTCCCCCGTAAACGAAGAAACAACTACATCCGTAACAACATGATCACCCTGCGCAACCATCACATCCACAACATGCGCACCATCTTCATTGATCAAAACATCCTCCTCCTCCCCATTATCCTCATCCTCATCCTCGTCTTCTTCCTCAGTAGTACCCAACATATCATATCTAAACTGTGAGTATTCATTTATTAGGATCAAATAATTAGTATGAAGCTTAGCGAAATCTTTCTGAAGACTTTGAAACGCAGATTTATAATCCACTTCGCTTCCATGATCAGATGTATGAGATTCGGAATCCGAATCCGAATCAGGTTCATCATCATCTATAAAGCTGTTGATTTCATACTTTTCATCAAGAACCAATTGAGAATCTTCATCTTGAGTATCGTATGCAGAAGATTGATAGTCAAGATGTGAAATCCCGATTAAGACACGAGCTTCCTGGGCAGAAACCTCACTTCCAGAATCCTCTTCTTCGAAGATACGAGGAAGAGCTCCGGGGAAATCAGCATTCTCGTAAAAGGGATTAGATCCGATACCACAACCCGTGCAGAAACCTGGAATCCATCCCCATCTTTCGATTTGATCTACCCAAATCTCATGACCACAATCCCCACATCGAGTGATATTATCAATAGGGTCATGAAAGGGAAGGTTATCGCTGGCAGAGTTATTTCCTCCAGCTGCAATAAGGGATGAGCCATGGTTTGGGGTATGATTATCATTAACATCCTCAATGCCATCGTCTGTCGCTAACTCGTTGTCGTCAATGAGCGTGAAAATATCTCGATGTCCGACTATATCTCTGTCGTTATTAGCTTTAGGTTGAAAGATTTTAGACATGCTATCTAAGCTCTTGGTAGAATCCCAAGGCTTACGTTGACTCCGGGGTTGTGCCAAATATGATGTGACTTGTTTGAACTCTCGCATGAGGTATTGTAGAGGTGAGAATTGGCGAAAGAAGTACGTATTCACGTCTATGTGCACCCCTGAATTACCCTCAAAACTTCTTTGGAACTCCGATAAGATGTCAAGCGTTTCTCGAGAAAATGACAACATAGTCATGTGAAGGGCTGATAATACTGAAGGTGGTACGAGCTGATCAATTTGTGTATTGATGGATTTCAGATTTGGCAGTTCCTGAGCGATGTATGTTTCAACCTCTAGATCGTCATTCTGGAGATTCATCAATGCTGTCATTGCGTTTTCAGATAGTGTAGGGACAGTGTCGAGTTTTTCCATAAGTGTTGTGAGTGGTAACTCTAAGTCAACGCCGTCTTTGATAGGTATGTCAATTGACTCTAGGCCCCGTTGTTCTACACCTGCGGCAGAGGTTGAGGTGGGTTTTGATGACCTACAAAACCCAGAAATCAGCGATTAGTCAAGGATGGACCTCCAGAGAGAAATAGGATCTGAAACAATAGAAGAAAGTGGAAAATGAACGAAAATAAGATTGTCACACAAAAAGCAGTTGGAGTATGACGAGAAAGAAAAACTGGAAAGCTTACCTTGGGCCATCTACCTGAGAGCCTTGACTAAGTCGTACACGTTTCAATGGTGGCGGAGTAACTACCGCCGTGGCTGTTCTTCGTCTTGATAGCTGACTACTTGAGCTTGAGCCTGATTTTGTAGCTATGGATCCAGGTGTTTGGCTGATACTAGCTACACCTATTTGACATGGTGGAGCTGGAGACGAGGTAAGTATTTCTTCCGACCAAGCTATCCGTCTGGTGCTAGTTAAACTTTTCTGAAATGGGATTGGTGTGGAAGGACGACTTTTATTCTCCCATCTAGCTGCTGTTAATGTTAATTCCTCAACATGACCGCTAGGCATTGGAGAAGATTCGGATTCAATTGTTGTTTGCGTTTTTTGGCTTGACATCTTCATTTCGGCAACAATAACAGCCATCATTTGTCGCATCTCCTTGTCATGTCTAAAGACCGAAGCAGAGCAATGGTCACCAAAGAGCTCTTCAATGCTTACTTCTGTAAGGTGGTTAGTCTGATTCAAAGCCATCGAAGTGCTCAAGTGGTATCAAAAAATATAGATAAACGCTACAGAGGATATTACGTACCTTCATTCCAGTTCTCTTCGTCCACAGTGCATGGATACACATCTTTTGGCTTGAATATTTCAACCAGATGACAAAGTTCAGGATACGAGGAATGACGTGAGTATGGAAAAGTGATTACCTTGAGGAAATCGTCTTCCGAAGCATGGAGATCTTTCTCGTCAAGTACTTTAGAGGATTTATGAGCCAACTTTCGTAAAAGAGATTCACTAAGGTCCTTCAAGGAGATTTGATCACAAACAGATGATATGCCATCTAGTGATATAGCGCCTGCTGTAGATGATAATTCGGCAAGAAGCATCCTTCGAATATCCTCAACGATGGGTTCATCTGTCTCCGCAAAACTAGGTAATTTATTAGTGTGAATCGAGAAAAAGGGGAATCCAAACCAACATTGTCTCTAACAGTTCCTTGACATCATCGAAATCCATAGCAACTTCATATTTTGGTACTAAATCACCCCAACCACCTCCAATACCAATTTCTTCCACTTCAACTCCAGATGGTAGACGAGAAATAATAGGTCTAATCAACACAACATCCTCTTCTCCATAAAGTGAACAACCCATCCCCTTTTCACAACTGTGAATTCGCACGCTCTTATCAATTGTCAAGCAACCTTGTTTTGCACTATTTCCAACAACACACCCTACCAAAACAGGACCTTCAGGTGCCAGAAAACTTAGTTGGCCATTAGATCCTTCTTGACGCAAGGATTCGTATAGTTTGATCTTATATTTGTCCACATGAATTTGTGAATCCAGTGTTCGTGATAATGCAGCCCAAACCTCTTCATATCCGAAAGTCCAAGCCGCGAAGTGAAATTTGGTATTTGGCGGGTATTTTCTAATTTTACCAATCAATTCCTTCAGACCTTCAGCTTTCGTTGGGAATTCCATTGGTCCAATGTTGCTTGTATCGAGATAAATGCAGTCTAAAGACTTCATGCCGCTAGTGTACTCAATCAAGAAAGGATTTCGTGTCAAATTATTGACAAACCATGGTTCCGATCGAATATCTCCAGTATACAAGACTGCGGTATTTTCTCTCTCGAACAAGAACATCACTGCGCCAGTACAATGATTAGCATCAAATAACGTAACCCTAATTTCATTTTTCGGTGCCAACTCAATCAACGTGGGAGTCTCCAATGGAACTGGCTTCAAAACATTCTTCAAATGTTTATAGGTTTTCTTTTCCTTCTCCAGAATTCCCTGCGCAAGATTCAACCGATCTCGCCTCTTCTCAAGCCTGATAAGGATCTCCTTGGTAGCAGCCGAGCAGTAAACAAACGGCAATTTAACACGATCATTGTCAAGCCCAACGAGATGGTCACTGTGAACATGACTCAAAAAGCATGCTAGCGGAGATGTACGTCCTAGGATTTGGCGGAAGTAATCGACTGTGAAAATATCAGTTCTTTCCTTGAGATGCCGTCATATTTGATTCGTGATAACTCTCAACTCTGTGTGATTTGATTTTGACTTACCACGAATGTCTGGAAACTCAGGCATATACCCGCCAAATGTTGACATTTTGAAGGGTTTATCCTCGAGATCATCAGGTATAGAAGAAATTTCTCATGTTGAGATAATATTGACCAAACTGAATCCTGACAGAAGTTCGGAACTTTTTGATTTAGGCCCACGCGACGAAGAACGCGCTAAAACAGGTCATCACGTGACAGTACCCCGCATTCGCACTCATCTGTGAGATATGGTGATCTTACATCCCAGAATGGAAGAGAAGCTTTACGTCTGGGCTTTTCAATGTTCAATTTTCGGTAGGAAGATGAAATTACATGTTTACCACATATAATTCTGTGATATTGAATGAAACAAAAGTTTTTTCTATGAATATAGTAAATTGCTTGCTGCCTGACTAGTATTCCTACAAATGAAAGAACGAATGTGAGATAGATGGAAGACTCCCGCTGACGCTACATGTGCAATCAAGGCTTCTGATTAGCCTTTGCTGCCCCTTCCTTCAACAACTCATCCAGATCCATATTCAAATCCATACGTTGTTGATTGCGCCTTCTCGCATAGTCATTGCTCATGTCTGATAAGGCAATCCGTTTTTGCAAAGAGCTTCGGACCCACTCTTCAAGGAAGGCATCATGCTCATCTAGAATCTTGTTTCTCGTCTTGGTATCAACTTTAAGCATTACCGGAAGTGGATAGCTAGTGAGGTGAATGCTGAATGGCTTAGCCTCGAAGAGGGTACTACAGGCGAGTGCATTTTCCGTGTTGATATACCTAGCCATGTTGGATTGATAGATTTGAATCTCATATGAGAAGAAGTCACAGAGATCGCCAAATTTCCCTGAGCAAAGTATCTTCTTGCCATTAACGTATATTAAGGGCTCATGATTAACCTAAAAGCATTAGACTAATGTGATCTGAATTTGAAGTAAGATTGGAAGAATGAAAGTTCAGATGAAAGGGTTGTAACATTCTGTTGACTGAATGTGCCATTTGAATGCTGAAGAAAGATTGAAAGAATGAGATGCAGATCACACTAGAGTACACTCACCGAATTTGTTCTGTCATGATTCTTGTACTGGGCCCAAAAATGGTCAAGTTTGACTAGGTGGTCAGAGTATATCAGTCTCTTCCAAATTTCAAGAAATTGGTACGCTTTCTCCAATGCTGCATAGTCTCCTGGTTGGTATGGCTCAATGATCAGCCTGAGATGATCGGAGGCATCATCATTATCTAAAACCGTCAATTTGAAGACCAGTAATTAAAATTTGCTTGTATTACAAAAGAAGGACTTACATTCCATTGTTACTCCAAGACCTCTTTGAACGGATTTAAATGAATCGTCCCAGTCACCTAGGAGAGCACGGAGAAGAGTATTTTTTCTAATAGTCACTTCTCTAGTGCCTTCAACTGGATTCGCTCTATTTTTCTCTGAGAATTGGTCACCGACAGCCTTCACCACTCCTTTTGGTTGTGCCACTAGGAGCTTTCTTGGCATCTCAGGGCTTGATCCAACCGGGGTAGCACCACCAGCTGTCTGTTTTTGATCAAATGAATTTCTGCTATGAGAAGGTCTCGGTGGAACCAAGGGACAATTTCCAGCCGGCGCTATAGTCTTGATGTCGGATTGGTCGACGATCCCTTGAGCTGGTGGAGTTGCCATAGAAAAATTGCTGGCATACTTTGTTGCTAATTTATTATTCGGCAGAGAATTTTTAGGGATTCCTGGTGGCTTGTCATTTAACCAGGGAAATGGCTCATCTTTAAAAACCTTCTCCCAGGCCATTCGATCGGCAAGCCACTTTAAGGTATGAAGTCAGTATCAGGATTTAGAATGCTGATAAGCTTGGCACTCACATGTTTTTGAGAACGGTCGTACTCAGGATGACTAGTTCTTACGATATCTCTGCTATTTTGCATAGCACGAAAGAACGTATGGCGAAAAACATCACCACCCATAGCATATGCTTTCCTTTGCATCTGATCCTCCTTTGGCCCATAGGTCAATGGTTCTCCATCTCCATTCCTCATTGTTCTACCATCTCTTGATGGTTCCCTAGCTCTTATTGTTCGGTCATCTCTTGGTGTTTCTTCGATTTTGATTGTCCTACCTTGTCTTGTCTTTTCACTACTCTCTTGGTACCTAGTTTGTCGATAAGCGACTCTTCCGCTGGGTCCACTGGGAGGCGACCTAGATCTACGTCGACTGGTAGCGTCCTCCGGCCGCCAGCTACTACCAGACCGCCCATTCCTGGGCCAATCCTCGCCACCATGGCGAGAATGTCCAGCATGAAGTCGGTTGGCATCCGAGGAGCGGAGGACATATGATCTAGGTGGCTCATTGCAGGGAAAGGTACCCTTTTGGCGAACTAAAGATAACTTAACAATGGCCCCTTTTAACCCTCAAGTAAATACGTACAATTGGATAACCAAACCTTGCTTCCTGACATCCACTGCTGCCACTCCAGGCTTTCGCGTGGATATCGCTCCTTCATGTTCACTAATGCCTCCTTGTATGCGACCAATATAGTTGCATTGCCAGCTGCATTAAGCAGCACTTCTTCAACCTTGAGTGAAAAAGTAGGCTTCGGCTTGCTTGGTAAACTCGACGGATCCTTCTCGTCCGGCGAACTGGTCACCTCGCCGGACTCTGACCTCGTTGTAGAAGGAAGTGGTGTTGTCTTCGGCGGGGTGCCTGGCCATGGATCGTTTGGAACTAAAATTGTATTAGAAGTAACCTGACCATTGCATTATTTACCATGACAGAAAAAACTGACAGAACTTTGTCCACTAGAGCGTATTGTCAGTGTGGTTGCTTCTTGCAGTAATTAATTTTTGGAAGAATTCATGCACCAAGGAAAGAAATGGAGTCTTTACTTACAACAAGGTATTCAGCTTTTTCCAATGCCCAAGCTTCATTACAATGAGAATTTTGCTGGTAGATTTGGCTCAATATTTGTTGAAACTGCTTTGTGATTTCAGAAGTCGGAATGCCATTTTCCTCCGCCTTTTTGGCCATCAAATTCTGCTGTGTTTTATAAGAAGACTCCATTATGGGAGATTTCAGTAATCAATTGGAATAAGTCGTTTTCAATTGAGAAAATTGAGTTGTTTTTGAGAGGAGTGTTTGTTTGTGTATACCATTTTTTATTTGTCGGTTATTCCGATAGTGGTAGGAACGTTGCTTCTTTTGAAACCTCAACCAAGAAGGCGCTCTTCAGTTTTGAACAGCGCATACTGACTGACAATGAAACGGTAAAATTGGCCATCGGTTTTTTGGCTGATCAGAAAAGTGTGTTCCACAGGTAAGATCTTACATTCATCTTTGTTCACTCTTCATCACAATCTCTGAGTAAAATTTGAATACCCAAATTGTATTCCAGCATTGAAAAGTCTTAACTCGTTGCTTGAACCATCAACTACCTACCTAGTAGTAGGCTTTGATGAAGGGACCTCGCCCATTACTCAATACTCATCCTTTTCATTCCTACCCAGGTCCCCAAAAGACTTTCAAATACCCACATAACACATTTTCTACATTGATGACTTGTCTCATAGCATCACATTCACAATCTCCTTCCTCCCAAACCCTCAAATCCCGCCCTCACCACTTCACCCCTCAACTCCCAACTCCCAACTCCCAACTCCCAACTCCCAACTCCCAACTCCCCTCCCTCAACAACAATTGAAGAATCATCATAACCCTACCTCCACTCAAACAAACACTGTTTCATTCAAACGCAGAAGAAGAAAAAGAAACCAATCAACAAAAGGAATAATTATCCAATGCAACCACCCCGTCCAAGCCTTTGAAGTTAAACAAGAGACATGCACCTGCATATAAAGTAATAAATCTGTGTAACTCACAAGTTCTTTACCAAGAAAGACCCTTGTGTACTATTCTGAGCCATTCTTTCATTCATATAAAGTTTAAACAAGAGATTTCCCTATACATCCGTCAAGTTGAGAAATCACCACGAACTCATCCATCACAACTAACGACTCGGAAGATATTGTAACCTAAAAGAAATCCATTAATTCATAAGAGCCTTACGCTATAACTGCAAAACTAATGCAACGCTTCGTCCGTAAACTCCATTCCTGCCTGCATGAACCTTGACGCAGCTGAAGAAACCTTCCCGAAAACCCCTTGCCAATCCTATCCATCGTAAATGATACTGTATAATACAAGCTTATTCTTCATCTCCGTCTTCATCCCACCCATCTTTTTCCTTCTGAATGAATTCAGCCATGATTTCAGGCTTGAATATCGAGCTACCCTCATCCTTTGAACGAGGTACTTTGCCCAAATTCCTTTCATCATCAAATACAGCTCCAATATTTTTGATCCATTTTTGTCGTTTTTCCATCAAAGTCTTGGTTACGTCACCGAGACCTGGTCTTGCCGTACCAGCAGTACCATTGACAGCTTGATTGCCACCACCAGCACCTCCAGATTTCTTGTTCTTCTTGGTTTTTCCTATTGTGCGTGATCGTTTGGTATAAGCTGCATTCACTTGACCATCAAGATCTTCGAGGATAGTCTGATATTCTTGGTGAGCCATACGTTCCTTTGTAATTTCCTGTAATCGAGCTTTACGTGCTCCATTGATAATTGACTGTTCTCTGAGCTTGGTTTGTAAAAATCGTAGACGCGCGGCTATTTCGTCGTCATAATGAGCATCGTAATCGGGTTCGGTGTCAGGTGGGAGAAATCCAATGTGGCGAAGCTCCTGTTTAATCCTTTCATCTACTTGAGCGTGATCGAGCTTTGGATGATTTGCTTTCTTCCACGATTCGGATGCCGAATCAGGCATGAAAGTTGCAGGAGGTAAGGGAGATGTGTCGCTGTGTTGACTTGGTTCCGCCATGTCTCCATTCATTTCACCATTGAAACTACCTTCGCCATTACTTATGCCGTTTATCATAGGTTTATCCTCCGAAGGAGGTGCTCGGTTCTCTGGTCTTAAAGTTGCCAACAATCTCGACAGTATTGGGCCAGCAGAAACCTGATCTGTCTCTGCTATGGCATCATCAATATCATCAATGCTTCCACGAGCTTGATTTGGAGGCAATTTATCTCGTCCTTGATGTGGCGTGTCAACTGACATAGCGCCGTCCTCCTCCGCCCAGATTTCGGTGTAATGTTTCTTTCCACGTCTAGGTATAATGAATGGGTTCACACGATCTCCGCGTTCACGAAGAAACGCAAGATCTTCCTCCGTAAATGGCCGGAAATATGGCTCCAGGTATGTTGCAAAGGTATTAGCTTGTACTTGATTTGTTGGTTTTGCATTGCTGAAATCCTTGTCTGGTGGCGTTCCCGGGATAAGATCATGAAGATCATTTGTCGGATACACGGCCACAGAATAAACCATTTTCTTCTCCTCCTCACTCATTCTAGGATCTCCAGGTTTTATTTTCGTAATCTCATAAACTGTTGGATCTGGGAAGGTGGAGGGATCCGGCCCGAACGTTTGGTAATTGGGAATCTTTGGCGCTGGGGGAGGTTGATGTTCATCGGAACTGGATTCATCCTCGACGGCATCTTTCTGTTTTGTATCGGCATTCATACCTGCCGTTGGTGTTGCTGGAGCAGGTGGCGAAAGCGACGAACTGATTGAATCATTGTCTCTCTCTTTTGATAATTTTCTATGATGTTTATGTGTATAATCTCGGCTCGGCACGGCGACCTCTGCAAGTGAATTCTATTAGCGACATCGGCAAGAAGCAAAGGTGATCAAGTAAGAATTGATGCAGTATTTGTTGACAGATGTATCAAATCAACAGATAACATACCAAGATTAGATCCATCTTGTGGTGCCAAACCATGGGCACCATGTGTCAACGGCCGTTCTTCTCTGGCACTACTGACATCCTTCCTTTTTTTAATCTTGTGAGCCTTGTGTCTTCCGCGCTCTTCCTCTTCAGCCAAATCTCTCTTCATTCTCTCCTTTAAATCTTCGTCTCGTTTTTCGATTTCCAGTTCCTCATTTCTCTCCTTCCTTGATTGTGCCAAAACTCGCATCCCTTTGTCGCATACCGCAGCACGTTCATCTACACTCGAGGCCAGTCTTTCCATACGTTGCATAAGAGCCTCAAGCTCTCTTGAGTTGGGAATAGTGGAAGTATGTTGCTCGGCAATCTCATCCGCTACAGAAGTTCGAAGGATATTGATTGGGATTTGTGTATATGGAGTTTTCCCGGCATCCGAAGTTACGACAGAGCTCGATGCACCAACTAGACTTGGTGTTGTATTTCGACTTCGAGATTGACGCGGATCTCGACCCTTTTTTCCTGTCCCTTTTTGACCTGGCATGGGAGGCATCTTGATTGAAGTCGCAGGCGCGAGCGCGAGGGCATGAATTATGTAGTAGGATTGGACTTCAAGACTCTAGAACGTTGTTCTAATCAAACTGTATGTTTATTATGTAGGTAGCTTTCGTTGAGCCTCGAGGGGCCTTTGGGTAATTTGATTTAGTACAACTAAAATATTAAGTGGCAATCAATGGCAATCGCGAATGACACCTGAATATGGAGAATTGGATATTCATAAAGTCAAGGACGTGGTCCAGTACGTTCTTGTCAATACTGAGAGTCAGTAGTGATGTTTGCTTGGCTGAATACCAGTGAGAGCTAGGCCCAGTTAGATAAGACTAGGTGGATGGTTATTCCATGTTTGTATCACCACGTGACACCGAGAGAAAACGAAATGGCTAGTACTTTGATTGGATGAACATGATTTGCTCGGAACCTTTTCTTTAATAAGAATAAGACTCAAAACTCCACTGTTTTGCATCTGCATTAAATTTGGCTTGCTGAGATCGCAAGATTAGGTTTGGTACGCATTATTATGTGTTGTTGATACATATTTGAGACAGCAGTAAGCAGTAATAATGAAGGAAATCTGAAGCAAATCTATCAGGAAAGGCTCACTATCAACATGAAGATCGGAGCATACTGTACGATGGATGGATGGATATACGGATATATCATATATGGTCATACGTACAAAGTAGAGGTGCAGAGTCAATAAGATACGAGCCTGTACACTGTGTGCACTGTATGTACTGTATGTACTGTATGTAGATAATTCATTTCTCTTCTCAGGTCTAGATGTGGTTGAATATAGATTCGGAGTGCAATAAGCTGTGATGCTGTGTTTCCATTTCATTCTCTAGCACCTACCTCGATTCTAGAGTCATCTAGGCACTGTCCTGCGTATGAGTCTATGAGAGTGGTATTGTTATTAAACCGTACATAAAAGATGGGTCGATATATTGTATGTCAAGGTTACATAGTACTGGCACACGGTTATGTAAGACATGTTCATCATAATCATCCATATCAGATACTCCGTACAGGAAAGACCTAGTAAATAATTACCCCTCACAAACATCTCATTTTCTTCAAGAATGCAACATGATTATCGGAGAATCTTATAACGAGCCAGTCATACGACGTAGGAGATCCCAGGACTCCCCAACACCTAATATGGTTCGCCCTACTCCTCACATACTACTCCGTACACATGCTGGAGTACTTGGGGTTTTAAAACTGTGGATATCGGCGTGGATGTCGTCGTGGAGCGCAGATGAACAAGCTTTTTCGCTAGCCGCCCATGCAGCTTTCTTTCCCTTGCTTTCCCTTGCTTCCTTACTTCTTGGCAAGTTCTCTTCTCTCTTCTTCCGAATCCCCCGTAGCTAAGGTAGGTAGTAGGTATGTATACTCTAGTACCTATGGACAAATAGCTTCGAAAATATATACTGTACGGTATTCGGTTTTTTGGTTGGAAATTTCTCAAATCAAATTTGGCATTTTAAAATTAAATTCACGAAAGACACCCAAAGTATTACAATTCTGTTTTATGGTAATTCCAACAATTGTCCCCTTTGCCGGAGGGTCTTTACCCGGTGTAATAAATCCTGCGCAACATTTATTGGCAAGAAAATGTGTAAGTTTTTCCCAGACTCCCAGTGCCGTGTTCAAATCAAGATTACCTTCCCCCAGCTTTCCACAAATGCTTGGTGCTTGGTGCTTGGCGCCGAGATGTCAACCTTCTTGGCTCCCCATAATACCTTCATCATATCTTTTTCTTTTCTATAAATATATCTATATTTATATACATCTTTAACTAACAATTCTTTATGAAAGCTTTGAAAGAAGTCGATAATTTCGTGTATGTGTACAACAAATTTTCAATTCTCCCCTTCGTCTCTTACGTCCCTTTCATCCCTTTCGTCCGGTTCTTTGACGATTCCTGAATACGAGATCGTTTTTCGTACCAAGAAAACAGTCAAACAGTCAATTGCTTGCTCTCATTTACCATCGCTATTGACGTCAATCCCCATCTACCCCTTTCATTTCAATGCGATCGATAAACGCTACCTCACGCAGCTCAAGCTCTTGTTATTTACTGACCGCATCATAGTCTACTTTTCCCTGATGAAGGATGGAATAACCTAGCCACAAATGATCAGCTTACGAGCGTTATCTCTCAATTGAGTGTATGTAATGAAGATGCTGAGGAGAGCTTATTGTTCTAATTCCAAGTTAATAGCCAAATATCTCCTATGCCGAATCCATTTCCGATAATATTCAAACATTATCAACTCGTAATGCCGATGCGACCGGTGTTATAGGTGGCTTCCTTTACGTGCCGGATCTCGACCCGGACCATGAATGCTACAACATCTCAAAACAATATATTCCCTCAAATGCTACAAGACAGGCCAACCTTCCCGCAACGGATTTCACACTGGTTGCATTGGCACCTTGGATTAGTAAAGAATGTACGAAAGGCTTCTTAGCTGCAGCACGAAAAGATCCTGCACGAGGTTTCATCTTCTACCAGCCAGATAACGGTACAGCTAAACCACCACCAATCAGTTCCGAACTGTGGGGACTTGACGATGGTGGAGCATGGAAGTCTACAAACAAGTATCCGGTATATGCCGTTCCTGGAAGCGTAGGGGCACGGATGATGCACGAAATAAGTCTATACTCCGGCAACCTTACGGACGTGCCATATGGCCATGAGCTATCAAGCTTTCCAGGCGTCGACCCTCGAGATTATGCACGGGTCTATACTCAGCTGAATGTATCTCATGGCACAAATCTGCCTAATCTATGGGAATTTCTGCTGATTATTGTGGCCGTACTCGCCATCATGTTGGCCATCGCTTCAGGCTCCATGCATTATCTCCAGAGGTGTCGAAGACGGGCTCTACGGAGACGCGTGGAAACCGGGGAGGTGAACTTGGAAGCACTGGGTATCAAGCGTCTTACAGTACCACAGGAAATCATCGAAAGAATGCCTATATTCACCTACTATTGTGGCTGGCAGCAGTCCCATGTTGCGCAAAATGGGTCAAGGGCAGCTGAGGAAATCTCTTCTGACAAGGGAATTTTGACGGAGGAAAACGATATTTCATTCGGCGATGATTCGACATTGAATGCGTTGTCTCCGACTTTTGTATCTAACCTCGGAAACTCCTCACTATCCATCTCAGCCCAACGAGTTGTACCATTTTCTCAACCTACTTGTCCTATTTGTTTGGATGATTTTGAAAGTGGAACTACTTTGATTCGCGAGTTGCCCTGTGGCCACATCTTTCATCCAGAATGTATAGACCCGTTTCTTAGCAACAATAGTTCGCTATGTCCGATGTGTAAGAAAAGTGTCTTGCCTGTTGGACATTGCCCAATAAAAATCACCAACGCAATGACCAATAGGGAAAGGAACATGAGAAGATTGAGATCTCGAATCACTATTCAAGAGGAGAACCATGATGTTGAGGCTGGCCATCCAAGGTTTCTTGCCCGGGACTTGGGCGCTCGCTTCAAAAGGCGAATGTTTAGCACCTCAACGCTCCCTACGAATAACGTACAAATGACGGTTGGATCAGCTGCCACAGGGCTACCATTAATGACAAGTGCAATACGGTCGCAACCACAGGCGAACAGTATACTGGGAGTTGAGGTATCGCAGGATGGACTTTCTCGGCCGGAGAGGGCCCAACAACGAATCCGCGAGATTGCAGCGCAACAACCTGCAATACAAGACCCGGACTTGGTTCAAACGAGGCATCAATTACCTTGTAGGCGCTTCTGAACTTCTATCCTCTTTCCAAGCTAACGAGCCACGATAGGGCGTCGGGCATTGTCGAGAGCTTTTCCTGGCTATTCTTAAGGGGGCAACTGTAAATATTAATGAATTAATGTGCATTTCAGCGTGGCGTGGGTGCTTCTATCATACTCGGAGTTTTATACCATGTACACACTGTGCGTGTGAAGGGACAAGGAATTAAGGGCTGGTTCAGGAATTGGAGTTGAAGGGGAAAAATACCAACCACGGATTGGTTGTCCAGGGATTTGGCGTATGTTATGGAATTGATGGAAAAATTCATGGGATACTGTTAAGAAGATGAATACAAAGTACGAGGCGAGAAAATTCAAGATTGCTTTGTGCTACATTTGTGGTAGGTAATACTTAAATACTGAAAATAAAACTCGTCTAAACGGACCCACACAATCTACGAGGCGATTTCGAGGTTAAAATACCTACTTATACTTATACCTATTGTTGTATGTTCTCATTTTATGACCAAAACCATTCATCCATCCACCAACAATTGATGCTCCAAATTTCTCCATTTCGCCAAGATTCACTGACACATTCATCCCTGTCATAAGCTCCCCTTATCAGCTGCAGGGAACCGAGAGGTTATCCTTATCTTAAAGTCCCTACCAAAAATTTAACATTTGAAAAGCCCCAAAAAGTTAACATACCTACCTCTGTATCGACAAAGCATTACTTGATGCAATTGTCCATATTCAATTCAAGGGGAGATACATCGTAGAATCAGAATGCATCTCATACCAAAAGAAGTAAGTATAGAGTCTTATCTTATCGCAGCGTAAAAGCAACCAAGGATTAACATTTTTGATCGACGAAATAGATAGATAAGCTTGCTATCTCGCAGCTGGGCCTGCTAGCACAAAGAAGACTTGCTCGAGGAGTGAAGCTCAATCATTCCGAAGCAGTTGTGAGTTCCCTCAGTCTTTCCAATTCTTACCGTGATGTAACTAATTTATTCAAGGCACTTATAGCAAATAATCTTCAAGAGGTCTGAAGACCTTTTCCCTAATAGAAGGAAGAACAGTACGAACTGACGACTTCAAAGCTCATTCGTGATGGAAATCATACAGTTTCAGATCTCATGTCAATCGGCGCAACAATGCTCGGGCGTCGTCATGTCCAACCAGCGGTCTGCTCGACGCTCACAGAACTTATGGTTGAAGGAACTTTTCCAACAGGAACATATTTGGTGACGGTACATCATCCAATTAGCACCGATGATGGAGATTTGGCGAAAGCACTTTACGGAAGTTTTCTGCCAATTCCGGATATGGATCTTTTCCCATTGCCATTAGATGCGGAGTACGAGTCGACCAAACGCCCTGGTGCCTTGATTACCGTAAAAGGTAAGGTGAGACTGAATGAGGGAAGAAAGAGAGTAAAGTTGAGGGTGACGAGTAAGGGTGATAGACCAATTCAAGTGAGTCGAGCCATTGTGGTTTTATGATAGCTTACTCATGTCCACAGATTGGATCGCATTATCATTTCATCGAAACCAACCCTCAACTAGAATTCGATCGCATCAAAGCGTATGGTTATCGTCTCGATATTCCGGCTGGCACATCTGTTCGATTCGAACCTGGAGATACTAAAACTGTATCATTGGTTGAAATTGGTGGGAACAAAATAATTCGAGGTGGAAATCATATTGCTACTGGTAAAGTAGACATTTCCCGCGTCGATGAGATTTTGGTCAATCTTGAAAAGGCAGGATTCGCACATGCTCCCGATCCAACTAAAGATGCTGCATATATCGATATGTTCGAAATGGATAGAACAGCATATGCAACAATGTTCGGTCCCACGGTTGGTGACACTATTCGTTTGGGTAATACGGACCTTTGGATCAAGGTTGAAAAGGATTTGACTTCATATGGAGATGAATGTAAGTTTGGTGGCGGTAAGACTTTACGAGAAGGTATGGGCCAAGCTACAGGTGTACCTGACGACATATCATTGGATCTTGTTGTTGTTAATGCCTTGATTGTTGATTGGACTGGTATCTACAAAGCCGATATTGGCGTTAAAAACGGTCTGATAGTAGGTATTGGTAAAGCCGGTAATCCTGATGTCATGGATGGCGTCACTCCGAATATGATTGTCGGATCATGTACGGATGTTGTTGCAGGTGAAGGCAAAGTTATTACTGCCGGTGGCTTCGATACCCATATCCACTTTATTTGTCCTCAACAAGTTAATGAAGCTATCTCATCCGGAATCACTACAATGCTAGGCGGTGGAACTGGTCCTAGGTAAGTGGAGTAAAGATGTTCGTGATATACTATCTAATATTTGAATAGCGCTGGAACCAGTGCTACAACTTGCACACCAGGAAAGAATTATATGCGACAAATGCTTCAAGCTTGTGATACTTTACCAGTGAATGTTGGAATTACTGGCAAAGGAAATGACAGTGATCCAGCTGCACTGCGTGAACAAGTTATTGCTGGAGCTTGTGGCCTTAAATTACATGAAGATTGGGGCACTACACCTTCAGCTATAGATTCTTGTCTTACGGTTTGCGATGAACTCGATATCCAATGTCTGATTCATACTGATACTCTAAACGAGTCAGGCTTTGTTGAATCTACCATCGCTGCGTTTAAAAATCGTGCTATTCACACTTATCATACTGAAGGTGCTGGTGGTGGCCATGCACCCGATATTATCAGTGTTGTTGAGCATGCGAATGTCCTCCCTTCATCTACTAATCCTACAAGACCTTATACCAGAAATACACTCGATGAGCATTTAGACATGCTTATGGTTTGTCATCATCTTTCCAAAAACATTCCTGAGGATGTAGCTTTTGCAGAGTCTCGAATTCGTGCCGAAACCATCGCTGCCGAAGATATACTTCATGATTTGGGAGCAATCAGTATGATGTCTTCTGATTCTCAAGCAATGGGTCGTTGCGGAGAAGTTATCATGCGAACATGGAACACAGCCCACAAAAATAAAGTTCAACGTGGCTCACTCGGAGAAGATATGGGCACTGGTGCAGACAATTTTAGAGTTAAAAGATATATCAGCAAATACACCATTAATCCAGCGATTGCTCAAGGAATGGGTCATATTATTGGTAGTGTGGAGGTTGGAAAGATTGCAGACCTTGTCGTCTGGGATCCAGCTTGGTTTGGAACTAAACCCATGACCATTATCAAAAGTGGTTTAATTGCTTACGCTCAAATGGTGAATTAACCTAATCCCTTTTATCGTCGAATTTTCGCTAACAAAACTAACAGGGTGATCCCAACGCTTCCATTCCAACCGTTCAACCCATCATCTCTCGCCCAATGTTTGCACCCCTTGTTCCCTCGACCTCGATTCTTTTCGTATCTGAATCATCAATTTCCTCGGGTACAATTGCAACTTATGGTTTAAAAAGCCGTGTGGAGGCCGTGAAAAATTGTAGGACGATTGGGAAGAAAGACATGAAATTTAATGATCAGATGCCAAAAATGAAAGTAGATCCGGAAAATTATAGAGTCGAAGCTGATGGGGTGCATATTATTTGTGAAGCTGCTGAATGGTTGCCATTGGGACAGAACGCATATGTTTATTAAATAGTGCGATGGATGATTTGTAAAGTCAGAGGTAAAGACTATGGATGTGAATGAATATTATTCATGAGCCTGGGTTGCTTGAAGGATGCTTGAAGGATGTTAGATCATGGGAGTTTTATAGAGGTTAATATTCAGATGATATTGTTACAATGATTAGTGGAAGAAATAATAGTAAAATATATACATTTATCCCGTCGAAATGACCCCACGGAAAGAATCTGTTTTACAGAATAGCTTCTTAGCACGAAATATCCAGTTAGCTAGCTGCTGAGTAAAATCGTAGAATATACAAACCCATTAACACTCTTCCTTCCCTTCTTCTTGACCTTATACAAAAAAAAACACTGTCTCCAGCGATTACAACATCCAAACCACCAACCACTACATAACACCCTCAAAGCCCAAATAATTACATCGCTTTCCTCGAGTTCGTAGTTAGCCCCTAATTATATCATCATCTTGAAATTTGAAATGTCCTGCCGACCCTGTTACCTTTAGATCATATCATATCATATCACCACACACATATATATATACACATCTCCCCGCACTTTACAATTTGCACTTTTCAATTTGTAATGTGCAACTTGTAATGTGCAACTTGTAATTAGTACCACTAGTATATGAATCCGATACAAGATGTAAGATATAAAATACGAGATGCCATACTCGTACCGCACGAGCGGAGCGCTTAAATTTGAACGTACTGCAGAACTTGGCTCTCTTTCAGGATCTGCTTGCTATTTTTTCTGAGGGGTTTTGATAGTTGGTTGATATTGATATTGATTTCTTTAGTGTTTTTTTGTATTTCTATGACGTGTATTAGTAGGAGAGGGGGAAGGTGTCTGCTCTTGTGCTTTTTCTTGCTTTTGGTGTTTAAGTAGAGGTTTGAGGAGTTGGGCGGGGGTAAGAAGGTGAGAAGGTGTTTCTTGGTTGTGATGGTGATGGTAATGGTGATCGAGACTCAGATATATATTTCCGAGAAAAACGCCAAAATGTCTGGAAAGCCTTTTCTGACCTAACCTTTCTTTCCGGGCTCATTCGTCGTAGGTGTGGATGAAGTGGCTAGGAATACTATATGGAAGGGTAATCATGATGCAACGACGCATAGTGGGAATTGGGGGGTAGGGCTTGGCGGTTCATGGTTTTGGGTTGTTGTTTTCCTCTGGAATGGCGCTTATTTGGATTGGGTGGAGAGTGGATTGGGGGAGGATGGGGGTTTTGGTTATTTTGAAGATAATGTGCTGGGTTTGGTGAGTGAACATCGACGCGATGCGGTTGTTCTGAATCCTGATTTTTGGATATTGTGGGGTTAATGTTGTACGGAGTAGGTTAAGTCGGGTTCGCTAAAAAGGGGGAGTAGTTCGGATGAGAAATATAAATTTAAAGGGCATGAGATGTTTTACTTGGGGTTAAATCCGTACAGGTGGTCACCGATGGCTTCGTGTATCTGCACTTTTAGATCAAATCAGAGTAGATTGGAAGAAAGTCTAGTTTCGGAAATACAAATGCCACATATCCGCGTTATTTCCATTCTAAGGGTAAAATAATTAAGCGGTTATTAGAAAATCATTATCCAACTAGTGATTAGACATATTTGTCATGGATATCATGCGAGCTTATACTCACCGATTGGTGGACCTCCTCATTCAAATGATAGAGGTACACCTGATTCCTCGACCTTCGGAGCACTCTGCGCCCCGATGAATGTGGTGGTGCATCCTCTACGAGTACGTACAGGAGTAACAATATTTGGCGTGATGGTTGGAATTTGAATTTGTGATGGCTTGATTTTCATATCGTCTCCTCTTTCTTGGCTCTTATGCTTTGAATTATTGAAAATGTCCAACCTCCAAATGTCGAATGACATTGCTGACAGCAACTAGTCTGCTGAAAATGTCTCTCCAAATACTGAATCCCATTCCTACAACAGAAATGAGGATTCAAATCTACCCACAGTCATGACGATGGAAAAACATTCCATAGAAAAGTCCAATCTGCCTTCCTTTGATGAATCGAGTGATAGAATCTTCAAATGGAACAAACCCAGCGATCCTCAAAATCCAAAAGATTGGCCCATGTCTCGAAAATGGGCTGCAACAACCGTGGTTTCCGCCTTTGCTTTCATCTCTCCCGTCGTATCATCCATGGTAGCGCCCGCATTGGAAGATATCGGTCGAGATCTCAATGTCCACAGTTCTGCTGTCAGAGCCCTCATGCTGCCCATCTTCCTCCTCGCTTATGCTCTTGACTCTCTGGTCGTCGGACCGCTTTCTGAACTCTACGGAAGAGTACCCGTTCTTCAACTTTCGAATCTGTTCTTCTTGATATTTAACCTTGCCTGTGGATTTGCTCAAACAGGACCGCAAATGATTGCTTGTCGGTTATTTGCTGGTCTTGGTGGTTCGGCTCGTTTGAGTATTGGCGGTGGTGTATTAGCAGACTGTTGGTATGCGGAACAACGTGGTCGGGCAATTGCTATTTATTCTCTTGCTCCTCTCCTTGGACCCGCTGTAGGTCCAATAGCAGGTGCATTCATCACCGGAAATACTACATGGTGATGTATATTTTGGGCCGCGTCTCTTCTCTGCCTAGCCATTCAACTTATAGGTCTCTTATTTCTACAATCGACCTACGCACCAATACTGCTCGAGCAGAAAGCTCAGAACGTTCGAAAAGAAACCGGTGATGATAGCTTGTATGTGGACGTACCCAGAGTAACAGCAGTTAACTGGTTAAGTAACGTCCGCGTATCAATCGCAAGACCATTTATCATGCTTGCCACTCAACCCATCATTGTCGTCATAGCAATCTACATGGCCTATCTCTACGGCCTCGCCTCTCTCGTCCTTTCATCTTTCCCTGGTATATTTACCAACCCCTCCTACTACAACATGTCAACCGAGATGGGAGGTCTCAATTACATTGCCCTAGGACTGGGATATCTCATGGGGGCCGAAATGACAACCAGAATCAATGACTTCACATACAACCGACTAAAACGACGAAACAACAAATTGGAATCCCCGAGCTCCGCGCTCCAGCAATGATTCCCTGTTCCATTCTCCTACCTATCGGATTCTTCTGGTACGGCTGGACTGCACAAACACACTAGAATTGGATCCTCGCCGACATCGGAGCTTTCTTCATCGCCATGGGTACCGTCTCCGGAATCCAAACTATGCAATCATATGTTGTTGATGCCTATACTCGCTATGCTGCAAGCGGCATGGCAGCCGTCTTGGTCCTCCGTAGTCTTGCCGGTTTTGGATTCCCGTTATTCGCACCCGCGATGTATAAGGCTTTGGGATACGGTTGGGGAAATAGTCTCCTCGCTTTTGTGGCTATTGCGTTGGGTGTTCCAGCGCCATACTTACTTTTGAAATATGGTGAGGCGCTCAGAGCGAAGAGTAAATTTGCGGCTGGAGATTCAACCGTGGGGTAAATTTCTTTTTATGCATTGGTGAATTGTGGATATATTTTTTCTGGGGTAGAGAAAGAGGTACGTGGTGCAGAAGGTGCAGGTAATTTACATAGACCATGGCCAAGCCCAAATTTAGAAATTTTTTTCCATTTTTCCCGTTCAGTAACTGAAAGTACCAGATCAAATGAGTTGTGATTGAAAATATTTTTCAGCTGCCCCTGGAAAATGTAAATGTTTCATATAAAGTTGGTGCATGAATCTATGGATCCCAAGATGAGGTACATACTCACTTACGATAGGGGTCTCCTATGCTGAACATAGTAACTTACAATTTAAGATTAGAGAATCCATACGGAACGCAAAAATTCAGCGGAACACGGCGTCTAAACGTTGCAAACACGAGGGGAAAACACTCAGTCTTCTCCCCCTACTTACAACAATGAGGAAGTCAAAAACAGCCCCAAACCTGCGCACCTTGTAGCTAGAAAGCAATGAGAATATACAATGGTATATAATGGTATTTATGAACAAAGGAAGCTCAAGTAGCAATCATGCATTATGCATTTAAGGTATATAAACATTATTGAGAGACCTTAGTTCTCATTCCGAATAAAAAAAAGACGAGACGTCGACAATCTGCCCCCAAACTCCCCTCATCACATCGCAACCACCAGCAAAAGCCTCCACCTCAGCGGGAATTATCCCCTCAGCTGCTCAAACAGCCTACATGCTCCAACAGGGTATCTATCTAATTGCTCAAGAAAAAGTTCGCAGCAATGGGTTCAGCAAGCTTAGCCGTCTTTTGCCAATTGTCCAAATCGTAACGCATACGGGACCAATTGCTGAGCGGTTTCCCATTAGCCGGTGCGTATTTATTCCCGTCAAAGTCGGCCGGTTGCTCAAACAAATAGAATGAGTAACGATGAGGATCACTTCCTGGCGGAGGAGCAGGAGCGATGTAGTTAGCGACGAAAGGGGCATCGGTAGTCAAGACATTACTGGCGCCGACCTTGTAGCCGGGTTGAATCCAATGGAGGATAGGACCCAGAACTTGAAGGGAAGGAAAAGGAGCATCGAGATCAAGCATCACGACCATGTAGGTTGCGGAAGGATCGGGCACCGCGAAGGAGAGCTCGGGTGCGGCCTGAGCTCCTGTGGAGAGGTAATTGGTTAGTCTGCCTGTACTTGGCGCTTGGCATAAGTTTGCGCTGCGAAAACTTTAAAACTTACCAGCGCGGGGAATGTATTGCTTGGTTGTGATTGCCTCGCCATTGTATGCGACGCCTAATACTTTGGAGGGATCTTTTTCGATGGCGGCGAGGGCACGCTTGACGGATGAGTTGGTAGGCATGATGATGGAATTGAGCCTGGATGAAGCTTCTGCGGTATGGAGGAGCAGTATGGAGCAGTAGGAATGGAAGTGGGAATGTCAAAATGATAATTGTCGGACAACAGACAAGACAAAGGACAAGCGAAAGCAAGGTGGGTGGATGGCTTTCGACTCAGCAATAAAGTGAGTGAAGCGTATGAGACTGTGAGTAGTAGAGCTCACTCGTCGAGTGTAGCATGAAAAATAGAGGAGAAAGATACATCCGTGCGTAGATGAGGGTTAAAATCAGAGAAAATGTGATCCCACCTCTTCCATCCCTTTGAAATTTTGAATTACTCCGTACTCGATTGTTCTCCGATATATCCTAATAAATTATTCCCATATCAAATCTGATATTGATTTTGTTTATTCCCGCGCTTGGACAATCCTATTCGGTTAAAGGCTGCCGAGTCTAATCACGATTGGTGAAGATGTGTGACGAAGTCGGACATAAAGAGGTATGTGGATCCCGATGATTCATCAACTCTGCATTAGTCTAAAGTGCTAGTGATATAATTTAATTTATACCCCGGAGCTAGATGATTAACACTGGCACTAGCATTGAACTAGCATTAGAACTAGCACTATTTATGATAAGATGTGTGTATGTGCACTGTGCACCTTTAGCCAGCGACATCCCCTCATTGAACCAAGCTTCCTTTGAACATTTCCATTTCCCACCAAAAATCAACACTTGACAACACTTGACAACACTTGCCCACAATGCCCGTACATTTCACAGTAGGTGATTTTGGCTTCTCAAATTCTATAAATAGAAAAAAGAAAAAAACTTTATGAGGCAGAATCTTTACGACCACGACGCTGAACCAAACGTCGAATATTACCTCAATTTCACATGCTCGGTCCATCAGTCATCTGCTCCTGGACACTATGGAAACTGCCCGACGATAGCCCGTTTTCTTACGAAAGGTGCCGTGACCTGGGCCAGTATCGAAGCGCAGGATGCCCAAAGAAGGCATTGAGTGTAAAGCGGATTTACAGAATTTCGTCAAGAAACCAGCCGCGGTGCTGTTGCGACAAAGGCTTGAATTTCGGAGATGCTGCTAGTGGTTGATTTTGACCGGGGTCGGACTTTTTCGGACTCCTTTTTCCCCACACATGAAAATTTTGGCTGCATTTTGCATTTCGTCATGGATGTAAGAATTTAGCGAGGAAATATTATGCTTCAGACTCTATCCATTACACTTTCATCCCTTCAATAATCAATCTACTATGTACCTGCTTTTAGCGTATAATGGGAAAAGCTAATTTCACCAATAAAAAGCCTGATCATAGATGGAAACAGGAAGCATCGTAAGAAGCCCGGAAAATATGGCTTACTTTAAAGGCTTAGTAAGAAAGCTTGTTTGGACAACAACAAAGCTAAAATATTATACTATGCAATTTTGTGACTGTGATTGATGAAGCGAGTGTAAAATAGTCTGTTGGCCGAATTTTACGTGAACACAAACACTATACCAGGTACATGCCGATGATCTTGTTTCCCCGCCGTTAACTTTTATGTCCAGTCTCCCGCAGTAAATATGTCTGTATAGGTAAAGCTAGACAAAATTAGCCGATTTGTTTTGTCTTGAAATTATATGGATGACATCTCATAAGCCTCAAACCAACTTTACCATCCACTCCCCAATTTATCCACGAATATAGTACAAAGGAGTGGGTATAATGGTCTTCTCTAAAACGAAGCTGCGGGCGTCGATCTATCCACACCATAGGGGTACGCAACAACCTCAAATTAAGCTTAATCTTATCATGACAGAATGTGACCGTGTTATCATATGCATGTTGATGTCAAGCTGTATGCTGTATCTTTCATCGACTCGCATGAATTGCATCGCCCCTCGCTTTTCGGCAGTAGGACAGGATGCCGAATGTAGCACTGTTATTTCTAGTGCTGTTCCGATTGATACATACGGGACAAAGATACTCCAGGTAATTTGGTGAGTGAATCATTCGTGACGTGAGACGGGCGCCGGATATAACTGTTTGATAGCTCATATGTTCAGCCTGGAATGCGGTGTAAATGGACGGGACGTCCCGTATATCCACAAAGACGCATTAAACATGAGCTTATCTTCGTACAATCATCAATAGCCCAATAACCTCTCATTTGAATCATGAATATCATACGCGTCGCGCATTAGCCTCAACTTGAACCCATAAAAGCTTGTAAACTTAAATCGACTCATCATTTCTGACAGATCAACCGTTAGTCTATGCCCCGTGTTTGAGGGGTTTTGAGGGGTCCCGCCATCGCGAGGAGTAAAGTCTATTGGCTTTATTTTCCCGACGATCTGACAATTTAGTTCAACAACGTGAAGAATCCAATGGAAATGGTTGTAAGTTGTTATAGAGAATTCATTACAGAATAGGCACTTTCGAAACGGGGAGAAGTCAGAAGCAGTTCCATGTAGCGAGCCACGCCCCCACGCTCTCTGCCCAACTCCCGGCACTTTGCCCGCTGCCGACATTTAGTTCCCATTATTTGTGTAGTCTTGCTGATTAAGTCTTCAAAGGTCTTCATTAGTCACCGTTTCATGTATGGAGTGTCGCCCTCGCGTTGGGATGACACACCATTCTTGTCCTTTCGTCGCTTGCAATGATGCAGAAGAGCAGTGGTTCTCATCCTTGGCATGATCCAATTTACATAAATCTTCCATTCATCTAAATGTTCTTCAAGGAGATATCCTAAAATTTGCAAGTGCTTACGAGAAATTCGTGGGTCCAACGTTTCGCCTTTGAGATTACACGGCGAGAACATACGAAGGAATATGTGCATGCGTCGTGGTCAAGAAGTTTGAAATCAATTTGATCATCCAATCTTTGACGGATGATTGAAGACATGGTGGTTGGGAGATATCAGAGCAATAATGATATGATCCACGCGGTGCTTATTTCTAAGGTGGCGTTGGAGCAATTGCGTGGGGAGGCGGCCGAGCGATCAATCTGCAGTTGACAAAGAACATGACGGTTTGGTAATACCCAATAATTAACAAGAGTCTGGGTGAAGATAAGCTTGTTTGCCATTCAGTATTGGCATCAGGGGGCGTATGCACTTGTTAGCTATGCATGCAGCATGTTGAAGAGTTTCATCCATCTCACTCGTTTTAATCGTTCCAAGTCGGTGGGCTTTGTCGTCGCTCACGATAGATTGCGAACTATTCAGAGTCAATGTCGATGGTGGCTTATAAGGATCCTAATCATTGTATATATTATGCTGATGGGATTTATATTATCACATCGATATTGTCTCTGCTGCGGCCAACTAAGGCCTGATAAAGTATGAAGCATCCACTGCGTTGTGATAGCCATAACGCTGGCTTGCCTGGCCAATATTATTTTCCTAAGAAGTTTTAGTAAAGTTACATCCTCATTCACTAACCCTATTGTATATATATGCATGTTTGTGTTCCCAGTGTTCCATAAGAGCAACACTAGAGCAATGCCATCAAAAATATACTACTATCTTCAACATGAATGTCAACATACCTTCAACCGTCACCCTAGGCGACCTTCATCTGCCCCGCATCCTTTATCTTCACGGTGAAGGTGTCAACGCTGAAGCTTTCCGCCTCCAATGCCGGGGTCTATTTCGAGCTCTCAACGGCACATTCAGACTCGTCTTTCCTGATACGCCTTATCTATCGCCCGCTGATCCTGGTGTTTTACCCACCTACGCTCATCTACAGCCATTTCGCCGTCCGCTACGATGGAGACCTGAGCAACCTAATCCTGGACCTGACGTCATCTGTGATGACCTTGACATGACTTTGAAAGAGGCAATGAATGGCGATGACGCCTTACTGCTAGTTTAATTCTTCGTCAACAGCTTCGAGCAGAGAAGCTGGGCAAGGCTAAAGCTGGCACGGATTTCAAATTTGCCATCCTTTTAGCCGGTAGAGTTCCTTTGGTTGCGCTCGATCCGTTGCTTACGGACTCACCTGCACTGGCTGATGCTGATGAGTTGACTACTGGAGTATTTTCTCAAGTCACCGGTTCATTTCTTCAAGGATCAGATCATCTTCTGACACTTCCTACTTTGCATGTTCATGGATGAAAGACCCAGGTATTGCTAATCACCGTCGACTTATGAAAGACTTTAGAAAGACTTTTGTAGGGCAGGGACAACTCGACTGGTGGAGTGGGATGGTGATCATCGTGTAGTAATCCGAGCTGCGGATGCTGTTGTTGTTTCGAACGAGATTTTGGCGATGAGCAGACAGACCGGTGCAATACCTTAGGCAGTCAAGCATTCAATCTTTCTCCTTTTAAATAAGCTAGATTACCACAAATGTAACATTCTTTGCGTAGTATAACTCCACTGGTGATATTTGTTAGATTGTGGAGCTCAAGCTGGCAAACGCACGTGTGTAGATGGGTGTTTGAGTGTAACGTAGAGATAGACAATCCGTTGATGAGCTTACCAGCTCCTCGTTTCTTTGATTGCTATGCCCAAAGTAGAAGAATATTAAAAATCCCCGTCTACCATGTAATACCCGTAATATGGGGGACATACAGCTTCAACGGCAGTGCGCTGTCGCAGGATTCTTGCTTATGTGCATAAATATCCGCTCACTGCAGGTAGCTTATGTGTTCGGTATCCACCATGCACTAGATTTGTGGTCGATCTATAATTTTGATATCAAACTCACATGATGGGAATACGTGTGTGTTTGAGGGACCAGTAGCATGCGTCGAGTTGTATTGGAGTCCTCACTCTTGAAGTTTATATATTGCTGCTGGGCGCATCGAAACTCATATTTCCCTTAATCAAGAAACAATCTTATACAACTTTTCAAATCTTTTAAAAGTCCGCACTCAATGGCTATCTCAACGACGACATTTATCCTGTGCGGTCCTCAGGCTCGCCTTCCTGCATCACAAGAACTGGATCAACTCAGAAAAGTCTTGCTGAGCCATGAAACACTCCGCGAGTGTCTAAACTCTACACTCAAAGACCTGCCCAAGCTTTTTGGGTAGTTGACTGCTTCAGATACCTCGTTGAAAGAGGTCCCAGCAGCTGAATCCATCGAATCCCTTTCACAGTGGTTGAAGTCAGGGAAACTCTCCGTACCAGCTGATAAGCTTCTTAATGTTGCTGCATTACCTTTCGCAGTTCTTTTGCAGATCACATTGTATGTCCAACACATGGACAACACAGATTCTAGGTCTGATTACAACCACACACTTCGCTCTCTGCAAAAGTATGGCGTTCAAGGCTTCTGCACTGGCTTTCTTACTGCTGCAGCAATTGACTTATCTGAGAATGAGGAGCAATTGGCCGTGAATACCGCTACTAGTTTGCGTCTAGCAATGTGCATAGGTGCGTACATTGATCAAAATGTTATCTCTGTGGACTCCTTGAGCCCAGTATCTACTCTCCCCGTTCGATGGAAGCAGGGCCAGTTCTCAAAAGCTCAGGTTAAAAAGATATTACGTGGATATTCACACGTAAGCTCCCATTAAAATTGTCCTCTTAAACCAGATTGCTCATTCATATACAGGCTTACATCTCATGCATTACCGACAACACTTGCGTCACTATCACTGCCCAAGGACAAGACGAAAAGAAGCTCACAAAAGCATTTAAAGAAGCTGGTCTTCGTGCCAAAACCGTAGATATCGACGGGCGATTTCATTCAGCTGCCGACCACACTGCAGCAGCTCAAAAGCTAAAAGCCTTCGCACAATCCGCCAAAGATCTTCAGTTTCCTGCAAGTTCCCAACTTAAAGCTCCTTTACGGATGAATATCACGGGAGAACCAATAGCTGGTGACGTCTCAATTACTGATATTGCAAGTGAGAGTATCCTCCTCCATCGGCTGACTAGTACACGACTGTATAGAACACTTTAGGCGCTTTTCCAACTAATAGCCCAAATGTCATTACGTTTGCTTTCGAGGAGGGTGTTTTACCTTTGAGTCTTTCACAGAGAAACTATACCACGGATGGTATCAATGGGGCTAATGGTATCCACAATATTAACGGCACCAATGGTACCAAAGGGGTTAATGGTATAAATGGGGAGCTAAAAGCAAAATATCCACCACATTCAGCGGCAGTAGTTGGCATGTCGTGTCGATTTCCGGGTACCAATGACGTGGATAAATTCTGGGACCTCCTCTCATCAGGCGTTTCCATGGTTCAAAAAGTGCCCGCCGACCGCCTGAATATTCACAATCACAGACTTGCTGACCATAGCAACACTGAATTCTGGGGAAACTTCATTGATGACCCGAAGAGTTTTAACCACCGTTTCTTCAAAAAATCAGGACGCGAAGCCGTCTCCTGGGATCCTGAGAAGAGAGTTCTACTGGAAGTCGTTTACGAAGCTCTGGAATCTACCGGTCATTTCGGCCCTGCTGGTGAGAACCAGCCGAACGATTATGGCTGCTATATTGGTGCTGTGGCAAAGAACTATTATGATAATGTTGCATGCCATCCACCAAATGCATACTCTATGTTGGAACATCGCGCGCGTTCTTTAGTGGAAGAATTGCGCATCAATTTGGATTTTCGAGTCCGGCTATGACGATTGATACTGCATGTTCTTCATATCTAGTGGCGATAAATACTGCTTGTGGAGCAATTCAATCAGGAGAGTGCTCGTGTGCAATTGCTGGTGGAACGAATATTTTTAGCAATCCCTACCGTTATCAGAATCTGGCTGCCGCAGGATTCTTGGGCCCTTCCGGTGGCTGTAAAACATTTGATGCCTCTGCTGATGGTTACTGCCGTGGAGAAGGTGTTGCAGCCGTGGTCCTCAAATCTCTCTCAGCTGCTATTGAGGAGGGTGATCACGTCTTGGGTGTGATTGTTGGATCGGCGGTAAACCAGAATCTCAACGATGCTCATATCACTGTTCCATGCTCTTCTTCTCAAACGACCGTTTACAAGAAGGTGCTTAATATGGCAAATGCTCCCTCATCTAGCGTCACATACGTCGAAGCTCATGGCACCGGTAAGAATTTCCCACCAAAAACCCATGAAATCAATCTAATAGTGTACTGCAGGAACTCAAGTTGGCGACCCCATCAAATGCCAGAGTATTCGTGACGCTTTTGGTGGCTCTGATCGTCAAGAAATGCTCCATTTTGGCTCTGTCAAAGGCCATATTGGCCATACAGAGGCTTCTACCGGTGTCGCTGGACCTATCAAGGTTCTTCTCATGATGAAGCACAAAACCATCTTGGGACAAGCTAGCTACAACAATTCGAACCCAAAGATTCCGCACTTGAACTAGCTATGATAACTATTGCAAAGACTTCCACGCCATGGAAGACATCTTCGAAGCTTGCATGTATCAACAGCTACGGTGTAGTAGGTATTAATGCCGTCGTTGCTGTCCGTGAGGCTGGCTTGAGTCTTCCAAGACTTTGAGTGAACGACCAGCTATTACCGGAAAGCAGCCGTTCTAGCTATCTGCTGCTTCGGAATCCAGTTTGATCGCGTATGCGGGAAAGCCTGTGTCATTTATAGAAGCAGAGCGATCATCTTCTACGAACACTGCCCATCTTCTTTCAGACGTTCTCTTCAACCTGACAGATAAAGCCAACCATACGCTTGCCTACTCAGTTACGAAAGCCGTTACTGATTTAGACGACTTAGAGCAGCTACTCAGGAGTATTGTAGCAGGCACTAAAACGCCAGTGAAAGACTCCTAACCCTACCTCGCGTCCGGTCATCATGGTTTTCGGCGGACAGGAGGGCGATTTTATTGGTATTTCAAAAGAGGCTGTAGAGCAATCCACACTTCTAAAATCTCATCTAGATGCATGCGATTACGAATTGCACAAACTCCGACATGTAAGCATATTCCCGGTTATACATGAACGCGAAAGCATCCAGCACTTGCCAACTCTTCATGCTGTTCTTTTTGCAACCGAATATGAATCCGCCATGTCCTGTATCGACAGTGGAATGCGTGCCAGCTCCATGGTAGGACATAGCTTCGGTCAGTTAGCTGCATTGTGCATTTCAGGCTCTTTATCTCTTGGCGATGCTATGAAATTAGTTGTTGGCCGAGCAGAGCTTATCGGAAAAATTTGGGGTGAGGAGAGAGGATCCATGCTGTCTGTCCAAGCAGACCAGGCGAGGGTAAGGAGTGCCCTGGACAAATTCAATGCCTCATCGTCTGACGGAAAGTTGGAGGTCGCTTGTTTTAACCATCCAACAAACCACGTAGCTGTGGGTACGGCCAAAGTTGTAAGTGCCTTCGAGGCCACTGTTAGTGATGAAAAGCTTCGTGTCAAAAAACTGAAAGCCACATATGGTTTCCATTCGGCCTTGACCGAGGGTATACTACCAGGTCTTGAGAAACTTGCCAGCAGCTTACAGTGGAAGAAACCTACAATTCCCATTGAGCTAGCAACTGAAGAGCACAATTCTGAAGAACCAGGAGCATGGTTAATTCCGCAACACACGCGCAAGCCCGTTCACTTTTCCTCAGCAGTTCAGCGACTTGCTAGGAAGTTCAAGTCTTGCATTTGGGTAGAAGCAGGTCAAGGATCGTCTGTTATGTCATTGGTGAAACACAGTGTTAATGGTGAAGGCGAGCAATTGTACTGTCCCTTGTTTTTGAACGGTCCAAGTGCAGTTTCTTCTCCCGCAAAGACTGCAGTTGAACTATGGAAAGCTGACATCCATGTTCAATTCTGGCCATATCACCGAAGTCAACGAGCTCATTTCGAGCACAAGAGTCTTCCTCCGTACCAATTTGAGAAGACTAAGCATTGACTTCCTTTCATTGACCAGGTAGCTCCTTCAGCACCAGCCACATCAACTGCCCCCATCGTAAAGATGCCCCCATCGCATCAGTTTTATTTCATTCTTGGAATTCTCCGATTCAAGCAAGAAAGAAGCACTTTTCCTTGTCGACCCCGAAAGCCCGCGTTACATGTATCTATTGAACGGCCATATCGCATCCGATCAAGCCCTCGCGCCTGTATCTCTTTACGTCGAACTAATTTCCCGCGCTACTATAATGTTAACAGAAGGTGCGAGCTTCAAAACACACGTCATTAACATGGATTCAATGGCAATGAAAGGTGCACCAATTGGTCTCGATGCTAAGAAGAACATATATATCAAACTTAAGCACATTACACCAGGCGTAGACTATCGGGATCTTGAATATTCCAGTAAGCTAAAGGAGGGCGGCGAGTATCAAATCCATGTCACCGGAAGAGTAAGACTTGACAAGCGTAATGATCCTGGATTGGCCAATAAAATCATGCAATGGAGTGCGTTTATTGGATACAAGAGGTGTCTCCAAATCATGAGCAGTGAAGACGGAGAGAAGATGCAGGGTAAGCACATTTATCGCGCACTGCAGAGATTTATTTCCTTCGATGAGATGTACCATGGTATCAAGAGCATTTCATACCAGGGTCACGAATCCGCAGGAAAGGTTGCAGCGGAGCTAGATTCTAAGCTTTCTCCTGACGAAGCTCTGTATGACGCGCCCACCATTGACGGAATGATGCAATTTGCCGGAATTCTAGTGAATTGGTTTGCACATCCTAGTGGTAAAGACGTCCTACTCTGCCAGGGAATCAATCGCGTTATTACTGGAGGTAGTTTCGATATAACGGCTAAAAAAATGGATTGCATACTCGCTTTTGACTGAGGATACCGAGGAGCGCACGGTCAGTGATGTCTACATTTTTTGATAAGAAGTCGCGAAAAATTGTGATTGCCTTTATCGGATCCGTTTTTACAGGAACTTCGGTATCCGTCTTGCAACGCTCGCTCAGAAGTGTCAATATGGGTGGACCGGGTGCCAATCCTACACCAAAACCAGCAGGTGCCTCTGCTCCCAAATTAATTGCCGCCGCTCCCCCAGCTGCTGGAGCTCCGATACAGTCTAGTAGGACATCAAAGATACTGGAGGTTTTGCAAAATGTCACAGATGTTCCAACGGATGAACTTACTCCTGATGCGACACTTGAGGAGATTGGAATCGATTCTCTCTTGTTTACTGAAGTCTTGAATGAGATTCAATCTGCTTAAGGTCTTGAAATTGACCTCAACACGTTCCTTTTCCTTCCAAACGTCAAGGCTGTGTGTGATCATATCGATTCTGCCCTAGGAGTCGTCCCAGGCGCGGCTGTTGAAGCTTCTGCCCCGGTCGAAGCAAAAGTCAATGGCGTTTCCAAAGTAAGCGCATCGTCTGCTATCCTAGAAGGTGACTCGACGCCATCGTTCCATCGTACTCAGAAGCTCTTCGCAGAAAACAAAGATCGCTATGAAAGGGCTGCTTTCCAGATCAAAGAGGTGGGATTCTAGAAGGAATGCTGCCCCTGTGAAGCTGCGCTTGTGCTAGCGTACGTCGTAAAGGCATTTGCCAAGTTAGGCTACGATATGTCTGTACTCAAAGCTGGAGATATCGCCCCGTAATTCCACACTTGCCTAAGCACAAGCGACTTATGCGCCAATTATACCGAGTGCTCGAAGATGGCTGACTCATCAATGTCAATGATCAAAGCCAATTCATTCGCACATCAAAGCCTGTCGATCCTACGCCCGCATTGACCATATATGATGAGATCATCCAGCATTCCCACTCCACGCTAGCGTGCATAAAGTCACTGCGGCTGTTGGAAAGGAACTCGCAGGGTGTTTGACTGGTGAGAAGGATGGTCTCCAAATCGTGTTCGGTAATAAAGAGAACAAGAAAGCCCTCGATGATCTCTACGAGAACTGGCCTCTTGTACGCTCGGGCACCATCGGATTGGGTGAGTACCTTGAGAAAGCCATGGCAAACCCGGATAGACCTGGTAAATTCCGCATACTGGAAGTCGGAGCTGGTACAGGTGGTACAACTAAGTACATTGTTCGCCATCTACAGAAGTTGGGTATTCCGTTCGAGTACGTCTTCACAGACTTTTCCGCATCGCTCGTTGCAGCCGCCAAACGTACATTCAAGGATTTTCCTGAGATGGAATTTACGACATTGGATATAGAGAAAGAGCCAAAAGAATCTTGGATTCACTCATTCCACGTCGTCATCTCAACGAATTGCATCCACGCGACAAGAAACCTGGCCACATCATTAACGACGATTCGAAAGCTGCTCCGAGATGATGGTGTCGTAACATTGGTCGAGATTACTCAGAACATGTTCTGGTTGGATATTGTTGTTGGATTTTTCGAGGCATGGTGGCTATTCGAGGATGGTCGAGAGCATGCAGCAACACATGAGTCGCTTTGAAAGAACGCTCCGCGCTAGATTTGCCGCAGTGGATTGGACAGATGGAGAAGAACCCGAAGCACGCACCATTCGTGTTATTGCAGGGTTCCCTACAAACTTAAGTGCTTGATGGAGTATGAAGAAGAGCCCAGCAGTATAGAAAGCTGAGGGCTGAAGTTGAAGAATTCTCTACAATGTGAAATGTATAGGTTGGTGGAAGGCGGAATGAATTCGTGGTAAAAGCGTGTCACAAGAATGTTTGTGTACCAGTAAAGACTCGGCTCACTCTCCCGTGTAAATGTTCCCATTTATCTTCACACATGAAAGAAGTTCTTAGAAAGGCGTCTTTTTCTTGATAAATGTTCTGACTCGTAAGGAAGGATGGAGATTGGGGCAACTTTTCATGTGCAACAAAATATTTCTATCCTCACCGCTCGGCAGAATAATTGTCGATATTTATGATTGATATAACCCTCAGGCCCCGGATTCTATACTTATCCAGCTGCTACTCCAGCTAGCATTTAAATTTAGAACCTTCATTATCAAACCATTATCTTGCGGCTTATTGATTTTATATGATGTCGCATTAGCGCCCGTGGCTTTATAAACCAGCTTGCAGCAAGGCTAAGGGAACTCGCATGCGTAGATAGATAGATACCTTGCAGGTAATCAAGCTTTACCAGGCAGGATTGCTTGATTCAACGTTCTTCAAGGCCTCGTTTTATCATTCCCTACCAAAGCTGTAGTTCTGATGAGATGTTCAAATGGCGCAGCACGTATAACATAAGCTCATCAGAAAAGTGTGATCAAAACCGATGTGATCCGTGGGAGCCCATCTATATTTCGATTTAAATCCATCTAGATTTATGAGACTAAAATCGTAGTCTTAACCGTCTTCGTACAGTTATGTACTCCGTAGTCCACCTCGCTAAGAAGAAATTGTGGGTAAATTTGGGTTCAGAATCTTTGACTCATATTCTTGCAAAAGATCTGTGCAAAACTGCAAATACTGCTGGCAGGACACGCTTCTTCGTTTACGGATAAGTGCACACCGAAAGAAACTCTAAAGGGAGTACAGGATCCTCCATGCGCTGCATGAGTGGGCTCTTAAGTTTTAACATTGTACGTCAAACAACCAACGAGAACCAGGAAAGAAGATGTACATCTGAGACTCTGACATTAGCTACCAATGACCTTTCATCATAACCTTACGAACAGCACTACGACCAAATATCGTTGTGGTACCAGCTCCATAAATTTCTTCGAGATTACGGGATAGTAACTGCCATGGCCTTACCCGTTTCCAAAGTCTTTAGGCCCCTCATAAACTCAGTGTATCTGCGAATAGAGTTTGGAGGCTTGAATGTTCAGACCTGCTCCTGTATAGGAGGAAGGGATATCTCCATCGAATATTACCTTGGCGTAGTTTTCTCTTCTAGATCGAGTACCTGGTACTCCGTACTAACAATACAAAGATTAAATAGATTAAACTTTTCTGCTTACAAGGCCTCTTCCTCGTACAGCCAGAAAGCATATTAAATGCTCCTATTCTAGTTTGGATTTGTGGGGCTAAACCTTAAAGGAGAAGTGGTTGAACCAACAAAATAGACAGAATAGATTATTTTCTATTGTTTTACTTTTATCGATTCATATATGTTTTCTCGCTTTAATATAATTTTGCTACCTTGAGTAAAGATAGTATAGATTAACAAGATCTATCTCTACACTTTGTTGCTCTTGTTGACTTCTTGGGGAATTTTGTCGCTCCTATTTACAGCAGAGTACGAAGGGCATGTATTTATTGTGTGTGACATGCTTCCTGGTCATACGAGTAAGATCCCTCGTTGTGCGCCCCTGGATTCAAGCGTCATACTCCGTAGAGCTAAATCGCTTATCTCTTATATCCGTTTCTACGGGCGTCGGATGTAAATTCAATGGTGGATACGGAGATAAAAGCACGGATCTGTTATTACATCCGAAGTAGTACATATTCCGTAAACCTTATATTTGTTGATGTTGGGGGACCATGGGGCTGGGAATGTCTGTCTACTTGTGTCGCTTGTATAAAAGGAAAGATTCGACAATGCTTCCATCGTATTCGTAGACGGACCGCTAATGTAATAATACACTCTTACGATAATGTAATCTGTACGTACAGATCTAGACTATGTATGGTATGTAGAGTAGATGATGAAAGAAAAGTAAAGTTCTACTCGAGTATATATAACGGAGTAGGCAGGTAGGTTCTCCACTACGTCTCGGCAGTCGGAGCTTGGAAGCCCCGATGATTGACGTTTGCAGCAAGCTTATCAAGCTGGGTTTTCTAATCCAACACATGTGCCTGCATGGAATCAGGAGTCCCTTATGAACGTATTAAGTGTCAACAACAACAAAAAACACCTCTTCAACGTCCTTAATCCTGAACCTTGAATCTTGCATAAGCACTCAGCCTCGATTTATTTCATTTTAATTTCAAAAGTTTCATCACACATCACCAGGTGATACGCTTATTATAGGACGGACTACCAGTCTGTTGTGTTTTGGAAACAGGAAAAGTTCTGTGGGTGATATTTTCATTCAGTCAATCAACCCATTTGTATCAACCAACTCTTCTACAATAAATAGCCTCATCATGAGTTCGAGTGGCCCGCCGGTTCCTACCGCCAATAACTCGAATGCTCAACAACCTCAACCACCACCAAAAGTTCTTAGCTGCACGAACTGTAGACGACGTAAGATAAGATGCAACAAAACGACAAATCCTTGTCTCCCGTGTCAAGTGAGTAGACTGTGTTTTCCCTATCTTCCATCCATCCTCTTTGAATATCGATGACCAACTCACAGTCAGGCATCTGGTACGGAATGTATCTTCCCTACCCGAGTCCGCAATCCTCGGCCGAGACAGAGTAATCCAAAGTCTCGTGATGCTGAGCTGTTGAAGAGGATCTCTCACCTCGAAAGTTTGGTGAGCAGAATTGATGCCACAAAACTCACCGGTGATGCCAGTCCGACAGAAGACAATAGCCGATCAAATGAGCCATCACCAGCAACGCGGACTCATCGTTCTTTCACATCCCCAAGTAATTACCCCAGGCTTCCGGAGACTGGTTTAATACCGGGTCGTATGGATCACCAATTCGCTTCATTCATAAAGCGCCAGGAGACCGACTCGATTTATCCTCATGACGGCTTTTGGACGAGATTAAGTGAAGAAATCGATGGATTGAAGCAGCTCATTGAAACCCCGAGCGACGACGAAGAAGAGGCTTCTGCATCAACTGCAACGTCGCCCGCCTCCAAGTATGATTCCCCTTCGCTGTTTGTCTTTGATTCTAGGGTGACCTCTTCGAATATATCAATCTCGTATCCGTCCGACCGTCATCGCGATATTTTATTCGAATTTTATTTCAAAAATGTTCATCCTTTAATAACTGTAATGCATGAACAAACGGTATACCTCACAACACATTCAGACTCTGGACTAATTGACCAAGATACCGGTCGACACAAGTTCAAAAGTCTTCAAGCTGTCACGTGCTCTTTTTGCTTTGCGGCAGTAACGAGCATGACAAATGAAGAGTGTCTCGAGCATCTTGACGAAGAAAGGGACATCTTAGTGGCACGATACAAAACTTCGACGGAGATTGCTCTTCAGGAATCGGATTTTTTAAATAGTGTGGAAATCGTTACCTTACAAGCTTTGTTAGTTTATATTGTAAGTAAACTTCTTCTTCTAGGCATCTTGGTCAGTGATTCTGTAATATTTTATTTATGTACGTATTTTAGGCAGCCATGCGCTCTCATGATCGAAGTCGAACTACCTGGACATTCATCGGTCTGGCAGTTCGCATTGCTCGTGCTCTTGGACTTCACAGAGACCCTACCGGTGACCCTTTCGATGTGCAGATGCGAAGAAGAGCATGGTGGTCGTTGCTTGTACTCGATACTAGAGCTTCTGAAGATCGTGGTACTGAAGCAATGATAACGGATGGCTCTTTTGACACGAAAATGCCTGCCAACGTTAACGATGAGGACTTCGGGACGGCTTCTGAATCTCCTGTGGTGGATAAGATAGGACTTACCAGCATGGCTTTTCCTTGCATTACAATGATAGTCAGTGGAATCGGATTGAAGATGAATTTCGTGTCTACCCAAAAGGATGCGCCGGTCTGGACCACGGAACAGAAAGAACAGATGATCAAGGGATTTACTGATAAGGTAGAATCAACCTATCTTGCAGGTTGTGACCCCACAGATCCTAAATCCTGGTGGATTTGTCGCATAGCACGACTTTTATCTCTCAAATTATGGTTGTCTACACAATATCCGCTTCAGCGTAGGAAATCGACGTATCGAGTACTTCCTCGAGGACAATCTCTGCGCACTGCCATGGCATACCTAAACTTGATTGAAGAGTTGCAGCAACATGAGGGTTGCGGAGGGTGGTTTTGGCTTTTCAAAACCTATGTCCCATGGCATGCGGTCGCTGTGGCTCTAGCTGAGCTTTGTGCTGAACCGACTGGCCCTCTTGCTGATGAAGCTTGGGGGGTCATTGAACATCATTATAATAAATGGAGTGAATATGTCGCAGACACAAAGGATGGAATGATTTGGCGACCAGTTAAGAATTTGCTAAAACGAGCCAAAGCAGAAAGGAGGCGAGAAAGGGCCTTCAGTGGATCGCAAGCATCGGCAGCCACCCCAACCTTTTCCGAAACTAATATTTACAGTCCACCTTCCGGATTGGGTCCCGAATTCTCTTCAGTTATGCCAGAAAATAACAACTACCACCAGCCATCAACTATTGAACAAATTGGCCCAAGTGGACATAACCCATACGGTCCAATGGGCTTCGATCTTCCCATACCCATGGCTCCTACCGCCATGGATACGAATATGGTATCACCATTAAATATTCCGGACGCTTATACAAATGCACATTGGAATGAATTCATTTTCGGATTAGGGGCCGTTGGTGCGGACGGACATCAAAATCCAGAGTTGTGGAGTGCATATCAAGATTACTTTACTGGCTCTTGATCATTTTAGGAGAGCATTGAAAATCCTCAAATTCGCCTGCAACTACTACTGCCATACTTTTGTGATGATTGCTTGGCTTGGACAGTATGTGTACGATCAGAAAGACGTTGTAATATCAAATATCTCCTCTCGTTTAAGTCGTTTTACATACATATTATACCAAAAGCTGAGGGAACATCTTCGGATAAATTAAGGTTATGAGAGCACGAATTTATTACTCGTAATTCTAAGCACGCACAAGCCTTACAAACAATTTCAAAATGCCGATAATTTGTTTCTGATATTGGCCCGCGCGCAGAACTTTATCACGGTTTGGGATACTGGAGGTCATTCAAAATCATGACAACAATTACTATTTGGGTAGTAAAGCCCGTCGGGTTAGGAAATACCGGTACAATGGAAATCCCGTCTGGAGATTTTAATTGCAAATAGACATGATCAAAATGTCACATTCAGATAGCTTCTAACAATCCCTGCGTCAAGAACCTAGGTCTCGCCATGCGGAGGAGTACTTGAGTGAAACAAATGGTGAAGCGAATTTTGATTCACTCTCCGACCGTGCAAAGGCACGCACGTATGTTTCGAAATAAGAACGGCTTAGGGCGCATACTGATGAAATGCTACTTGAACATGGCTCAATTTATAAGCTTCATCTGGAAAACAGGGCAGATTTTCTTTGTGTAAGAATATTTCGGGCGGTGCAGGATTGGGGGTTGGGGAACATTTATAAATCCTAATTGGAAATAATTGCATATTAACGGTATTATCAGAACTTGACACAATCTCACTTGTTCTATGGAATCATTGTGTGTACATGGAGCTTTCGTCTTATGTATGAATGGATGTGGAGGGGGACAATCGAGGGCATGTATATTATAATGGACTGTTGCATGTGACGAGAAGTCATTGACAGACAACCATTTTCAACAAGGTCATGAAATAGGAGTCTATTCTCTTGGATCTACATGAGCAATTCCGCAATATTTGATTAGTGATCATGTTCAAGAAGATGCAGATTTCATCCACATGGATAGCCTGGACAATACTTTCAATTGCTGGCCATACTCAGTATTTCGCAAAGACCAAATCAATATGAACAAGGCCATGACTTAATCTAGTTCGTTCAATTATTCATCACATGTCAATTAGTCATACTTCAGGTTCCTTGCCCTTTAGGTCATAGGCCGATCTTTGTTTTACCCCTGATCCAAGCTTTAGCCACAGCAGATCTAGTCAAGACAACCATGCTACACGATCGCATCGCGCATCATGTTTGGTTTTCCAAAAGCAGACTGTTGCGAAGATGGACGTGACTAGTGGAGAATTATTAGTGAAATTCATTCATCATAAGTGCACAACAATCCTCAACCAACTTTTCCTTTAATACGAGATGGACATCGCTTGATTTCCATATCTTTTCGCAGACGATTTTTTCTTTGCTTGTGCTTTTGCCGGGAAGTTATGGTGACTGGACCTTTACTACATTTATTTAATCATGGGTTATGTTGAACATATACCACAGCAGCGCGTCTGGACGCGAAATCTTTTCGTAATTTTTGCTTCTATATTACTTTTCTTTAATACTATATTATTATTACCATGGGGAATATACCATGTTCAGTCATTTCTACATACCGATAACCACCCTATCTCACAGTTTTCTTCCACCATTGCTTCTCTCGAAGCTGTAGATATTGGACAATTGCAGGCAGGGGGAGACATTGCAACAGTTCTCAAGACAGCAGCTGATATCTTGGGCTCTGTAAGCGCTCAACATCACCTTGCTTCCCTACAGGCACTCAGCAATGATTTGCATAAGTTAGCTGGGGATACACAGCAAGCACGCAGTGGAAGCAGTGGAAGCAATTTGCGATCTAGAGGAGTTTTTGAGGATTTTGCTTCGGCTTTCACAGGTGGAGCAGGAAAAAAAGGTAAGGCAGCAGGTGCTGGTGGGGCCACGGGAGGAGGTGGATTCACGGGAATTATTGAGTCGCTTGGAGAGAAAGTTCTTGGTATTACTGCCGATTCGCTGGCCACGCCGGCGCAGTTTCTTGGTGATGGTGTCGGAAGGGGTGTTACCAGTGGTCTCAAGATCAACAATGGAGTTAAACAGACTTCGACTCAAAAGCCATCTGGCATAAACGCTATTGCCGACAATCTTGGATTTGGGTAAGCAAACTCTCGACCAAAATATGTGAACGTCGTCACATTTCATGGTCTCTTTTACTGACTTTGGTGTTACAGCGTTTCCAATGCTCTTGCAGGAAGTCTAGACACTTCATCATTTACTCAGGGTGCAGGAGCAGCTTCTGCCGCTCTCGGAACAGGTCTAGGAGGAGGAACGGCCAGTGGTTTGGGGCTCAACAAATCAGCCGTCGCTGCTCCAAATGGAACTGGTATTCCTTTGATTATTGGTAACCTCGGAAGTGGCCTTACTCAATCTCTTTTCTCAAACATTGATATGTCGAAAATAATGGGTAATTTACCCACTGGCATGCTACAATCTGCTGTTATTAATGCTGGAAAAGGTATGTTTGTCTCTATCATATGGTAAATTGATGCTAATAGTATTACAGGTTTGGGAGAGGGTGCTGCACAAGGTCTTAATTTACCTATGAACGCAGCAACTACCATGAAAATGGAGATGAAAAGGGCTGCTGAAGCTGCTGCCGCAAAAACTAATACCACAGGCTCCGGGCTCAATATTGACATGGTTGCATATGGGTTCACCAAGTCACTGTCAAGTTCATTCCTTGGCGCAGTAGATGTTCAAAAATTAGCATCACAAGCCATGTCCGGATCCAATCTTACCAGTATGGTTGGCCCTGTCCTTGTTGGAGCCGGCTCCGGATTGGGTGCTGGTGCTGCACAAGGACTTGGTCTCTCAAATGCAGCCGTTGCTCCCACCACTGGAGCCGATACTGCAGGTCCAGAAGTGGCGCATAACTTTGCCTACACACTTACCACCACTTTCCTCGCTAATGGAACTCTGCAAAGCTTACAGACCAAACTCATGAGTATCATGTCCATGACCAATATTTCTGGTATGCTAGGCCCGGCAGCTCTGGGAGCTGGAAGTGGTATTGGACAGGGTGCTGCCGTGGGGCTTGGACTGCAAGATCCTCCAACCGCGCAGAGTTCAATGGATGGAGGTATCGCTATGACCGCAAGAGATTTCTCATATGGTCTCACAAGTAACTTCCTTGCAAATGGCACGGTTGCGCGTCTTCAGGCTAAAGCAACATCTCTTCTAGGTGGAGGTTTAAACTCCTCCGCCGGAGGATTAATGTCAACCTTGCAAGGTGTATCTGTTTCCAAGGCAGCCGAAGGACTCGCAAGAGGTCTTGTTGATGGTGCCGGTCAAAGTATTTCCACCATGGGAGGTTTCCAAGCAATTCTCAATGGAGCCAATTCAACCCAAGCTATGATGCAAGCAGCAACACCGATTTTCAAAACGAATGATTTCAATGATACGACAGGAGGAGTGGCAACTTCTTTTGGTCAGGGTTTGGGTGGTCAGGGTGTTGCTTTGATTGCACAAATGTTGGGGATGAGTATGTCCATGCCTGGAAAAGTATCAGAAGCCCCAGCACCAATATCCTCCCCAGATGCTCCAGCAGGCAACTTCTCCTCTCCAGCTATGCGCGCACGCTCCTATAGACCCTCCTCTATTATCCGCCGAACTGTACCTGTCGCACCCACACTCCCTAAACTCAAACTCGACAAAAGAGTGGATGCCAACACTAACCTCAATATTTCCGATATCACGTCTGGACTCATTAGTGGCGTAAACACAACATCCCTTAATACAGTTCTTCAAAAAGGTGTTGATACTCTTACATGTCAGGGTGTTGGGGGCCTTGTACAAATCTTCTCAGGTTTAGTAGCTGGCGGGACTATTCCCTCGACCTTCGCTTCCGGAGGAACTTCCATCATGTTACCTAATACGGTTTTCACAATCACGAACGAGGGTAACGAGTTTAAGGTTAATCCCGCGACGAAGGATATTGAGGTTAATGGGGTTCCGCTTACTAAGTTGGTGATTTTAATTGTGGCGCATGGTACGGTTTTTTATTTCTTCCTCCGTCTTCTCTTCATTCTCACCCATAATGTATAAACAAATTTACTAACCCCCAACACAGCTCTCCTATTAGTCCTCGTCTACTTCATCGCCATCCCCTTCGCACTCCTCCTCTCCTCCGGCAACGAAATAGCAACCATGCTCGGACGTCCCCACATCTGGGCCTCCGCCCCCAAAACCCGTTTCTACATCTGGGTATTCGCCGTTCTACCCCTCTCCCTTGGTGGACTCATCTTCGGCATTCTCCTCCTCGGATCCGCTCCACACGGAAACACATTCCACGGTATCATCGGCTTCATCACTATCGCTCTCACATTCGTAGCTTTCATTCTCGAAATGAAATTCAACGAGAGTATCAAAGCGCTGCAATTAATGAGGGGTATCGTACTTACTGCTCTGCTAGGAGGCGCGAATGTGGCTTTCGTGACGGGTCTTGTTGATATTCAGAGAATTAGTTTGTGTACGGTTGAGCTTCCTGATATGGTTTTGATTGGGGCTGCGATGAATGTTACGAGTTCGTTTACGACGGGTACGACGGTCGTGACGGTTAAGATGTTTATTCAGAAGTGGATGAAAAGGGAGATGATGGGGGTTCCTTCTGGGAGTGCGCAGAATATGGATGCGAAATTTGGGGGGGATGTTGAGAAGAGCGGATTTGAGGATGAGAAGGTCGGATTTAGAGATCGTATTAGGAATTTGGCGGGGAAGAATGATGTGTAGAATATGGTTGATGAGTTGTGTTTAGGATGAGGCTTTGAATGAATGGGTGGTGGGTGTAGGATAGAACGAAGGATGATGGAAGGTGAAGAGACGGGTGAATGGCTCAGGCTGTATGGACAGACTGACGGACGCATAAATGCGCAAGATCGGATACCCCTTGGAATTCGACTGGTCGACTTCTGTACTATCTTTTATTAATATGTAGATCTCAGATCTTACTTCATGTATTATTACCAAATTGGTAGCTTCCCAGTTCCAAATGAGAATATTTATAAGGACCACTATCCTTGATTAACTCCTCTTGATTCTCATCTCTCTTCTATTCTCTATATCTAATCAAATCCCTTCAAATCTTTTATCTCTGGTTCATGGTTCATGGTTCATAGCTGGTACAGAGGATATCATTTGAGATCTTAATTTACTCCTCGAGCGAGGAAATGTTTACTGGTAAGATTATTATATATTGAATGAATGACTGGAGAATCTATATATATCGTTTATCCAAATGCTAATTGATAAATAATCTTGTTATTTGATTGTAAATTGATGGTATAGTAGTACAGAAAGAATATCTATATATATAGATGGATAAGAATATAACTCCCTCCCCTTCTATGATCAAAACGGGATTCTTTGATCATCCTCGCTTATCTCGCACTTTTCAGCAACTCCCTTCCCAACTCCCCTCTCAACTCTTCATGCCAACCCCACCAATTCATCCCTACACTGCACAACTCCTCAAATTCCATCCTACATCCCACATCCTAACTCAACCCCACAACCTGAAAATTATAATTACACAAATCCGCCTTATCCACCACATCCAACGGACCCTTCCCACTAACAACCACCACACCCCCAGCATTCAAAACACTCATCTCCACAGACCCAGTCGAAATATTATTCACAACCATAGTATTAAACCCGGCACTTAAATCCTGAGTCCCCAAAACCTTCCCCCCAACACTAATACTCCCCCTCAAACCCTGGACACCCCTCGCAACCAACACCACGGCCGTAACACTATCCTCCACACCATCTATCCCGTCCGGTTTTCCCAACCCCAATTTATCACCCGTGCAATCCCCACCCTTCAAAAGCGTATGATGCCAAAAAGTCCCCTGGGCATCTTTCCCATTCGTCGGAACCATAGCCGTCGTACTCCTCGCACCACTTTTCCACACGCTGATGAAACTCTGCAGGATTTGCCAATAGCCTGTATGATCATATGCGATACTCGACAGGGCTTCCGGTGTACTATTTGAGACTAAAGGTTCCGGCCATGAATTTCCCATGTAGTGTGATTCGCCTGCGTCGTTCCAGGTTTGGAACTCGATAAAATCGGGTTGCAGGGCTAGGATCTGATCGAAGCGTTTTTCGAGATTGGCTTCGCCGCGTCGATACCAGTTTTGCGTTTTGTCAATGTGTTTGAATTGGAGGGGGGAGATTCCCATCATGAATCCTTTTCCGGCAGCCTTTGCTGCCTTTTGATATGTGACGTCGTCGACGGTATTAACGGGTACATCGCCTGCTGTATAGCTGGGCCAGGAATTCCAATTGAATGTTCCATTCAGAGTTGGATATTCGGTAGTGAAGAATGAAGAAGAGGCAGCTACATCTTGAAAAGAGGGGATGAAATAGATGGGATGACCTGATGCGGACATTACTGCCTGTAGCTCGTTTTTCCAGCCGTCGTTCACAGTATCTTGACCAAATTTAAAGTTCGAGGCACCACCGTTAAAGGTGGAGACAAATGGTTGGCCGGAATAGTAGTAGTAGGCGCTGTTAGTGACGTAGGTTTTGAGGATTGGGATGAATTGAGACGGGGATGTAAAGCCTGTCATGTCGAAAGAGAAACTAGGTGTGAAGATTAGTTAAAATTCTCTTACGGTGATGGAGAATGGTAAGTACAATAGTTTGAAGTTATGGGTTTGGGCGTATTTAAAAAGCGAGGCGACTGTGTTGGTTGCCCATGAATTGCTAGAATCTAGCGTTACGGCTAGATGATTCGAAGATTAAGTCATGTCTGTATTGCTGGTGGATGGCAACCTACCGAGATTAAGTGCAAAAGCATCAACTCCTAAAGCTATTGCATCAATGATATCTTGCTCACAATGAGCATCATTTATTCCTCCTACCATGTAGTGAAAGAACCTGATAGATTAGTATATCTCTAATATGACTAAATATGATGCTTACACTGGTTTTTGAATAGCTGCTGCATTAGAATTTGCTACTGCAGTGCTTAATGCGGACTTTGAAGTTGCAACCGCCTTTGAAGAAGTCCTGCTAGCAATATTTGAAGTAATACTACCAGTCTCTCGCACGATTGCTGATGTTATATGAGCAGAAGTGGCAATCGTAGGAACGGCAGTTATTGCAGAACCCGTCCCAGTAGACCTCTGCAAAGAAGTAAATTTTCCAATTCCAACCGAATCACAAACAATCGACTTACCAGAACCGCCGAAGTAGTAGGAGCCACAACAGAAGAAACACAAGTTCCCGCTCGACGAGAAATATGATCATAAGCACCAACTAAGCCCACTTCACAACAGAAATCATTTCCATCCAGCCCAGCCCATAAATTCCAACTATCATCAGCACATTTTGGAGCTGCTTCAATAATGCTGCGACATTCGCCTGGGTTTCAATATATATTAGATTTCCAAGAATCCGAAGAGACGGAGGAAGTACCTTACCTGTAGGACAACAAGCAGCAACCTCTGAATTTGCAGGTTTTGCACAAACCATTTTCGATGGACAACATGCTCCAGGTGCAATACTCCCGCAAGATGTACTTCCTACCGCACAATTCTCTGCCTGGAGAGACCAACCGGGAGATGCAATAATATTGCGATTTGTGTGAAGAGAATTCCTAGGTAAATTTCTTGCTAAAACCAAGCTTGAAGAAACCAGGAGGGAAATGAATGACAAATGCATGATTGCAACAATAATAATGATGATTTGAAAACAGCAACTCAGCTATGCATGATCTGCTCGAAAGAATGTAAGAAGAGAAAAGAACTAGTCAAGAACAGTATCACCCAAAGACTAGTTGCCCAAATAATAAGATCTTCCAAAAGAATGAATGACAAGAAGTCGTACTTTAGGAATAAGGTTGAGAAAGAAAGAAGGATAAAGTACTTATAATATCCGCAGTGTTCCTACCATTGAATTAAAGATTAAACATGATCTCGCATATAAATCCTACGGCCTCAACCGCTATGATCATCTTGTATGAAGAGTTCGTAGATGGACTCATCCATCATCATCAATTGCATTTCCACCTCCATGATGCTCCATCTCATCCTACCTAGCTAAACCTCACCATTATTCCATTCATCTCCCCATAATCCTTGTCCCTCTCGCTCTCGCTCTCGCTCTCGCTCTCGCTCTACTATCCCTCTACTCTACATAATCGTAAGACTTACAACAAAAACAAAACAAAATAAATCACTTACACACGCAGGATCAATATACACAAAAATATGGAGTAAACCCATAATTCCTCCACCTTTCTAATTAGCCATTGCCATTTATGATTGGTCTTTTTACCTTTCTAGCGTAATACTTAAAACAAACAGCGCTACGACAAATTCCTAAAAGGACTGAAGGATGAAGTTGTTGTATTTTGTAAATGAGTTAAAATGTTAACTTTAACTACCTGGGTTACTCGTTCAGTGAAACGCACTAATTTATTATCGATCCCACGCGTATTTCCTACCTGCTATTTTGCTAGGTAAGGTTAATCATTATGAGTATATAATATTATTCCCAATATATAACAGCAAAATCATTACATACGCATTTACTTACTTATATATTAGATACCCTTATAATCTTGCGTATGTCATAAGATCTTACCAACAGTGACTTCATCTACAAAACCATCTATAAATACGCAGATAGATAAATAGTGTCCTTGACCTAACACTGATACACACTCTATCTCCGTTTCATACCTCAAGACATATCAACTGCTAGGTATATAGGTAGGAATTGAAACAAAGTTCTCATCTTCATCTTCATCCTCATATTCATTTTGGAAATCCTCATTTGTATCTATTTGTATGTAAGATTATCTATCCTTAGATCTTGAATTTGATGTCGGGATAGGATAAATCTTATTTACCTGCATTATAAATGCAATAATTACTACGCATTCTGGAATTCCTTCTATCGAACTTCCTTTATTTCATTCACTATTTATCATTCACCGTTCCCTACTCCTTACTTCTCGAGATTCTTTTATATAATACCGAATCCAGCATCTAGCATCCCCAGCCAACACCTAGCATCTAACATCTAAACCCTCTCAAAATGATCTCCGTATACCTACCTACCTACCTAACCCCAGCATACATGCACATAACCAAGATTCTCCCTCCTCCCTCCAGATACATTCCAAGTAACCCCATCTCCCATCTCCAACTCCATCCCATCCCATCCCATCACATCACATCCCATCCCATCTCTACTCCCATCTAGATATCAATCCTCCCCCTCCAACACAACACTAGTAATAATATATCAATATATTAACATATTAACATAGATATAATTGTCGAGTACTCAATTCTCAAGTTTAAATAAGAGCTTATATACCTTTCTATTCTATATTTCAGATTTCGTATTTTAGATTTTAGATTTTAAAGTTCAAACTTCAGACTTCAAATACAAGATATAATTTAGATATCAAATTTCATCATATCATATCATCAAATTATAATATTACAAATCGAATATAGGATAATAAATCACAATTATAAGCCCCCACTAGCAACTATTTTTCAACATTTCGATATTTCGCTACTCGTGATATACACAAAAACCATCCCTAAAACCATCCCTCAAAAACCACCCCTACAAAAAACCAAAACCCCAGATCCTCACTTTCCATCCCCTCCCTCCCCTAAAACGTCCTACACAAACACCTCAAATTCTCAAATTCTCAAAGCCTCAAGTTCTCAAATCTAACCTCATCCCTTCCCCTTCCCTCCCCTTCATCCCCCACCCACTCCCTCACCCACCAAAAAAAAATACTCCAAATAAATCACCAAATAAAAACATCTAAAAGCACCTAGATACAGCACATATCCATTTCTAACAACCTCTTCATCATCCCTTCCATCCTGCTCTTCCCCCTATCTCCCCATCTTTTGACTTTTGACTATACTTGAATAAGAAGTTTGATGTTAGATATTGAATATGATACTAGATATTAATTAGACAGAGATGGAAGGTGGAAGGAGTTAGATAGTTAGATATAACATAACATAACTAAGCTAGCTAGTGACAAGTGTGTGATCGAAAAGGAGACATGAATGAAATACACACAGGAAGAATATAAACCCCAAACCAACATCACATAAAATAACATAATATGACAAGAAATCCATTCACCAAACGAACAAAACAAGGTATAGAGTGTTTATTCATAAAACTAACAACATCCATCGTAGCATATCTCCCAACGCGATTGACACCAAAGCTCATTGAGAACTATTTCATTTCCCGATCCGCTCATTAGCAAGTAGTAAGGTTATTCCTGGCAACCATTTTGTACCTGCTAGGTAGGTAGGTAATCTTAAACCCATGATCAAATAAAAAGAATCCACGCAGCAATCCCACATCCATCCCACATCCGACAAAAGGAGTATGAAAAGGAATTGATATCCATGTTATGCTAGAGACTTCCTTGCACAAAAGGCAAAGAAGAATCATGTAACGCCCGAGTGCCTGTAATCCTCTACTGAAGAAAAGATACTGAAAGTTATGATAGCTATCCTATCCAATCAAATGTAATCATCTATTGAAGAAAGATACTAACAATTGATGATAGTTATCCTATCCAATCAAACTAAGCATCGGTCTTGGACTTCTTCTTTCTAGACTTTGGTGCAGATTTTGGTGTTTCAATTGTTGCCTCTTCTTGCTCTGTGGTAGCAACTAGTTCATCTCCCTTCTTGCCGGAACGCTTACGTTTTCTAGCTGGGCTTGCCTCTTTTTGAGGTGGTACGATAGAAGCAGAGGATGGAGCAGGGATTTCTTCGGCGACTTCGGATTTACCCTTCGATTTGCGACCTTTGGCTTTTGGTGTCTTTGGGGCAGGGGTGGGTGATTTCTCAACTTCGGCTTCGGCTTCAGCTTCAGCTTCTGGTTCACCTTCTGCATCTTCTTCTTCTTCAACTGTAGCTGTAACTCCGGCACTGGCCTCTCCTACGAGTTGGGCATCTGCTGAGGCATCTGCACCAATGTTGTTCTCATCAGCATATGCGGCAGCAGCATCATCACTCATCTCCTTGGCAGAGAGGTTACCTCTGCGATAGGAGTGCATGCGCGCATTATACAAACGGAGATTGTCCTTGTAAGCATCTTGCCAAAGCTGTAAGTATCATTAGTGCTGAATAAGAATTGGCTCGAATCGGTGAAACTTACCGCTTTGTCCTTAGGAGCCATATCAGTCCATCTTTTCGTACCTTCGCTAGAAACCTCTCCCTTGGGAACATCACCGAGATCTTTTGCGATGATAGGACGAGCTGTCTGCATGTAGAGAAAGAATGGAGTGAGAGGACGCTTTGGCGCATTTGGATCATGTTGTCTCTTCTTCCTTTCCTTCTTCTCTGGAGCAGTCTCAACGGCCTTGACAATAACAGGACTTGCAGCGCGTTGAAGAGCACCGAGACTTCCGAGGAGAGGATTTTCACCAAGCTTTGAAAGAGCTGTGTTGATATCATAACCTGCACCGTGTTCACCGAGAACAGCATTGGTATGTTTGATGTAGGCGGAGGAAACACTTTGGATAGCTTCTTGTAAAGTCGCGAGACCACCGATAAACTTTGACCACATTAGCGTTTGCTCACAAAGGTACAAGTTCCAATCAATTTGCCGGCGGGTTGGTGGGGTGGCCATTGTATTGAAACGCGAAAGCGGTATGTAAACACTATTGACGCGTGATAGATTTGTCGATAGATTTTGGAGTTGAAGATTTTCCAAGGGAAAATACGCGCAATGGAGTCGCGTCGATGTGCGAATTCGATAATGGTAAGATTCGGATATATAGTAGATATAGTTGTTGAATGCTACCTGAGTCGCATGTTGAGGATAGACAATGGCGGGGGAATATAGTAATTGATAGGTAGAGTAGGTAGAGTAGGTAGAGTAGGTAGATGGAGGAATGCGATCGAAGTTCGAAATGCGGATTGAAACAAGGAATGTGAAAAAAGTTTCAATAAAGAGGAAATACTTACAGTATCTCTAGTTCTCACAAAGCTTGCAACATCAATTTGTAAAGTTGCTCCATCAGCAGCTTCCTTTGGTTTATCATCCACCTTCTTTGGGCGTGCCATTTTGATGAATTTGGTGATATACGTTGATGATGATGTTTTGAATTGTAGGCTGTTGTTGCTGATTTCGAAGCCTGAGGAGTAAGAAGTAAGTATTTTGAGGATTTGGTTGGGGGGTTTGGCTTGGTGCGGATGGGCGGGAAAGGAGAATATTTAAGAGCGATTGAGAGCGAGTTATGGGCTTGGGGATCACTGGGGAGTGCCGCACCAACTTTTTGTCTTTTCTTTCTCGTTTGGCAGGAAAGGAAAGTCAGGAAAGTCAGGAAAGTCAGGAAAGTCAGGATAGTATGTACCTAGTAAATACCTAGTAAATAAGTGAAGTGAGAAAATAAAGTAGCGATGCTGGTGTACCTAAGCACGGAGTAGTGGGGGTAGGTAGGGTGAAGTGAAAGTTTTTTCTTTCTTTTCTTCTCTCTCTCGCTTTCCACTATCATCTATGGGTGTCGGGGTAGAAACCCGCCATTTTTAAAATGGAACGCTGGAAATTGGGTCCGGGAGAGATACAGTGTCTATGCTATATCGTATGCCGTTGGGAGAAGAATGTAATATTATTCAGGAGTATCTCTTCTATTGTCCACCTTGTTCTCTTGAGGGTGTTGGTGTCTCTGAAGCATCTCATGATTGTTTTAAGAATCCTTTATATCCTCTATGCTTCTTGCTAATTGATGTAGTATCGTGAGTTTCCTAGCACTTCCTTTCTGTTTGAAAAAGAGCCATCGTCTGTTTTCAGGTCATTGCTTGCTTATATTGGCACTGCGTATTCTTACGGGGAACCACGGGGCCTTCGAATAGCGAATTTCACTCCTACCCTCCATTCACTAAATTACCTAGCTAGGCATAGATCTCGGCGCTATGAGCCTTGAAAGCTCCGCCCGATTTCGGTGTCTTGTGCTACAGTCAATCGCTAAAGTTTGGATGGATTTGTTTGACCTGACCTATTCCAGAAAGTACTCGGGGTAAATGGATGTGGATGCGGTATGGGAAGGATAAGTGCTCAATGAGTGGCTCGACGGAGGAGAGGATTAGAGAGCATCACATCGCGTATATACTACCTATGTATACACTAGGTATATTATTCTTGCATTTTTGATGAAGACTTGATGCCTGAACAGCCTATATTACTTGGTACACTTCAAAGGTTTCACCGGTGAGTGTATTGGTGTATTGGTGTATTGGTGTATTGGTGTATTGGTGTATTGTGTATTGTGGACTGTGAGTGCCCAGGTGTAGTTTGGGTGTAGTTTGGGGGTGGTGAGGGGTTTGGTAGGGTTTGCTGGAAGGAATTCAATTGGATTGTGGGCACATTATGGGGTCTGCCTGCTGCTTTCAAGGTTCCCGTACAACAATCGTATTCTACCCGGATTGAGCCTAATTGATGTATGCCTTCAGTGATTCCCAGTGATTCTCAGTGATTCTCACCAACGGTTGCTTCTAAGTCTTACCACCCATAAAATTGCTGTACTCTAATCAATTTGGATGTCGTGTCCCAAATCATACCGAATATACCATACCCATTGGAAGGTGGCAGGTTTCATTTGACAGCCTTGAAAGAATTCATGTTTATAATGTCCAATTCAAGTGCAAAACGAAAACGGCTGAAGGGCACATTTTGAGGGTACATGCACCCAATCATCAATCAGCAAAATCATAAAACTCCCACTGTAACATACCTAGGTACTGAAATACAACCAACCTTCCAACATCTTTCACTTCTGCATTCCTAATCGACCTTTCAAACCCAAGTCGAGTCCTAAGCAGAGTCCTAAGCAGTAGGTATTTCACACCAAACTTGAACCTCTGTCAACCCTCACGAGCTACCTACCCGGTAAATACCTACAACTCAAGCTTGTACACTCAAGCTTGTCGCTCTACACAATGGCGTCGCAGCTCCTGTTTGTTCTGTGCATCAATCATTATCAATCATCATCAATCATCATCATGGTGGTCTATTCACTCCAACTTTTCCAATAACACCTTTACTCGAGTAATGCTAAACAACCTCCCCCATTCACAGCTGACTACAGGATCAACATAAAATATCCTTTCTATTGCGACCCTTCATTCTTACTGGATCATCTTAACTTGGCGTGCAACGAATTTCGTATCAAACCCCACCAAAAACCTGACGACAGTCGGCTTGGCATACCTACTTGCTACATCACTGACCCCTCAAAAGCCTTCAATCTGGTGGTCCACTAATCTCCTCATGTTCATCTTCTTTTCTAGGTGCTCTGGTTGTGTTCGAGTTAACTCCTCTGTAAGTTAAACAACTATTCGAACATATCGTCGCAAATATGCCTTTGTTCAGCAGCTCGACGCTGCTTCTTTCGTTCGCAGTCCTTCTACTACTGGCACATCCAGCTCATGCTTTTGGCGCTGGAAATATCGCATCAGTCTCGAAAGTTTCAGGAGTAAATTGTGAGTTCATACCTATACTACTCGTACCTATGCAAGAGAAGATCGTCTGACTTGATCCTCAGGGCGTCATGGAGATATCGAAGATACCCTTCTTTCACTTGTTATGTCGAGAGCTTGTGGTGGAAAGAAGTTTGATAAGATGATGGTAGCAAGAGTATACTTTGGTAACTGGCTTAGAGATTATTGTATGTATAACCTCATCATTTCTTAAGCTCACATTCCTCTCAAGCTTATTACGATCCAATACTAAACTCTTTCTCTCCGTCAGCTCAAGCAATTGATGTCGGTACCGTCAAATATGTTTCCGCCGAAGCTATTCGCATTTTACTCTGGGTTCTTGGATTCATGACATTTGGATATGGCACAAAAGAATTTGAAGTTACTGCTCAAAGATTGGGTTGCTATCGACCAGAAGATCACATTGATAACCCAAAGGATTATGCCGATAATCTTGATGCTTCACAATATGATCATAGACTTCGAGGTCCAGTCAATGAAGAAGTTGAGCTTGCTATTGATCCCGAGACTGGCATGAAGAACTACATTGCAAACGAACACGCTGGAATCATGTCATCCGCTTTTCACGTCAGAAAGCTCTTCCATGAATCCATTCGACTGGGTAGATCTTATGGACGAAGCAAGAACAAGGACGAATTATACGAGGCACTTCGCTTGTTGGGTACTGGACTTCACTGTTTAGAGGATTATTCCGCTCACAGCAATTATACCGAGTTGGCACTTATTGAGATGGGTGAACATGAAGTTTTTCCACATGTTGGGAGACGAACTCAGATCGGACTCCCAGGTGTTCAGCACCCAGTTTATCCAATCATCACTGGTACTTTTGGTGGTGTCGATTTCCTTCACTCAGTAATGGGTGAGTTTGACGATAAAGCAACTCAAAGCGAAATTCAGATTCTTGAAGGAACCATGGAAGAAGGTAGCCAGGGTAACAGCAGTCTTCTTAAAGACCTTCTAAGTTCAGTTCCTTCTGGACTCTTTGGTGGTAAGGATCAAGCTGGTAAAGCAGATGAGCTTCAGGCCAATGCTTCTGCTGCTCAACAGTCTCAAGAGCATGTCTCGCCAAAGGACCCGGAAGCTTTTACACTTCAAATGCAACAAGTCGCCAAGGAGATTTATCCAATTATTCAGTGGCATGATGAGATTATGCAACAGATTCGAGAAGCAATTGAAAAGATCCCTGTCCTTCCGGCTCTCATTGAGAATATCGAGGAACAAATCAACATTTTTGTTTTCTCACTCCTTGCTCCATTCGTTCTTCCAATCATCAACCAGATCAAGACTGAATTGAATACGGGCTCTTCAGAGATTATTCAAAGTAGTAAGGATAAACAGCTGATCGTTTTTAACGATGACCACTCTTCTGATCCTACCCATTCTATGTTGTCTAAGGATCATTTCTCTAATGTGAGTTTACTATTCCCTCATTGTTTGATTACTTACCTCGAGAGTACGGTGTCGAACTTGAAAAGACATGTCATCTATATTCCTCAACCATAATTGATACTAACATCTTTCTAGATCCTCAATGAATGCGCTGGCAAGATCGCTTCTCAAGTTCTCAAATGGGTTGTTCCTCAACTGATTTCTTGTTGGGATGATGAACGAATTGACCCAGAACGTACAATTAATCGTATCATCCATGGTGTTTTCCATCACCCGGCTCTTCGCTACTACGGTGAAGATGGAGCTTCCGATGGTCGCCAACTGATGTTTAGAGTTGTAGAAGAATGGTGGCACAACAAAGATGGTGATGAGCAAGAAGAATTTCGAAGAAAGCTGAGCAGAGAAGGAGTTGAGAATGGGGAAAATCATCTTGAAGGTGTTCATGATACTGGCCATGGATGCGGTGCACCACTTAAAATGTCCAAACAGGGCCCTATGATGTCTTCATCAAATCCTTTGGCAAATGAAATGATGGGTGGTTTAACTTCTGCAATGGGTGGTGGTCATGGTGGATCATCAGGATTTGGTGGACAAGCATCTTCAGGAATCGGCAAATTTGCTGGAGAAGCAGTCGGTGGTGGTGCTTTAGGTGGTATTGTTGGTGCTCTTGCCGGTGGTCTTGGTGGAAGTCTTTTGGCAGGAGTCTTGGGTGGAGGAGCAAAAGAAAAAGCATATGCATCCCAAGGGTACAACTCCCAGGGTAATTACGAGCAAAGTTACACTGAAGTAGGTCACTCGGGTGATCACTATGCTCAAGCAGAGTACAGGCAAGAACAACTTCCTGGTGGAGGGAGACGAACAGATTATCAACAATATGGTCAGCAAGGGGGGCATGGCACGGGTTACGAAGAAATTTCCGAGCAGAGACCTACGTATGGTGGAGGTTATGAACAAAGCAACGAACGTATCTACGAACGTCCTGATGGGAGGGTCGAGACGGAAACATGGCGCGAGGGGGAAACTGCTGATGGACGTCATTATCATGAAGCACGACATCGTAGAGAAGAGAGGTCGGGTAGTGAGAGCGATGATAGTGAACGCAGAAGACGTAGGAGGCATCATAGAAGACATCACAGTCGTCGTAGAAGTGGTAGTAGCAATGGGGATAGTGATGTACCGCAGGAGTATGTTCCGGAGAGAGAAGAGAGAAGAGAGAGATTTGAGGAGCCTCCTCGTCATGAACATGGTGGTTATGGTCAACAGAGAGAAGAATATGGTGGTTATCCTCAACAGAGAGAAGAATATGGTGGTTATCCTCAGCAGAGAGAAGAACATGGTGGTTATGGTCAACAGAGAGAAGAATATGGTGGTAATACTCAGCAGAGAGAAGGCCATGGTGGTTGGGGTGAGCGTGAGAGAAACCAGGACCCTCCTAGACAGGAATATGGTGGAGGATATGGCGAGAGAGGTAGTTATGGTGGCGAAAGAAGATATGAAGAGCCTCAAAGAGAACAAGGTGGCCTTGGCGGCGGCCAACTTGGTGGAGGAGAATTTGGTGAACTTGTTGGTGGATTAGCGCAAAGATTTGGAGGTATGGGATTTGGTGGAGGGCATGGTGAAAGGGAGGAGGAAGATCATGACGACAGGAGAGAGGAACGTGGATGGGGTTTCTAGGTTTCTAGGTTTTGAAATGATTATTTAGATGGGATATGATGAGGAATGAGGGATAATGATATGATACGATGCTTTGAGTCGTCGAAAATCAATAAGGTTTACCAGGACGACGATCCGTTTGTTACTAGATAGCAAGACTAAAAGTGTTTTCAATGCTGTTATGATGCCTTTCACACTTGGATCTTATTAACCTATACTCTTGAATATGTAACTCACAAAACTCACGAGAGTATAGTATAGTACAGTACAGTACAGAAATCGACCTCTTATAGAGAGAGGGCTTCTATATAAAATCTAGATAAGAAAAAGCCTAGAATATATAGGGATTATAATCCTCATAATTAAGACTTATCTAAATAGGTATTAACAAGTCATTATTTGATGACTGGTAAATATAAAGTAATAAATATATATTATAAATTATAAATATAGATAAATAAATATAAATAAGAATTGTTAAGATGTTAAAATAAGATGAGATTAAAATGAAATAAGATGAGATTGAATTAAAAATGAGGTTATTAGTTATTCTGTATTAGATATGATATGATATGATATGATACTTATAATTAGCTAGGTATAAATGATATAAATTATTTATAATGTTTGATGGGTGGTATGGTGTGTGTGTGTGTGGTATGATGTGTGATATCGAAAAGAGTAAGATTAGATGAGGTAAGATAGTGTAGAGAAGAGAGGATAGGATAGGATAGGATAGAGTAGGATAGAGTAAAATAATTCTAGGGGTTTTAATCTGATAGATGTTTTGATTCATTCTTTGAATGGTATAATTGGTGAACTGGTTAACTAGCTATCTATATGATGGATATTTTATGATTGTATTATAGGTGTGGGAGAGTGGGAGGGTGGGTATCTATTTAGGTATGTATGTATATATGTTTTGTTTTGTTGTTATATTATCATGTCATGACCTCGGGAGTGAAAGTTCTTGTTTCGCTTGGCGTGTTTACTGTAAGCTCTTGTATGGAGTATAGAGGGCATGGTTTTCACTGCTAATATTTAGACACAAAGGTGGTTGTGTGATGTTTGGACTTCTTTATACTGTACTGTACTGAATGTACTTTGCTCTATCTTGCAAATGACCTTAATTGACATGGCTTTCTATAAACTTTTGGTGTTATGTCATATCTACACTATTGATACCTATATATATATATATCCATTTCCATTCCATTCCTTCCATAAGTTATGTAGATGTTATACGAGTATTCATCAAATGTATCTTTCTCCGCTTCCCCAATATAATTTTACCAACAATTTCAATTTCAACCCTCAAAATATCTAATCATCATCCTCCTCATCACCCTCCTCATTCTCCTCAGGATCCAAATCCTCCTGATCAAAAACCGCCTTCTCCATCATAGCCACCGCATTCCTAATCGGTAATCCCACAACATTATCCCAACTCCCCTCTATCCTCTCCACCAACATAGCTCCCATCCCCTGAATCGCATATCCACCCGCCTTATCCACTCCCTCCCTCGTCTTCACATACGCTTCTATCAATTCATCACCCAGATTCGTATCAAAAACAACCGTCGTCTCTACTACCTCATTCTCGCAATTATACCCCGGGTACCGCGCATCTTCGCGCGGGGCGAGGATCGCTATGGCGGTAAATACCTTGTGGGATTTTTCATCGCGGAGCCGTTTAAGCATTCGGATATGCTCAGCTTGTGAACGGGGTTTTTCTAGTATATGTCCCGAAGTCGTAACAATTACCGTATCGGCTGCTATCACGAGTGAAGGGTCGGGAATACTGGCAAGTGAGTTGTCAAGACAGTGTGTATATACTGAAAGACATTTTTGAATAGCAGTTTGGAGAACATAATCGAAAGGTCCTAAATGTTCTTTTGAGAGATTTTCCGGAAGCGGAGAGGGAATTATTTCGAGATTTGTCAGTCCTATCTAGAATTTATGTGTTAGTTTATATATATATATATATAAATACATACAAATATCTCGCATTATTTCCTTTTCCATAAAAGATCTAGAAAATTGTAACGACATACCGAAGCCAATATTTGTTTCCGTCTAGGACTAGCAGATGCAAGTATAATTCTCTTTCCTTTCAAATGTTGCAAGACGGGAATATCGAGAGGAAAAGGACCGCGTGGTAAGGGGCCCTTGATACTAGATATGGATTTGGAGGCGCCATGTCGTGTAGATCCGGAGTCGTTGGTTGGAGGAGTATCTTTGGGCTCTGAGGTCGAGACAGCTGTGTATTTTTCGTCCGGCATGATTGGGATTTTTGTGGTGAGAGGGAATGATTGCTTGGTAAGGTTAATGGGAAAGTTTGGATTTAATTTGAGTTGATATCGATGAGGTTGGGAACAACCAATGCTGGGTTAGGTGGAGGTTTCGTCAGCCTTGTGGGTTTGTGGACAAGGGGGTTTTAGGTGGGGATTAAATATTGCTGAGGTTAAGGGTTACAGCAGGGGTTACACAATTTTATAACTTTTACTTCCCCGAGGTTACAAAGGGTGTGTGAGGTTTGATTGAACATGATGAAGTTCTGGTGCTAGTACTGTATTAGATAATCGATCACTTTTGCTCATATTGCAAGTGCATTCTGTATTGGTAAGAATGGAGAGTGCTGAATTGTCGTGGTGTTTTGAGCTCGAAATATCTCTACATGCCATGAGTGTATGAATGTAAATCGAAGAAAGCCAGCTGTATGAAACTAATTCGAAAGCAGTCTGTGATGAGACATCTAACACACTCGAAATAAAGTTGTTAAAGGATCATTTAAAACTATAGCTTAAAATCCATAGCCTTACATCCTTTCTCAACTCCGAACTTTTCAACAACATAGCCTACGCCATAAGCTAACCACTACTCCAAGGATGATGTCATCACCTAAACTCTTGAACGTCCCGAGAAACTAGAGAGTAGTTAATAAGGTGATATAATTGAAATTCAACATAATGTAGATTGCTGTGCCATTATATATCTCCTTTCACACAAACGAGCTGCAGATTAGCTCTATTGCGCCACCAGCCAGCCATTGATCAGCTCCCGATATATCGCGCATACCTTCAACCCTTTCGAACCTTTACCGATATGCTGAGCTAAAATACAATTTTCTAGAGCACCGCGCAATCTGTCTAGCTCTAGTAAAACCGATTGCGATTCCTGACCAACAAGCTTCTCAAGGTTAACTGTATAACTGGGTTTAGATCTTTTAAGCCCCGGATACTTCTAATCCCATGCTTAGGCTACCGGTTACAAAAGTATTTCACGAGATTGGGATACACCTATCTACTACCTGATACTTTTTACCAAGCTAGAAAGATTTCTGATTCCGAATTTGAAGACGGGCATGTTATTTTCAGGGCTAAGCTCAACTCAACTACCAGAACTGGTGAACTTGTCAAGATGGATAAATAGCAGTAAGCGAGCTCTAGATTTTATGATTGCATAGCATCTTCAACGTTAGCTTGGACCAACTAGCATCTTTATGTAAACTTCACCGATGAGCAGTTACTTCGAAAGGTATACTGAGTCCACTAGCATCGCAAAAATGTAGGCCATGAAATACAGCTTTAGAGATTATCGAGGCCAGGAAGGGATCCGCAATTTGGAGCAATGAGACTTTCGATGAAAAGATCGGAAGGCTCGAGCATTGGTTAGATGGTGAGAGACATGCGTTTTGTTCATCGTTGTCAATATTTGTTTCCATAACGAGAGGGATTTTTTTGGTTTATAGGGTAAAATGTCATCCGCGACGTGTGTTTGGAATCAATATGTATAGAAACTAAATTCCCAACAGCCGTAGTAAGCATCTGGAGAATAAAAAGTGAATCTATTTCATGGTATGAATGCTGCAGAGGAGTTTCATTAAGGGTTTAGCGAAAGATGGTGGGATGTCAGGATTTTATAAATCAGGAAATCCTCAGCATCTTTACCCATCGAATTTGGAACTTCAGGAAGCGAACGAGCTAGCTACAAGAATGAAGGCGCATCTAAAAAGAACATTGGTGCCAATCAGCTCGAACCCAACTCTCATTACTTGGCGCTCCCCGTATCTGCTGTCGACTAGGAAATAATCTTTTAGATTAGTAGTCTAAATCTCAAAATCTGGCAACGTGGTCATGGTATAATCATAAAAAGTAATCTCCAGTAAATGAACATACATTCCTTGGACTCATATGTAGTAGGGTTTGGATTCGAAGCCGCGTAATCGGTAGATGAATTTTACGAAGCACAGTGATAGCTTTGTCGTGAAATATAAACAGATTCGACAACATAAATGACAGATGGTCTACTTACGACGAAAGAGGGAAATCTTGCACTAGAGCGGAAGAAGTCGATGTTCAAAAATGTTTTGGAGCCTGGAGAATTTTATTTCTGAATTCAAAAGAGGCAGATCATCTTTGTAAGTCAGTTTAATATTATTTAAGGTCAGCGGTCAAAGAAATATTAAAACCACCACAACTGACTCTGGTTGAAGACCGCAAAGGGGCTCAGAGCGTCGAAATACCAGTAGACCATCAGCGCTTGACAGTACTGTATAGCATCTTTCACAGTGAGTTGTTCCGTGTACGGTGTTGAGTTGGTTTCTTTGGAATCGATTAGTACAAGAATTCAGAATATTGATTGGTAAGATATCGAAAGATTTCAAACGACTAAATCTGCAATAGAACTGACTTGCCTTACAAACTTATTTCATTTTCCGAAATACAGAACATACAAGGTCGGAGTTTGGGCCAACAATCGGGCTTAGTGCAATATGTGGTATTTTCTTGTAGAACATGCACGCGAAAGTATTCTTCTTCGAGCCACTCCGAGAGCTGGTTGAGCAAGGACGCTTGGGAGCATTTGTACTGAGTCTATCGTGCTTTTCGTTGGATGTGTTGGGATGAATGAGTGAACGGCTATTGACAGACAAATGGAGTGTTTATGTCGAACTGGATCCAGTTTCTGCTGAAACCGGATAACTATTGAATCGGCGCCTGAGCTTAGAAGATAGGCAGGAGAGGTTTGACTAGTTCCAGATCTTTCACAACAGCAGTAGGCACTTGTAGGGCTTGTTTTAAAATACGACAACAGAATTGTGGTAACACTTAAGATGCTTGGAGAGAGGGGGGCCGAAGGACAAAGCCCGTCTACATGGTTTTGACATGTCACAACGTGGCATCCTTGAAGATGATGCTTCGAACCTGTCTTCCTAGAGAGCATGAAAAGTCACCAGAAGTAGGAGAATAATCGTACCTAGTCTAGCTTTTTTGCATAAGTTGCCAGTTGTAGTGAACTCCATTTTTGATGGAATACCACTGACCAGGGTACTCCCCAGAGTGGCCGCTACTGGAAATATATAGAACAAATTTAGTAAAATCTTTTGACAGAGTAAGATGGCAGATCGACAGGAGTTCGTAAGACCACCAGAAGCAGTTTTGTTTTGTAGAGGAGGTTCTGGAAGAGAAGAAAGCGCATATCGGAATTCATGCTCCCCTCCAAAAATGTGTTTTAATTCACATATTCTGCTGGATATCCCACCTGGGAAACCTATCGTAGCAAATAGCCATACCATCACATCGTCCCTATGGTTTATTAGGAGGCGGCGGTGATAGTCAGAATATAAACGAGACCAATAATGTGAATATACAGGATTTTCCTGCTGCAGTTGTGCTGGGCAAAATACATTGGCGCCAACCGGTCATTCAGGGTGGAACTTGACGGATGTAGAGAAGAATCACTTCACCTTGTCTTAATTGCCAATACATCCGAATTACCTCCTGAGTGATATTTTGCAGATTTATATACGAGGATGGTACGTATACATTATATACCGAGAGAAGGAATGTCGCGAACAACATAAGCTAAAAGATCTACACCAATCCCAAAATGGTAAAGCTCCCTCTGGCATCAACCTCACAGATTCCCATGTGACAGCCACATTTCCGTATTGCAACTCATCACAACAACAAGGAGTTTAACAATGCCTTCGGACTCTCTTTTAATTATACCTATATAATAGCTATTAATACACAAGCTCTAGCAGAAGCATACCATTCCCTCCAAAATGTCCGCATCTCCCACTGGAGAATCTTCAGCCAATGCCAATTCCGCAAATGGTATCAATCCAGCCGACGAGAAACCGCGGTTATCGGAACATGAGAAGAAGGCTAATCATATCGCATCTGGTAAGTGCTTTCGTAGCTTTTACTCTCAATTCCTTTTGGATGATTTCTCGATTGACAGGACTGGCACTAACAATTATTCTTGCCCGCAGAACAAAAACGGCGCTTAGCAATTCGCGAAGGCTTTGATCGACTAGCAGATTTGGTTCCTGGGCTGGAAGGTCAAGGGAGAAGCGAGAGTGTGGTTTTAAAGAAAACTGTGGATTATATACGGATACAATTAGAGGAAAGGCGGTTATTGGTTGAGGAGGCTGAGAGTTTGGGAGTGGTTGTTGAAGAGAGGTTGAAGGGGGAGCTACCTGGTACGGGTACTGCAGGCTTGGCTACTAGAGGGGCAGGATGGGCAGATGGTAGTGATTGAATTATGCGAGATAGAGAAGGGAAATGGAAACAAAAATGGCTATGGGCTTGGATTTGGTGTTGATGCGCGGGGAACTACGGACGGTTGAATATAGTCGGCGTTTATTTTCGGCACCGCTAAGGATATGGCGGCTGGATAACTTTTGAATGATATACCCTACTGATGGAGGACTATGATTGGAACAAGTTATGGAATTTGGATTATCCGACTGTAATTAGTACACGGTACTGCTGGTCGAGGGTCGGGGAGTTTCAATGGAAATAGACGGTTAGCCGCCCATCGGCTTCTGGATGCACACTTCGTCAATTTTGTCCGGCACCGGTATACCTACTGCTATGGGAAATCGCACTGCGAATCGGTTCCAGTTCTAAGCTGGGAATGCATACTTGTAACTCTTTAGGTAGTAATGGGAACCTCAACAATAGGACATGAGCCGACAGGCGCTCATCCTTCCCACAATCCACTCCACAGGATTTTTGTCGTAATGAGAGACATTTTCATGGTTTTAATGAGTTCTCTTATGCTGGTAATCCATCTCATCTATAGAAAGAAGTGCTCTTAGACTACATAACCCCATCAAGTGGAACACCCTCGCAACGTAGACGTCACACGCCGTCCACACAAAGCTATCGATGGATGAATTGAAACTTACAGGAGCATAGCGAATGTATCTTGCAAGAGACATAGAATTTTGTTCCAGGTTATCAAAATCTGGAGAGTTTGATAACACACATACAGACCAAAGCTGGCCCTTGAACCAAAACCAAAACCCTCCCTCTCATCAACCACCCAGCTACATATTCCAAGGGACCTCACTTCCCCGCCACAAGCACCTACACAACTGGATGGTTTAGTGCTGAATTAATCATAGTCACAAAACGATATCCGCCTTTCTACCTAGCATTATCAGGGCTTCGATTCGATCGGTCAGGCAGTGATGCTGGATATAAATTTATGCGTATATTCACTCACTCGGGCGTTCCGCATAGAGCTTTGTTGTCTGAGTTCTTCTTTTCCTTTCTTTCCTTTTTGTATTTAAATGAATATATATCTATATGAGAACATGGTGGGATAAAAATCAAGAGTGTATTTAAAAGGTGGATGTTGGTACCTACCTATGCAGTGAGTGAAAAGAAACAAGAGAGGGAAGCGAGGAAGATACAACATAACATAACTATTACCTACGTACTATCAGTATTTCAAAAGGAGTTTAAAAATCCTGAATATGAAGTACCGACCAGTATGTCATTTTAATTAAAACACTCATCATCCTCATCGAAGTCATCATATCATAATATAATTTTCGATAATACACTTGTGTTTTTCTCTCTCTTCTTGGAATATTTAAACCGTCAGGCTATCTATCTATCTATCTATCTATCGCGAATAGCAATTCGATTCGACTTGTGAAATGGACAGTGGCCATTGATGGATGATGTACTTGAAGATAGTGGATTAGAGTTCAGGGAACGAGACGTGTTGACTTTGCACTCGAGTGGCGATCTGAGGAGTTATTTTGACTTTAAATGTGATGCCGGTAACCAAGAAACAACCAGGCGCAAACCTAGCACATCCAACTGCATCATCTCATCATCTCATTGCTTCATATTCATATTTCCATTTGCATTCATATTACTGTACGTACATGCTTAATTACAGTTCTTTCCTTTCAAACTCCTGCACCCACTTTGTTAATGTCCCACTCCACCCGCCACCCAATCATCAAAATTCGCATCACCTGGCCTAGGGAAGAGTCCCCTATTCGGAACCTCTCCGTTAAGCGGTTGTGCATTTTGTTGGGCATTCGCAGCTGCTCCTTCGCCCATTCGATGCGCTTCCTGTCTCTGCTGTCTATATACTATTAAGAACACCAATGCGGCTGCTAAGCCAATAATAATAAGACTTTCTACCAATCCATCATCTAGGATGTCATCGTAGAGTCCATCCGCATCACCACCCGGCATAGGATCATGTACTGAACTATAAGCATCATCTGCGTCATAGTCGGCGTAGTATGGGTGATCATCTTGGAGGAAATTGCTAATCCATTCCCCTAATGACCATTGCTTTCGAGGAGCTGTGGTATGTTAAAAACCTTGTCTCCAATATTTGGACTTTAAATAACTTACTTGGTTCATCGATAATCGAATTGATCTTGCCATGAGTAAACGAATTCCATGCACTTCTGATGCGTAGTTTCAACAAACTGAGGGTCACGGGTAGATATGCCTCTTCGTTCGTCTCCAAAGCGTGATCGTAATATCTCTTCGCGAGATGAAAATCCTGATCAAGGCCAACACCATTTTCATGCATCCAGCCCAAGTTGTATAATGCTTGGGCACTTTGAGGAAACTCAGATGCTGCTGTATAACAAGCTGCAGCTTTCTCCAAGTCGACTGGGGTGCCGATACCGTAAAGATAGTAATCACCCATTTTGACTAAAGCGTCTATATTTGCCTGCTTGGCAGCTCTGGTCCAATAGAGCAGCGCAAGTTTCGAATTTTGTAACAATTTCGGTCTTGGGGTGGATGCAAGAGTCAGCCAGGAAGGTACAGTCAATTTCGACTTTTGTTCATCAATGATATATGCAACGTTTGATTGTGCTTTTTCGTATCCTTGTTCTGCCGCGTGCATATAACCAACTAAAGCTAATTCGTAATCGCCTTGCTCATAGGCACTGTTCGCTTCGGCGAAGGACGTCAGAAGTGGTTCTGCCTTCTCTGCAACGTTCTTGTAGTATGCAGTTGCCAAGTTACAACTTCGATCTCGGCCAACTCCCTGGTTTATAAGGTCGGCGAGATAGTAGTAAGCTTCAATATTACCATATCGTGCTGCCAGTTCAAAATATCGATTGGCAACCTTAATGTCGTTATCAGTACCTTGATCCAGGTACATAGCCCCTAGGCTAACTTGCGCAGGCGCATAGTCTTGGTCAGCAGAAGCTTTGAAGTATTGTTGTGCCAATACAGAATTTTTTGGTACTCCAAGGCCATGCAGGTACATCAAACCCATTCCATACTGAGAACCAGAATCACCATTTTTGATACCGCGTTCAAACCAAGTCTGAGCCTTTTCATAGCTCTGGTCCACACTCTCGCCCCTGAGGTACATCCGTCCTAGATAGCCTGCGGATTTGGCAGCAATCTTGTCTAGTTGAGGTTTATCGTTCTCGATGATTTTTCCACTTCTCGTCCAATATAACTTTGCTACCTTCGTGAAATACCATTTCGCACTCTTCAAATTTCGCGGAAGCCCTTTTTGACCATCATAATGAATACGCCCCAAGCTAAAAGTAGCCTTGAAGTCGCCTTTTCTAGACATCAAGTCAAGATACTCTAGAACATCATCTAATGCTGCATGAGCATCTGAGCTTGGCCCTCCGCTCTTTGCATTTTGTCCAGCACTACTAAAACTTGCTCCTTCACCATAGATTCCGCCATTTTCATCTGCAAGCTGATACGAGTCTTGAACATATGCCATACCTCCTGGCGGACCGGATCGATACCACTCAACTGCTTTATCCGCCACTTCCTTGTAATATTTAATCGCCAAATCGCAACTTCTCGGCACACCAATTCCACTATGATGGCGGAAAGCAAGGGTCATCGCGGATCTTGTATTTCCTCCTTCGGCGGCGAATGTATGGTAAAGCAAAGACTTTGCCTGATCCTGCTCTACCGCTCCTCCAATTCCTGTCGCATACATAAATCCAACCATGTGCTGTGCCGAGCTATTGCCATCCAATGATGCCAATTGATGATATCTTCTGAATGCCTCGCTATAGTCCTTGGGGTATGAATAGTTTCCATAGAAATTTATTTGCGCTAGAAGATAGATCGCATCGGAGTTATTGACATGGGCTGCTTGCTCCAAGAGTTGTACTGCTTCTGCGACTGGGCCTGGAGCTTGGTGATGCGCTGGAATCTTCCCATCTGGTGGTGGTCCTTGAACCAATCTTGGAAGACTTGCAACAACATATTGCGTCAACGTTTTAACAATTCCGGAAGGGTTGGAGGTAGGGCGTGGATGCGATCGTTCGTAACTTTGGAGAGAATGTATAGCTTTGTCAACTAGCTCATGTTCTTACAGTATGTTAGCAGATAGTAAACCAAGGCATGCAAACTCAGTCCTTACCGGCTGTGTTCTTTATTATAGGTGCTCGATGCGATTCTTGAGCTGTAGATGGTTGAGCTTGAAAAGATGGCTTTGGACTCTCCTCCGCCGTGAGAGATGCCCCTAGCTCTTCCTCATGTGCCTGCGCATAACATATTTGAAAAAAAAACTGCCAACTAACTATATGTATCAAATTAGTAACTCTCGAGCTCGGAAGAAATTGTTGGAAACCTTACGAATAAACAATGGCAGTACAAGCCGCCGGCTCGGGCTCTTCATCTTGCCAGGACCTCTGGGTAAATATTCGACTTCGATTTTGAAGTAGCAGAGCGAAATATGGTCATGATTCCATGGTAATTGCAATCAGAATGAAAAGGTTGATTGTGTAGATTGGCGGGGGTTTGTAATAGTTGGTTTGCTATTTCAAAGCTGTCATCTTCGGCAATCTAGGACATGAGCTCCGACCCAAGCCCCTAAGACTAACACTGGTACACCATTGATTGTATGATTTAACAAAAACTAACAATGAACATTTCACAGAAGCTCTTCACTTATTATTGATTCTAATAGATCAGATGAATTTGTATAAATTTTTGAAGATTTTTACTTATAGCCACTTAAATAGCATTTTCGAGATAATTATTCCTCGCCCCTCCATGATTTGATTTGCCCATCCTCTCCAGCAGTCAATACTGCTCTGTGCTAAAGAGCAAAAGATTATTAGCTTGTACATACATAACCAAGGGCTTCAGAAGGAAAACATACCGAATCAAGAAAGCAGAACGATCTAACGATCTCCGATCCGTGAGCCCCAGAAAGTGTGACCTTTGTCTCAGGAGCAAATGCCCAAGGCTTTCCTTTCTTCAACTGTACAAGATCAAATTCATTCTTACTATGACTTCCAATGCCTAATACAGCTCCTCCATCGGGTCTGCACAGAACATTCGCAACATACTCGCCTCCCAGGTTCTCCCTCATATCACCATATACCACAGGAGCTGGCTCTTCAACGCCCTCTTCTTGATTCGTTACTAGCTCATACATAGAGAACTTTTCATCATGTGAAAGAGCGAAGATGTCGGTATCGCTAAGAAAGTTGGCGTGATGTATGGAGTGACCATGGTTGATAGTCTGATGAAGGGCTTCTTCCTCGTCTGATATGGTGATATTGTATATATTGACCAGACCATCCGTAGAGCCAGATAACAGAAGTGATTCTTGAGTTGGATGAAATTGTACCTGAAGCGAAAATCAGCTAGTATATTCAAAGTTTGGAGCGAAGGTGACAAACCTCTGTAACGTCGTCACTGTGGCTTTCCACGTATTGCAAGGTTGGCGTAGCTAAAGATCTTGCGTCCCTGCTTCTATCAGTCTGGCGGACATATTGAGTAGCGATAATGGGAAACTTCTACCAGATTGAAACAGTTGCCTGGTGATTTGTTAATTCTGTTCCAGCAGCAATGGCGTTTGTATTTGAGCATGCCAAGGACAAGATTGGGGCGCCTTGATCTATTTAAGCGTTAGGACCTTTTCCATAGGCGTTGAACCGTTTGATAACAGTATGGCTATCCAAAGAGCGTGTGATGTAGAGATGTTCATGATGTTCATAACCCTCATGAGTGACCACATCAAGTCCCACTTCCTCACTTGAGGCAAAGACGAGCTCCATCTGCTACAAGCAAGCCACGAAAAAATCCCTGAAAATATTCTCACCACTTTTAACCTCTCCAACCTTCCCACCAGTCCTTGGGTCAATAAGACACACTTTTCCATCCCTGCCAGCTGTAACCACAATAGAACTTTCATCATTTCCAATGGTCTTCAAACACGTAACATCAGAATTTACTTTCTTGATAGTATTCAATGGTTGGCCATTCAAAGCAGTTGGATCTAGCAACCGCAAACAATCATCCGATGAAATAGATGCAAGGCCAGCTGCGACAGGTATGATATCATAAATATATGTTGGCTCTGTACTCTGGACTTCAAAGATATCCGAGGCGAAAAATCTGTACATATTGAAGATAGCTATTGAACGCGGTGTTTTGGCTGCGGTATTATGTGTAGAGAAGTTTTCAGACGAATAGAACTTCTCCAGCCCTCGCTGGCGATGTATAGAATCGAATCGTGTAATCCTGGATTTTTTTGTCCAAGATCAAATGGGAACAGAATCTACAGATTTGGAAGTGCAACTTCTACGGCTAAGGGAAAATTTGATGGTTTTTTAATTAATATCACATGATCTACTGGACTTTGATGAATTGATCGAGTTGTTCCCTTACTGTTGGTTTCTACACATAATGCTGTAGGTATTGTACTATTTGAATTTCAAGATTTATTGTAGCTTTTCTGGCTACAGTAGCCCATCTCCATACCACCTTAACGCCATCTGAGTTTGCCGAATCAAGGTGACGACGGTTGTCAGTTATCATACCTTCTTCCACGAATTTGCCCATTGACCCTATTGTATTCTCTGTTGTTTATTTTTTTCAGCTGTACTTGTCATGCTTGTTCTTTACCTTGATTAAAAGTAATGCCTCATGATAATCGCCTTCTCTCCTTGCTCTCTTAAGTTTCCGAACCTCGTCATCATCCAGCCTCCGACCAACAGCATCTTCTAACTCCTTCCTGCTTATTTTCTGACTGGCTTTTTCCTCTTTAGATGCCTTCAATTTTGGCTTGAATCTTGCCTGGAGTCTGATTCTTATGGTAGTATTAAAATTGATTGAATCAGCATCACCCCGAATCTCTGGTAAAGCATTTTCCTTTGCGGTTGCAAGTGGTTTTATGGTCAAAAACGTGTCCCGCAGAGTTTGTATCTGAAATGTCCCTGGAGTATCGGCTGTTGGTATTGATAGAAAGGATTCCAAGGGCGACACGGCCTCGGTATTCGCCGATAGGATTCCGAATTTGTCGCAACTCAAATACCTAGAGAAAGACTGGTTAGCATCGAAATACTATAGTAGTCGAATCATTATACTCACTTGCCATGATGACCTTTGAAACTATAAGTCTCCGTACCTGCTACTTTGTTGGCAACCCATACTTGTCTTACATCGTGAGGTTCTGCAGTGGTAGGGTTGTTCTCAATCATATTCTCCAGCCTGCTTGCAAATACCTTTCCATTCGTATCGCAGGCTATACATGATGGTGGATCTGACGGCAAAACAAATACCACGGGACCAACGACATCACCCGCAGCTTCTGCTGTCACCCAAGTATCATCATCTGGCGCGGCTTCTTCTTCCTGGGGTCTCGCGATTGCTTGGGAGGTTGAGGCTTCTGAATCTCCAAACTTTTCTGCAGTATCAACGCGCTTCCTTTTCTTGGTTTTCTTATCACCTTTGAAAGACAATGGTTTGACCATGATTATTGTGGTGAGATTTGAGAATTAATATGAAGGAAAAGCTGCTGCTTGTGTTTGTGAACAGGAAGTTCGCGATATTCGGGCGCTGCCGACCTCGGTAAATTATCGGCAAGATACTGCAGCTTTTCCCTCCTGCCTATTTCTACCTTGTACAACATGATCTTGAAAAATAAAAAGTCAAGCACATACACTTTCAAATTCTCTTCTACATATTGAATAACTTTCATTCATATTTCTCATTAAGATACTAAATATGGCCCCTTCTCCAGTGACAGTAAGTCTAAGAGATCTACAAAGTGGTATGTCTCGACGTTATAGATTCTTCCCGCCTTGGCTGATTTGATACTGCAGGCAATGTTTCCTTCTCAACCCTTGAGGAGGCGTTCGGTCCTGAATCTCTAGGCATTATACTGGTCAAAGATGTTCCCGAGATATTTGTAGAGTTGAGACATAGTTTGCTCTCATATTCATCTTATCTCGGAAACTTGCCAGAAGTTCAACTTGGTCAGTACCATAATTACTCTTGAAGGCAACCGACAAGGTCTGATGTCTAATAGAGAAGCTCGAAAATGCTGCTGCAAAATATCTTACTGGTTGGTCCCGTGGGAAGGAGACTCTCAAAAATGGCCAAGTGGACACGCTCAAAGGATCATACTATGCGAATTGTGCATTTTACGTCGACCCATCTCTTTCGTGCGCAGTGCCTACCTCTGAATTTTCACCAGAAAATTTCCCCGAATACCTCAGTCCAAATTTATGGCCAGCAGAAAACGTATTGCCCAGTTTCCAGAATACATTTGAAAGATTGTGTCGCATTATCATTGACACTGGTGTCCTTGTCGCTCGGGCTTGTGACAAATATGCAGAGAAGGAGATTCCTGACTATAAACGTGGATACCTTGAGCATGTTGTGAAAACTTCAACCACAACCAAAGCGCGATTACTGCATTATTTCCCGGCAGAAGCGAAGGAATATTCGGAGAATCTAGACGATGATTGGTGTGCAACACATCTAGATCATGGCTGTCTAACCGGTCTTACATCTGCTATGTTCATCAACGAGTCTCGCAATCCGCCAGTGATTCCAGTATCCTACACATCTCGTCCAACCGCTTTAAGCCCATTGAACGAGCTTCCTGCATCTCCGGATCCAACCGCTGGACTTTATATTCAGTCTCGAAGTGGTGAAACCGTTCAGATTAAAATCCCTAAGGATTGCATCGCATTCCAGACGGGGGAAGCTCTCGAGAGAATCACTCAAGGTAAATTCAAGGCAGTTCCGCACTACGTGAGAGGTGTGCGACCAGGTATTGCAGATGGCGAAAACGAAGGAGGGAGAATCGCGAGAAATACTATAGCCGTGTTTACTCAACCTAATTTGGACGAGATTGTAGACTCGGATATGGGTATTACTTTCGGCGAATTCGCCAGAGGGGTAGTAGAGAAAAACACTACGAAGTGAGGTAATGATAAGAGATTTATTCACCAATTTATACGACATACCGAGTACCGTCTTTTCCGTATCTAAAATTACTCGCGATATGCTCAAATCTCTTAGCGAGGAAGTATTGCGATATTGAGGGGGCGAAGCGCAGGAAGTCCAAACCTGAAAAGCATCTTTTGTCTCCCAATTTGTGTCGTATTAAGTTTGCTCCCAGGAATGAAAAGAATAGTGACAATAAAAGGCGGCGGTGCATACCTATACCTCGAGAGTCGAGAGACGTCCATGGACTAAGATTTCTATTTCACTCTAGGTGGAAATAGCGCCTGTACCATGTGTACATCAGGGTGAATCCTAGAGACCATCTAACCTTTAGAATGTTCATTTTCTTATTGAACAATCCAGAAGCAAAAGAATTTGGTGCCTGGACTTCGAAGCCATCATTCCTGCTAAAGTTTGGCTAGCTTTTAAGCAGCGGCCGGCCTACTACTGGTTCGTCGCACTATTGAAAGGGCCCCATAACTTCCACCATTAGGATGATGTTTCATATCTTTCCAAGCCTAAGACTGACCCCAAATTCATGCTCTACCGGACCTCAAATCTCCAAAATAGAAAATCGATCAACAATAGGGTGTGGAGTTTCACCTGGTCATAGATGAGATAATGGTACTTTACGGTACTTCTTACCAATCTTATTCAAACGACTGCAAATAGTCAGCCGCTTGGCAAGCCACTTTACATTTCGGTGACACCACAAAACTATAACTACATCATTTACTTCTACCCTCGGCTTTCAAAAGGTCATACGTAGTTGAACATGTCGTGCATGTGAATAATGGTAAGTTGCCAGTGGTAATTGATGACACGGGATGATCTACTCCCTTTTAGTGCTTTGAGCCTGAGTGGCAGTAAGGTTACTGCGTAGTTCTACTCTGTACAAATGATATCGCACTAAAGAACAGCCCCGTGGATTCCCCTGATTTCTTTCTCTTGGCACCATCCCCACCGATCTTTTTTACCGTCAGCACGCAGTTATCCTTGTAGGATATACCGAATATACCACCAATGGACTTGCTCTCTGGCCTATTCAGCTAAAATCGCTCGGGCCCAAATACCCCTACCCGCATGCATTGCAGAGCCCCCAGCTTCTCAACCACCGCCATTTTCCTTGATCAGAAAGTTTGAATCGTGGTCAGGCTCACATCGATTTACTGGCCCCCTGTATGCAAAATCCTCATGCAAGATGATGGATCTTGGCCACCACCCATTACACAAAAATTTCTTATTTATCCGGCATCGGTGTTTCGAGTGGTTGATAAGTTAGCATAGCAGACGGCACGGGGGGTCGTTCACGACTAGTATCATAAAGAGTATGATTTTCATTTGCTTTCTCTTTCCTTGAAGTACAGATCTTGTCATGGCCTCTGATATTCTTTGTACATGACTACTCAATCAGTAATTGAGTGTTATCTGCGGCGATCATGACAGGGAGCAACAGTCACGAAGTTCATCTGATTCATTCTAATATGATCCCCGTCATTCACGCACTATTGAGAACTCTATTTGAGGCTCATTTCCTGCCTGACTTATATCTCCTTCCTTCCTTTTCCGTTTCAGAATCTCGTCATCACATTCCTTTCATAAATATCGGATAATCAATTTGTATCATACATGTACTCCACATAATGTTCTTCAGGAATACCGTTGGCACTATACTCGTGGCTACCTTGGTGGCCTCGAAACCGATGTAAGTCTTCATACTTCAGCATCTTGTCATCTTTCACTAAATTTGTCGCAGTTATCAAAGAAAGGTTGACTTTGCATATGGGTCAACACCTGTCAGAGGAGTTAACATTGGTGGTTGGCTTGTACTGGAACCATGGATTACACGTAAGCAGCCATACCGACGTAGATATATGGTAAATGACATTGACATTGTTGATAGCATCCATTTTTCAATCACTAGACCAGTCCCTAGGAATAGTCGATGAGTAAGTTTATCCACCTCTTCTTTTTCCTGATTGTGCATGATATTGAGGTATCACTGCTTTCATTTCTCGAGAATAGTTGCTAACACTTTACTCGTTTAGGTATACATTGACAGAAAAGCTGGGAACAGAAGCAGCTTCAGCAATCCTTCAACCTCATGTAAGTCTTATTCTCATCATTTCATTTCATATCTCTTACATGTTTCTAGTGGGGTACATGGTGCACTGCCCTCGACTTCAAAAAGATTGCCGACTCTGGCTTCAACACCGTTCGCATCCCAATTGGATACTGGGCATATGCTCTGTATGGCGAACCATATACCCAAGGTGCAGCTCCATACATGGATGCCGCCATTGACTGGGCACGTAGCGCAGGTCTCAAAGTTTGGATCGACCTACACGGTGCTCCTCTTTCCCAAAATGGATTCGATAATTCCGGACATCGAACCACTTCGCCAGCGTGGACAAAAGGTGAATCCGTTACACAGACACTCTCTGTTTTAAATACCATCACCACAAAATACGCTCAGGAGCAGTATCAAGATGTAGTAGTTGGTATCGAACTACTCAACGAACCAGCAAATTGGATCATGGATTTCAAGGTATTGGAACAGTTCTACAGGGATGGGTATGGACAGGTTCGCGCCGTTTCAGACACCGTTGTTGTGCTTCATGATGCATTTTTCCAACCAGATACTTGGAATAATATCTTGTCACCAAATGACAATAATACACAAGGAGGTTGGTTCTCCACAGCCCTTTTTTTTTTTCAAAAGCCCAGTATACTAATAATCTTCAGTCGTCGTCGATCACCACGAATACCAAGTTTTCAGCGACGCCCTCGTTGCCATGACGCCCACCGAACACGTCGATTACGTCTGCTCCAACGCCCATGTCTATACTGGCAGCGATAAATGGGTCGTCGTCGGCGAATTCACAGCTGCAATGACAGATTGCGCATTCGCGCTCAACGGGTACGGTGTCGGTTCCCGCTACAATGGCTCATACCCCAATTCCACATACGTAGGCTCCTGTGAGGGGAAATCAAATATCACTACTTGGAGCGATAGTTTCAAGGCGGATATGAAGAATTATTTGAGTGCTCAATTGGCAAGTTTTGAAACGAAGGCTAATGGGTGGATTTTTTGGAATTTTAAAACCGAGGCTGCCCATGAGTGGGATGCGTTTAAGTTGTTGGATTATGGCATTTTTCCGAACTTGGCGGATGGTACACCCGCTGCTATTTGTTCGTAGTGTGGATGTGGGTGTGGATGAGGGTGAGCGTTGATGGAATGGGACGAGGTGGTGGTTCTTGTGAATGATTTGTTCGTTCTTCTTTTTTTGTATTATATATACACGTATTATATACCCATGAATTTTACCTAGAATAAACCTGTATAACAATATAACGGAAAATTAAAGAGGATTAGTTTATTTATTATATCCACTACTTCAAATTTATAGTGAAAAAGAAAAGAGCAAGAAGAAGAATAAAAAGCTTTATACCTATTTCCATTTCTTGATATCTAAAACTCTTGGTATTATTATAAGGATACTTCTTCCATTGTAAAAGTGGTAGGTCGAGATACATGCGTCCCGATAGCACACTGTGAGAAGGGAATTGGAAAAGAAAGCTGAATTAAATTACATTGTAATATATTACTTATAGGTAAAACAGGGTTCACAATAGTTTTGAGGTTGATATTATATAGATTCAAATATATATATGTAGAAGATTGATTATTGTAAAAAGAAAAGACAAAAGGCTCTTTTTTTATATCTAACTACAAAAGGTTATATAATTGACTAATTAAAACCTTTATGTATTTGGCCTATAATTCCAACTTTCTCACATCATTACCTACTACAATTCAAACTTATTAGTATTGGTATTATTACTATTAAGGTGTCATATCTCGTTTAATCTCATCCATCCATCTATCTCATTACAGACTCTCCCAGCCAACATCTCGAATATAACCTAAAAGAGATAATAGGAAATATAAAAGAGAGAAAACATATAAAATTTCAGTGAAATAATCTCTCCCTGCTAAAAGAAAATTATACCATGTGACAAGGAAAAAGATAAACAATAATGAGACTATAAAGTACGTGGTAAAAAGTGTAATCCCATTTCATATGGGGAATTTTGAGAAGTAGTGGATATTTGGGAATTGTAAGTTTCTTTAAGATTTACCCCCAATTAAGGAGCAGAAGCCTCTCGTGGTTGCAGTACCTTTTGCGCAGTGTCTTCTTGTCCCTTTCCACCATCTTCAGATTCAGAAGTCTTTAAATCAGACTCATGATCAACAGCTTGCATTAATCCCTCATTTCCTATCTTCGCAGCTCCAGGCTCCGACTCAACCTGCACAACTTTCACCACAGCATCCCCAGGCCCCTTCCCTTCAATCACCAACTCCATCTTTGTTTCCATCTCCGAATATTTATAAGTGAGAGGCTCTTTCCCGTGGCAAAGAAACCCCAATGACCACCCTTTGACCTGTTGTGGTGTCACGTTCCGAGTAAACAGCGGTTTGTAATGCGGGTAGCTGGATGCAGTGGGAATATATTCGACACTACCTTTACAGCCAGGCTCTGCATATAACAATGTGGCTAGATTCGGTAGTTCTGGAGGACATGTAGGTGGAGTGAAAATACTGAGGAGGGAGGAAAAGTACTGGGTATCTGCCGTGGATGAGAGACAGATTGAGAGGGGAATATGGAAGATTTGTGGAATTAATGTGTTAGTTAGTGCCAGAGTCGCATTGTGCAAATCAGCCGATATTTGGTATGCTGTAGTCTCTGCAATACTTTTACCGAGTGGCTCTAAGGCGATTGTTTCTTCATTTCCATCTCGAGTTGTTAGTTCTTGTACTGCGCTGATCACTGGATTTCTATTCGCTACTCCGTAGTCATAGTTGGCACATGTCAACAAAATGGACCACTCCTCGAAATCTTCAGCAGGATCAAAAAGCGTTGTGTCCATTCTAATACCATCAGAGAGGACATGTTTACTACGACATTCTCGCTGTGTAAAAAGAGGCATGTATATATTTTGATATTTAGGGCATTTAAGCGGACGTACGAGACGAATAGCATTGGCGTATTCGCGAGTAGAGGACCAAAGACACACTGTCGCACGAAGCTTATTCACTTGCGGGCCGAGAACCCCGAGCGAAGGAGGGTCGAAGGCAAGACCCGCTTCATCGTGATTGATGATCGGTAACACCATGATTCGCATGCGGCTTTTGTGCAAGACATGCAAACCCTTGGTTTCATAGAGACTAGAAAATGCCTCATCTTTAGAGCCAGCACATTTGAACATGAGAGGCCATGTTTCTATTGGTACCTTACTGCCTTGTTCTTATAGCCAGATACCGTTAGCTCCATTCCTGTAAGATTCTATAATGATAGGATTTATGCCGCGACAATTAAAAGCACTGAAGAGCAGTGTGTAAGGCTTCTGGCCATCAGAACAGACAGGATTGTTTATGATGTTCAAATCTGAATTCTGGTAGACGTTGAGACAGATTGAGACGGGGAGCGTGATGTTATAATGTAATGGAAATGATTGCACTTGAAGAAGGGCTTTCAGTTGGCTCTTCGGGTCGTTTTGGAATAGATGCTTGGTTTTCGTTGATGATATCCGTATCGATTGTGCTAGGCGGCTTTTGATGGGTGTGAGTTTCATGAGTGATACTGGTAGTCGCAGCAAGCGTAGATAATGGCGCGTCCAGGGTTGGTAGACCTCATGTTTAATCAAGTCGTGAATTGATTTTTCAGGAAATAAGAATAAAAGAACAATCGAAGTTCAAACAATAATAAAATTCTTTTAAAAGAAAAGCATCATAGGACTTTGAGCATAAGCATTCAGACTGTGCCGCAAATTTGCCTAAAATGACCCACTCGGAGGTGATCGAAAAATGGCACACGATGCCGGGGGTAACCTAAAGAATAATTAGACACATCAATGGCTAGGAGGGCTGACTGGTGTGTGAGTGAATGGTATTGCATGGTCTCAGAACTTGAGATCAATAAGTTATGGCTATCTTCGGGTTATATGGTTGCTATTATCGATATGGATTGAACCAGCCAGACGGTTATGCTCTTTATCCTCACTACCTGTCTTTCCGATTCAAGCTAGGTATTTACAACTCCATCATTGGGAAGAGCTTTTATTTTTGGCACTTGGAATTCTATCAAAGCTGTACTGCTAGGCGTCAGCGTCCAATCTATGGAACAGATTGCTGCATATCTAGCGAAACGCGCAAGAGATTAAAAGTTTTTTGAAATGTAATCATCTGCCATGAGCAAGTTCATATGTGCAGGCAGGCGTTCCGATTTGTTCATACCTGATGAGAGAGTATCTTGGAGCTAGTCGACAAGAATAATGTTTCTTGGACCAAAAGACGGCAAAAATACCTCGAAGTCATGTTAGAATAGCTTTAGGTTCGTCTTTTAACAAAAGATGCGCTCTCTCGTAGCTCCCATCTTCTGAGTCGTAGAAACGATTGAATGCTAAAGTCCTTCCGCCAAATTTCCAAATAAAGCAGTCCATATGTGCGGGGATGTGTACCGGATTTAGGTACGAAAGGCAAGAGCAGACAGCGTGTCCAATTCTCCGCGGTCTATGGCCGTATGTGTAAGAACCTAATTGTCCAAAACCCCACGAATGTTATTGGATGAACAAAGGATGGCACGATTCTGCATTGCCAAGCACTAGCTCAAAGATATCCCACGACTGGAGTCGGTGGAAATTCTTATGACTTTTGGAAGCTGTCTGTCGGTACTAAACAGTGGTCTTCAATATTATCCCCTAGTCGAAACCGCTTTGTCTAATATATAACCAATACGTACCAACCACATATCTTACAAGATCGCCTCCAGTACACTTCCTCCAGTACAAAACAATGATTTTCTAGCGTTTCATACAGAGAAGTAGCCGGAGCTATGTACGGAATCGTAATCAAAACTAAACTGACCCGAATATTTTTCCACTGGAAGATGCAGTCTCTAAAGGAGTAAGGTTATACACATGACGTGAGCCAGAAGGGTCAGAGAATCAATCATTGCCTTGCAAAATCAACACAGTATCAGATTCTGTGAATCCAGGAAAAATCAATGCAAGAGCTATTTGGAATGTAGCAATTGGATTACCATGATAGTTCATCGATATCGATATCGCTAAGATTTATTGGGAGGTTGGTTCGGCTCTGAGAACAATCGTTTGCGGCGGCTCAACTCTGTAATCATGATCAGCCAATGGAGGGCACGTGAGTATAACTTGGACTTTATCTTCAGATGTTGGATTTCTTTAATTGCAACACCTGACCTCATATGAACAACTGTTGACTGCCTGATTAAGTTATTGCTAATGCTGATGCTAAATTCTTACGAGTCAAATCCCCATGGATCGTGGTGTCCATGAATTTGGAAGTATTGTTCCTTTGCAGGGTAGTCTACTGAATTCTCAGGGCAAAACCCAAAGCGCTCATATAACCACTCTGGCGTCCTATATTCGTCGATCCATCTAAAGCACGATTCCCTTTTCACGTCCTTGGACCACGTTAACAATTTATCCCAGCTGCGGCATTGCATAACCAGTCCATGTCCTGTATCAGAGTAATGTCCCTCTATAGTACTCAGGGGCTGATCTGAAGCATCACACATTGTCTTCTGCCTCAAGGCGTCTAGACAGTGGTTGATATGTTCCCTTGTAAGCGCTTGAGGCCGATCATGTCTGAAGTCAACGATGCTTCGGCGGATAAGTTTCTGGGAGCAGTTAGTCTGGTGCCTTCGTGTTTGTTAGCCTCTTCACTTACAAGGCAATGCAGATTATGAGAGCTTTGTAACCAATAGACACCCCTCTCATGATTCCAGGGATATCTGGCTCCTAAGACAAGACCCTTCGATCGTGCGTAATCGTCTGTGAGAGTAATCAATCCGGATTCTGTGTCTAGGCGGTCCCAGTGGTAATCCGCCGCGGTGTCATTGATATCAGAATACTCGGTGTGTCCATGGTTTACTACGATCAGGTCTCGTGCCAAGCCAGCTTTTAATTTACATTAGTCTACTCCAAAATAAAGCGAGTGGCAACCTACCAAATTTAGAAACATCCTTCTCTTTCTTTGTGAGAAAGGAGCTGAATAATCTCAAACCAAATAGTACATTCAAGAACAACGATGTAATCAACGCAATAGTGACGAGGTTGAAAAGTCTCTTTTTCGGTGGCTTGAGTGATGGGATATAATCTTCGTCGCCCTCGCTCATTTCTTGAAGTGGCTGGTAATTCTCCTTAGGTGAGGGCATTTTGGATATACAAAGCTTGCAAAGAACTTTTCAGGCAAAAATGATGTTTTTGAAAAATTTGGCGGATAACAATATTAATGGAGAATGGAGGTGCTTTTAGTTTATCACTCAGAAAAAGTGTCGGGTCATGTGCGACTTTAGTAAGAGTAGTATGCAGGTACAACAATATACCATATGCAATGTATGATACGAACGACTCTTTCCAAGGGAGATTTTTCGCTTTATACATGCGTCCTGCCTAGATTCTCGCTTGATTCTTGCTTTATACTCAGTGGTGTGATAAGTTACGCTAATCGCCTGCGGCGCAAGTGAATCACGTAGATGCTGTGCCAAGGGTCAATATCTGAGCCTTTATTCTACTCTATGGCCAACAGAATTTTGAATGATTTCTAGTCTAGGCGGAATAGCTCATTCATCTAAGAAAGCATGTAAATTGGAATTTAGTCTAGGTCAGGCATTGAGACTTGGAAGAACTGATAGTAGAAATACAGCTAAGATGTCACATACTTGCACAGTCAGAATTCACAGATATCCATACATTCAAATAATTGACAAGTGGCCAAATTGTTTGTCAATTCAATATATCAAGCACTGCCGCCTTCCTTGCCGTCCAGGATATCACAACTTGCAGCCACTCAGACTATCAACACACATTTAAACCTCAATTGCTGATCTTCGGAGCATCTTTCACTGGCTGATATCCAGTGCAATAGTACGCTTGAAAGCACAACCAGGCTCTGGGACCGCATTTCTTGCACATATATGATTATCCGTATCCGCCTCAGCATCGGTACCTACGCAACATATTAGATCAATGATTGTGCCTAGATGGCATTTTAAAAGACATACCTGAGACAGGAATGGCAGAAACAGTAACCGTCAAGGTCACAAATGCCAAGAAGAGAGTTCGGAAGTACATCTTCTTAATTGGAAGGAGTAAGAGAATGTATTGATTGTTTGCGTTTGAGGATAGAAAAATAATAGAATATTTTTGGTGTGAGAGCTTTGATGGTGATTAATGCTTGGTGATTTCGTTCATTGAGGGCGTCGTTAGTTTATCTTTATACACTATTATGCTAGCTAGCATTAAGTCTTCTTTCAATTTGTGGCAAAGCAAATGACGGCTGCAACTAGAGATCAAAGTCAAAATTTTCCTATCCCTACATGCTAGGATTGATTTATGGCGGGATGCAACCAAGACCAGGTCAAGGAAGACAACTATTTGAATCAATGTATGCGCATTGCCTCAAAGATTGAATTTAGGTGGCATTATTCAATGTGCATTGCATTATAATTAGGATTAAACCAGCATAATGAGCTTGCAATTCGCGAATATCATACATCAGAGTAGATAAAGGATTTACCCCGCCAATAACAACAGCTATTCAGTGTTGTATGGTGACGCGTATTGCAGTTTATATACGACCCAACCTGCATAACAAACTACTTGAGAAAATATTTGCCGGAGATCACAAGGTGCCTATGGCACGGGGGAGTTGGCATGATAAGAATGTCAAATGGGCAAAGTAACCTGCCACATTAAGTCCTTGCCCGATGTTCTACAGTGGCGCAGTGCGCTTTTGAGTGGGGGACTTACTGCACATCTAACTGCTGCATACACCTAGTCTGCCTTTGTTGGCCGATATAGTGCCTCTGCAGCCTGGCCTTGCTTGTAAATCGCCCATATTAGAGCTTAGTGACGTTTACAGGGCTGTAAATTCTTGATTAGACACACATTATCATCCGAGTGTAGTTCGCGTGATCGAACTAAAATAATTGATCATTTTCAATATGGGGTTATTTTATTTTTTATTTTGGCAATAGGCAACCTCTTTGCAAGAGAAGGTTAAAAAACCAGAAAATCTTTCACTGCAGACTTTTTCCCTCCCTCGGATGATTAGTCTTGCATCGACCATCAAGAGGTTCTCAGGAATTCTTTCACAACGATGGACAAAGACTTCGAATCCGAGTTGCTCCTTCAAGAGCAGAGTTCGGAATTTCCAAGATTTTCTTTGAGAAAACACAAACTCCAAAAGGGCGGGGGTCTCTTACTGCTCTTGAGCTTTATCATCATTTTGTTGTCCGGCATGAATATTCTACAGTGGATAGCATCAGTGAAAAGATGCTCGACCGGTGAAGGAGAAGAAAATCATTCAAAATACGGTATACAAATAAATTCCTATCCTCACATTTTCCAATAGCTGTCTAATATCAATTTGTAGCTGATCTTTTTAATGATGAAATCAGCGTCCAATGGACACGTCCATCCATCTTGAGCAGCACTAATCAAACAGAACGAGACCATGAATGGGATTCCATCAGTTATGATAACGGTATTGTGGCAGTCCCAAAAGAATGGGCTGCGAAGAAAGCTCTGCCAATGGGGTCAAGCTTTCCGTGGAATACGAGCAAAGCGCTCTATCTTGTGAATGCCCATCACAATCTTCATTGCTTGGTAAGCACTACAAATCCTTCAGATGACAAAATCGCTCACGGATTGAGAAAAACATCTATCGTTCGGTAATGGAATCTCAGAAGGGTCAGCCTCAGTCTCTGGGACATGAGCACCTGGTCCACTGCTTATCCGAGCTTGTCGCCGATGTCAAATGTAACGCTGATGATACACTTCGATACATGAAAGTTGGCAATGGAAAGTCAACCGCCGTGGGTCAGTCCCGCACATGTCGTAACTGGGAAAAGCTTGAGAAATGGACGTATGAGAATGCTGGCTGCTATCGGTATGGCAACCCGGATATTGAGGACCATGCGAAAAGCCAGATTCCAAGATTCAGATATTGTCCTGAGGGTTCGGAGGATTTGGAACATGTTAGGAATTATTTCGGTAAAGGAAGTGATTGGAAGCCGTATGAAGAGAATGTGTGGAGCTGGGACGAGGATTGGGTCCCTTCTAACACTGGATTAGATGACTGGGTGAAGCCTACTTAGCATCCTTGAATAGTCGTACCAATGTGATAGCTCCTAGGTACAATCATTCCCAAGCTGTTGGTAGAGTTAAATGCACTTGTGAAATCTCAATTAGTAATGAAAAAACTGCAATTAGTTGTTTAAAGACAAGCTGTGAAATACATAAGATTACTGTTTTATTTGGTATGCACACACCATAAGCTCTCTCTGAGTTAATACTTGGGACGGAATTGTCATCTGCAGAGGGAATTTGCTAGCAGCAATCGATCGCAGCGTTGATTGATACTTGAAAACTCCTTCTCTAACCACCATCTGCTTTGATGACAGGCCCAAGAAAAGAGTCCTGTGCATCCGCGAGCATCCGAGGAGTAACTTTGCGAGAAACTGCGATGTCGTATATGGAATCAAAATCCACACATTCTCGATTAACATCGGTTTGCAAAGCCAAATTTGTCTTTCCTTCACTCCACTGGAGTCCATATATATTAAGGTCAGGCCTGCAGACAGTTGAATCGCGGAGGGCTTCGATACAGTGATCTTTAATGATTAAAAACTGATTGATGGCACATTATGATAGAGTTGTGGTCACTCACATGCATGTTTGAGTCCTATGACTTCTGGATCGCCTTTGATGGCTTTCAACTCTTTCACGTACGTATCGCGATGAAGGATCTGGTAAAGATATCGCTGTGTAGAAAAAACTTTATGGTCAATCGTAACAAAAATTGGTGCAAGAAAAGCTTACCACACAGTGTAGGTTGTGAAGAAAAGCTGGCTGGACAACATGATCTCCATCTTTCGTCATGATACTGCTCGTAAGATTTATCTTTGATGCTTCTTCGGGACTAAAAGTTATACCGATGACTGTTTCCATCCGGTTGTAAGTCTTTGAACGCTTTCAGACTCGAGGTTATCACGCACCTCGTTGTAGTTGGCGCCATGCATCGTCTATTCGTTTTGATGGTAAGCCGACGTAATCACTATCATCCCATGTATCACTCCGCATGTTTTCAACATTGGTCAAAAATACAGTCTCAAATGGACCTTGAAGAAAAATATAGTCAGTGAATTTGAAAACAACAATATCCGCATTGTGTCGTAAGAGTTCTTACTGTATAGAATGGACCTGAAAAATGCTCCTCGAGTGAACCATAATGCCAAAAGTGCGACATGTACTAGGACAGAGGCTAAAAGCATGCCATGCCATGTGTAGCGTAAGTGCTCGCGTCTTCGCCGAGACAGTTTTCGATCTTGATCTTGATCTTGACATTCTACTAGAAATGGCTCTTCTTGATCTTTGTCATCGTGAGAACATTTCGTTGAATCCATCTTCATAAAGTGGTCACCGATCTGAGAATATCACAAGAACTTTGTGCATGTGGTTCAAAAGACTCAATACATCCATCAATGGTTGTCTGTAGAAACAGGCAGAGATACAACTGACACCCAGGAATCCAAAGCTCAGGTGAGGAGACAGGATGTCAAGTCCAGCTTGAAGGGCAAACAATGCTCCACTTTTGATCCGCTATCAGGCTACTTTCTCTGATTCGGAGGAAAATTTACGGAGACACATAAAGAAACTCAGCTAAATGAGTTACATTTACGGAATCATCTGATCAAAGAAATTTATTTCCTACCATATGTGAACTCGCCTATCACTAGGGATTTTACTACATGTGGTTAACCCTTAACGTTTGTGATGGACGACCGCACCATATATGGTCATGAATCCTTATCAAAAAATCTCCAAGGTCAAGAAACTGTGCCGTTTTACTGATCCTCTAGATACAACTACAGTATGAAGCTCGTTTCGATATGAAAAGTCTATTGTATCCTTTGAGACAACTTGACCCATGGAGCAAGGATTATTATACCGGCATTTCAACTAATGAATGATTCTTAATACAATTTATTACCATATTAAGATTGAATTGCAATTCAAAAATTGCGTTAATGGTGTAATTCATTGAGTAGCTCCTTGCCTGCAACTCCTCCTACAGGTTTGCCCGTTGGGAAGGAGGGCGGGAAGCGGGGAGTACTTTTACTTTTTCCGCTTGAAACATGACCTTGAGCCATACGATCCACAACGTGGCGGGCGACCTACGACTCTGCGCTACGACCTTGAGTTGCAACTCTGAACCAGAATTTGGAATCATACCTTGTAAGGTAAGAATTTTGGTATCCTCTCATTGTATATCATTTCGAATTCGTAACAAAGCCCTTACAAAAATCGTATTTTCTTATTTAAAGTTGAATATCGAATAAGTTTTCTATTATTAAATCAATTGGAATTTTAGAATATAATAATTAATTATAAACTTATTTTATAAAATTATATATTCTATTTTTAGTATTTTTATTCTCAGATTAGAAAAGTTTAAAATTTTCAAATCTTTATTATATTTTGTTATCTAGTCTTTAAATGATATTGTTACTTTTAAAATTAATGAAAATTAATTATTTATTAATAATTAATACTTTAAATTTATAAAAACTCTTCATTAGTAATAAATATACGAACGGCCTCATTTTTTTTATTATCTCTTTAAAATCATCTTTAGAAACCTGATTATCAAATACTACAATCTTTATAAGCCACAGATCAATTAGTTTTTATAGTGTGATATTGATCAAATTTTGTAATTTGCATGCCTTCCCACGAATCTGTTTTCAGGCCAGCAAAATACGAATTTGCCAGGCAAATTACGAAATTCCGCGAGCCAGCTACCGAAGGGGCCCTAAGATAACAGGCAGACTTTCAGCTGTGCACTTCAGAACTTAGTACCTGGAAAAGTGCCAAGTATCTAGCCAAGCCGATATGGAAGCACCAATTACATGCATATGTACTGCTTACACGGGGTATCTTGATCTGCATATCAGATCCGCCTTGGCATTTCCTACAAAACATAATGACAATAACACATCAACTCACGATAGCGCTGCTATTGCCTCATTGTTGGAGATAAGACAATCCTTGAAGATTTCAATGTCTATTTGCATTCCGCTAAGCAAGATCAACTGAAGCCCAATGAGGCGTATTCTAGCGAGAAGGTTCGCAGAGTGGTAATGCTACTGTGGTGAAATCTCAATACAGCAACTACCAGCCTAGAACGTATGCACAACTAGTGGGTAGGGTAGCAATCATGTTATTTTATAGATAGCGTGTCGGTTATCTGTTTACAAATCATTTGTAATGAACGATGGGCCTTATGACTTTAATCCTGCACCACATTTTCGCTTATTGTTCGAGTATGCAGGTTTCAGAAATCAGGATAAAAATGATATCGATCCTTACTATCATTGAATGATTAACCGCTAAGGCGTGATAAAACTTCAATCTTCAATAGATTATATACCCTACTCATCGTAGTATCTCGGTGCTTAAGAGTGGAGGATGATGTACTTCCTGGCCGGAGGAGTACTCGTAGTAGACTCAATAAAGTGCTTCTCAACAATGATCCGCTTGCCGTATATATTTTCAAAAGTTTTATTCAAAGGTTATATAATATCTAAATAATGCTTTTGATAAATTATAAGAATGTGCTCTTAAGTTATAAGGATTAACAAAAGAAATGATTAATCAAAAGAGCCTAATATCTTTTCATGGATGGTGGTGTTGAGAGGATCGAGTGGGTGCTTATCGGCTTGTAATTATGTACTGCCAGTACTGGTGTACGAACTAACGATCTTGTGTCCTAGATAAGAAGGTCTGATAGAAAATGAAGATTTATTTTTAGATCCCTTTTTATTTTAGCCATTTACATTCTTCAACGGTTACTTTTGCTTCCAGGCTTGCCAAATTTTTAGCACGCACTCCCTCTGATCTCTTAACAATGCACTGCTTATACCCGATAGACAAATGTGGAAGGTGCACAATCTATCTTATGTATCCTATGTTGAAAGTATGCACACTTCATGTATCCATGTTTGGAATTCCCACCTCTCTGCAATCTTTCCCTGCCTTGTAATTCATCCTCTGATAGTCCAATTGGTACGAATACGAAGCATGATAGTCAACGACACACAGTGACACTTCTCCCTGCTTGAAGTTGCATGTCCTCCCAACCGTAAATTTACACTTACCTACTTCTACAGCTGTGGGATCAGGAACCTAGTTGTCATGCCATTGGCTTGCGGCACGGTATTATGAAGGAATGAGAGCAATATGGTTCTAATAGTTAACAGAACGAAGCTCAGGTTATACCTGTGAACTTCCACTTCAACCTTTTACTTCGTCAACGCACCCTACTACTCCTATTACTTTGAAATCTGTATTCAAGATGTCTACTGGTCTCCAAGCCAAAAATGCTTTGTTCATTGGCTATCCTAGCCCGGGTGAACTCCTCGCTGCTGGCATAGTATTACCTCTCATTGCACTTGCTACGATCTCGCTTCGCTATATGGTACGCCGCTCACGGAAGGCACGCTTTGGTGTAGATGATTGGCTTTTAATTCCAGCTTTAGTAAGGCATCTTGATCTTCTTGGGAATTGGAATTTGGCTGCTAACATGTCCATTAGCTAGCACTTACGGGGATAGGAGCATGTATTATAATTGGTTAGTTCACAAGGGGAGTAGTGTTGCCTCAAATTCACCACTAACATCGTGTAGGTGTCGTGAAAAAGGCTGTGGGCTATCCGGCTCCTCCACCAGCTTCAAGTTCACCGGAAGCAGCCTTGAATGACCTAAGTCCAGTGGAAGCCCTTTCTGAAAAGGTACGTTTCAATCTATATCATACTGAATGAAAGTACTGACAAACGATTAGCTTGACTTCGCCATTACCATCTTGACAATTGTTGCATATTGCTTCATCAAACTCAGTATTGCGTTCCTTTATCGACGTATATTTGTTGTATCGGGGCACTCAAAAATTTTCAGTATTGTCACATGGACCCTGATCGCAATTATCATCAGTTGGTCGATTACGTTCTTTCTTCTATTCATCTTCGATTGTGGGATTCATACTTCGGCTCAATGGGGCTCAGAGGCGGAGTTAGCACGTTACTGTCCGGATGGCATAAAGCATGAAGAAGCGCTCTACATATCTGAATTCTTCACAAATGTAGTTTTAGCTCTTGCGCCAATTCCATCCGTGAGCACTTTAATTCTCTCGTTAAGAGGAAGTCGGCTAACCATTCAACAGATTCTTCGCCTCCAATTGACAACAGCAGCAAAATTCCAGATCATCGGAATATTCCTTCTTGCTTTCAGCGCATTTGCAGCTTCAATCGTAAGATTGATACTTGCATTTGAGATAACTCAAAGCGTTACCTTTGGACAAGACTTTGACATCAACCGTGAGTTCAACACTGTTTTGGCAGCGACACTGCGAGCTAAACTAACAAATATCTTAAGAAACAAACTCTACAATTTTCTATTGGAATATGGTGGAAGCTGGCATTGCGCTGATAGCTTGTTGTCTACCCACTCTGAAGCCGCTCATGTCCGGGCAAGGAATTGGCTCGGCCATCGCAAGTATCCGAAGTGTCATTTCACTACCATTCAACAATTCCTTGACTTCGCAAAACTCAAACACGGTATCACACAATTCAAAGACTAGTAGAACTTACAGAAAGATGGAGAGAGACGGGTCAGTGATGGTGGAACCACTTAAAGAAGGAAACATTGAGTTGAAGAGCATTAGTAGCCGCGAGCCTAGTGGAGAGCATATTGTTTGAAAAGACCAATCCACGATAGACAAACTGCAGAAGGCCTTCTCATTGCTTCCCGCACGCCCATCCTACGTAAATCAAAGTATAAAGCCCGACACAAAATCAGAATCTTCAACTCCGGCATTCAAATTCATCTTTTTCGCAGCTCTAGATAGAATTATAATAAATCTTTTAAATTACCGTAAATAATGCCTACCCTGAGAGTAAGCAACGTTTCTACTCATTGAACCGTGGACTAGAGTGGGCTTAAAGAATATCAAAAATTTGCTGCCATAAGGCTTCCCTGCCTCTCTATCACCCATCTTCATCAGGCAATGAACCTACGGATTTATTACTGTAAACTTAAACACTGGCTGATTTTACTTCAATACTATGAGAAAGTTGAAATTATAGGCCAAATACATAGGGGTTTTTAACTAATCAATCATATGACCTATAATTAGATATAAAAAAAGAACTTTTATTTCTCCTTTTTATAATAATCAACCTTCAATATATATACATTTGAACCTATATAATCTCAACTCCAAAACTATTATAAACCTTGTTTTCTTTATAAATAACATATTACAATATAATCTAATCAGCTTTCTCTTCCAATTCCCCCTTATAGCATGCTATCGGGATGCACGTATCTCGACCTACCACTTTTACAATGTGACCATGAGCAAGTTCCATAGAATGCCGTAGATAATCCGAGCCAATATCAGACAACCACTGCCGTTATCTTGCGGCATTAACTACATTGATAATTAACGGGTTTCCTGCGGCCAGGTAAAAGCCCAATCACAGATGCATCCTCCTAAAAGATGTCCTGCCGTTCTAAGCAACTATGTAGGTATGCCCAATAGTTTTCGATCTTCCTTGAACTATTTATCTACCAATTATTCGTCGCGATTGGACCTGTATACGAACTGTAGTATGTACCATCGTCAATTAGATGCCTTGTAGAGTTAAATAGCCCTTGTCACTATCCCTGCCAATAGAATACACCTCCGCCCTTGCTATTGCGATCTTACCGAAACCCCCACACTGTGACCTCATTAGAACGGATCATTATTTAGTGGGGCCCCTAATAGAGAGAGTGGCACCTTATTCAAGGTCACTCTAGGCCATCATCGTCTTCCCAGTAATATTGGTATGTACACGAATTTAGTGAAGATTTTTTTTTTCCCAACGAACTGTATGCTAGCCAAACATAGAAGGTGGCGATGTGAGTGCTGCAGTGTTATATACATAGATTATGCAGTTAAGAGGCGGGTTCAAACAACTCTTTGATCCGGGCCACCAACAGATGTGGGCACTCGGGAATCCTTATCAATGTTAACAGTGTCAAGCGGTTATTGACCACGAATGACAATGCCTTGTCATCGGCTAACTGATGCTTTGTATTAACAGTCAGGTCTGCTACAAGTCTTCGCTTTTCATCAAAATTTAAGTGGACATGGTTTCGAACACTTGAACATCATTAAATTTATTCTAACTATGGCCAATTCATTCTTCACGCTGTTTCTGTCGAGTATCGCCCTTTCATCAATTTACTGGTTATGGATGAGAGCGTTAGCTTGGTCTGCCAGAAACAAAGCAGGATGTTCTTCCGCGGTCAAGTACAAACACCTCGACCCATTTTTTGGATTTGACCTCCTCAGCAAAAAAATACAATACACGAAAGCCGGAAACTTATTGGCTCTAGACGATGAGTTGTTCGCAAAATATGGAAAGACGTTGCATACATTATTTTTTGGTAGAAATCACTGGATGACTATGGATCCTTTGCTTATCCAAACTGTCGCCGCTACTGAAGCTGATAAGTTCGGAAGCGCACCTTCAAACCGCAAGCCTGCTGGGCCATTGCTAGGCGATGGTGCTTTTACTACCGACGGGCATATGTGGAAGAGATCTCGAGAGCTTCTCCAACCAGTCTTCAGTCGTTCACAAGTCTCGCAATTATCAGGGTTGAAATCTCATATGGAACGTTTCCTCGAACGTATTCCTCGAGACGGTTCCACGATTGATATTCAACCTCTCGCTCAAGGCCTTTTCTTAGATAGTTCTATGGAGTTTATCTTCGGCAAGTCTTCTGGTACTCTTTCACCATCCGAAAAGTGAGTATACCCATCATTGTCACATGATTTGGTTGCAATTCGCTTACAAGAAGTAGAACTGTCGAAGCCAAACAATTCTCTGAAGACTTTGACGAGGGTCTCCGAGGAATGCGAAACAACTACATGACAGACAAAATTTCCTGGTTGGTTGGACCTGACAAGAAATGGCTTGCTCAATGCGCCAAAATCCATTCTACCTTGGAAGGTTACATTGACGAGGAGATTGAGATCCAAAAGCAGTCAAAATTGTTGGGCCAGCCAACCGACACCACTGATGAGTCATCGGCCTACAAGCATATCCTTCTCAAAGAGCTTGTTAAAAAGTACCCGAATGACAAGACTCTCATCCGAAATGAACTCATGAATGTCTTCTTCGCGGCGAGAGATTCTGTTGGAACAGTAACTTCCAGCATGCTGTTTCTTCTTGCAAGAAGCCCAGAAAGCTGGGAGAAATTGAGGAAAGAAGTTGCTGCTATCCCACCAGAGCAAGAGTTAACTTTTGAGTTTCTCAAGTCTTTGAAATATGTGCAGGCTGTGATCGACGAGAGTGAGTTGAAATGGCTGTGCCCTGTGATGATCTTCAACTAACACACACACAGCACTTCGACTTATACACCCTGTCGACCGAGCTTGGAGGACATGTTTATCGACTTGTATCCTCCCTCGCGGTGGTGGCAAGTGGGGGAACGACCCTATTTTACTACAGCCAGGCGATCAGATCGAGCTAATATATGGTTGCATGCACAAAGATAAAGATATCTGGGGCGAAGATGCATCCAAGTTCAATCCAGATAGAATGGTCAGGTTCAAACACAGTTGGAAGTTTATTCCGTTTTCTGGAGGGCGTCGCACTTGTCCTGCTCAGCAGAACGCATACACTGACATGGCATTCTTCCTGGTGAGAATGGTCCAAGAGTTTAAGACGATTCAAAATCGGGATGACTGCTTCGAATATGTCGAAGAGTATGTTATGACCAAATCGAGCCGGAATGGTGTCAAGGTTGCATTCTCGGTCGATTAAGAACTTGAGAACGAACTTGGGCATTGGGTGAATGAGTATGTGTATGTGTATGTGTAGAGCAATGTCATCGCTTATTAAGCTGAATTTAGCACGCACCTCAATTTTGAAATTCAGTAAGCTCCGTGGTTCCGTGATCTCCAACATGGGCGAGAGTGGGACAGGAATAGAAATAACAAATAACCTTGACCTTACGACCTTAGCGGTAGGACCATCAAAGGGGCCGAGGAACCAAAAAATATATAAAAATAAATTCACAACCATATATCTGTCTGAATCCATGAAAAATCCCCACAGTTGAATTGAACCCCTAATTACAATTGACACTCATGTTATGAATTGTTGATATATCTTCAGTCTTTCTTTAATTTCTTGTATAAATTCAAACTTCTTATTCACTCGCTCACTTACACACCTTTCCTATACCTCGTTCCCTACCGCCACAGAACTCTCGACTCCATGACATAATAGGGCAATGAGTATCTTCTCATTTGTGCGGAGCATTTATGCTCTAGATACCATCGATACCCGCTTCACGAATGCTTCCTCGACACCATACCAAGTAGATCCTGCTGCTGCGAAGTCAAAACGTGATGATTCAAAACCCGGCGAGGGAGTACGGACAGACAGTAATGGCAGACCACTTGCTCAACCATCAAGATGGAATACCTGGGAATTCTATTTTTATTACTTCATCTTTTCGACGGTTGTGCCATACATGTTCTGGATCGCCTATGATGTATCTAGACGTCAGTATTGGACTTACTCGTGAAAAATACAATCTGACAGAAATCCAGCGTCGGACCCTAACTACCATAAATACAAGCACCTTCTTTCCGATGGCTGGATCCCTGGGCGCAAGATTGTATGTGAATATATTAAAAAGATGGCTTAACAGATGCTAATCCACTGTAGGATATTTCGGATGCACAATATTACAATTTCCGAACCAATGTACCGTACCTTGCCATTCTCGTCGTTTTTCACCCTATCCTTAGACGCTTTTATGAGTATCTCAAGCCGATCTCTACTCGAGTAGGATCTCCGAAACTGAACGGCAATAATACATACATATCCGTGGCAGAAGGTAATGCGAGGCTTGAGCAACGAGTTAGATTCGATTTCATTTTCGCATTCATATACCTCTTGGCCTTGCATGGCTTTTCGGCCTTCAAAGTCATCATAATAGTCTACACCAACTACTGTCTAGCGACCAGACTTCCTCGCAAATTTGTTCCTGTAGCAACATGGGTTTTCAATATCGGAATATTGTTTGCAAACGAGCTCTCAGACGGCTACAGGTTTACATCTGTAGCACAATATGTGTCTCCTAAGAATGGAGCTGGATTTCGAAATGGAGCTTCCCTGCATAGCTGGGCAGAGTGGATGGATAGCTATTCGGGTATTATTCCTCGATGGGAAATTTTGTTTAATCTTACTGTCTTGAGGTTGATCAGTTTTAATTTGGATTATTACTGGAGTCAAGAGAAGGGAGCTGGAAGCGCATTAGAGGTAGGCCATAAGCAAAGAGTCGTATGCTCCATCTAATACTAATGCGCAAAAGAAGAAACAACTCGACCCTGCCAATCTTTCCGAACGAGATCGCGTTTCAATATCTGCGGCGGATAAGGATTACAATTATCGAAACTACTTCGCATACGCGATTTATGCTCCTTTATATTTAGCAGGACCGATCTTCACGTTCAATGATTACATTAGTCAGTCGAAATATCGCCCTGCTAGCATAGAGAGTAAACGAACCTTTAAGTACGGCATTCGTTTCCTGCTCTGTCTTTTGGCAATCGAACTTCTTCTTCATTTCGACTATTGTGTGGCAATCTCCAAAGCCAATCCTAACTGGTCCGATTACACTCCAGCTCAACTCAGTTTACTATCATACTTCAATCTCCATGTATTGTGGCTGAAGCTTCTTTTACCATGGCGATTCTTCAGGCTTTGGTCCCTTATTGATGGAATTGACCCCCCTGAGAACATGCTTCGCTGCCTCTCCGATAATCCATCTACTGTTCAATTTTGGCGAAGCTGGCATCGCAGTTATAATCGCTGGATCATCCGCTACATTTATATTCCCATGGGTGGTTCATCTTCTCGGAACTGGAAAGCACAACTTCGATCGATTGTCAATTATCTTGTAGTTTTCACATTTGTAGCACTATGGCATGATATAAGCCTCAACTTACTTGTATGGGGTTGGCTGATCGTTTTCTTTATGCTACCGGAAGTTATTGCTGGCATGCTCTTCCCACGAAAGAAATGGCTCAATGATCTTACATACTACAGAGTACTCTGTGGTATTGGTGCTGTGGCGAATTTGATGTTTATGATGATAGCGAACTTGGTAGGGTTTGCTGTTGGAGTGGATGGGTTGAAGAGTATTATTTCAGGCATTTTTAAAGATTTTTCGGGTATGTTCTATTCAACAGTGACACAGAATATCCAGACTAATTTCAAAACAGGAATCGTTTTTCTCATTACGGCTTGGGGGGCACTTTTCGTGGGTTGTCAGGTTATGTTTGAAGTGAGGGAGAGTGAACATAGAAAAGGCATTTACCTAAGATGTTAGAATTACATACAATTCTAAAATCGATAAGTCCATAGAGAGATTAAATCTTACAGATTTTGGTTATTAATTTTGATAACGAATTTCTTTTTTTTTTTCCAAAAAAGAAAAAGAGCCTAATGATATAGTTGAGAATTATAAAACTTGAACAACGAAACGGGAAGCTTGGAACTCATCGACTACAATCTTCAAAACGTGGATGAATCTCGCTGTCACGGGCTGGTATTTTATATGCAGTTCTTATTTTGAGTCTTGATGTCTTGATGTCTTTGTTGGAGTTGGAGGATGCTTGGGTTAGATTGATAGTATGTGAGAGTGTATGTGGAGAGTGGTGGATTTGGATTGGAGTAGGTAAGTTTATAAATTGGCACGGCCATCAGCTTGTTGATCAATGGGGAATTCGCTCTCACGTCGCGGTTACCTAATTGCTGTTTGTGGACTGTGGAGACAGAGGGGATAAGTAGCTGTTTTGCGGCGAGAAGGGACTCAAAGATGGGTTTTGGATTTGTTGAGCTTCGGGTTTCTTTGGTTGGGGTGCGAGGATGAGAATAATGGGTGGCATGGATAGATAGATATTAAGAGGTCAGCGGTGTTTTTTGGGATGGGAATATGGGGATCGTTGTGGGAGATGCTAAGTGGTGTGGAGACTGGAGTGTTGTTGGTTTTGGTATTTAGTAGGTTGTATGATTATGATGATGGCTGATATTGAGGCTATAGTACCTATGTATGGTAATATATATAAAATCTGATGCTATGTATAATTATAGATATTGTTGAAAAAAGTGATACTAATTCTAGTAATATTTCTAAATGCTGGGATCTGTCTTATATTTCAAAGGTATTTTATATTTTATATCTCATCGCGTAAATCGCACAAACAACAATAGTCCTCATTCATATCGGAGCTTATAAATTATCACAATCGAACAAACCAAAGTTCTATAACGAGTTTACCAAGAACATCCAACACGTATATTGAGAACGTGGAGAAATGTAGATTGAACCAGAATAGTAACGATATCCGGCTCGTGATACGGGAGATATGAGGTTGCTTTCACAGAAGACATGCTAGATTAATTAAGGATGACGGGTAACGTTATTTTTGTCATATTCTTCTGGTCCATCAATCGGCATTGACGAAGCACGTGATCCAAGCAAAGCAACAAATGCCACGATGACGTACCCCGTGATTTTGAGAATTGGAGCTACTCTACCAAGCTTGGAGAAGTTCTTTTTTGAACGTCGATACCTGATATTTGTATTTTGTTTATAAATTGATCCCATCTACAAAAAACATCGAATTTGATCCTTGTTGTACAACTTCAGCTGAGATCAATCGGCGGGGCCGCAAGCTTAGCCATACACGAAAAAAAAAGCTGTAAATTTACATTATAACCTCAAGATGTGGGATCAATTGGAACCAACTCCTCCACATATAACCTATCTTTTCCTTCCGCTATTCTTGATAATATATGCTCTCTTCTCAAACTTCATCCGGGATCATCTTCATCTCTCAGAGCCTCCTCTCGCCGTCCTATTTGGTATCGTTCTTGGCCCATATGTACTCAAAGTACTCACCCCAAAGCAATGGGGATTCGATGATGAAATTATGCAGGAAATCACTCGTGTGATAGTAGGCATTCAATGTTTTGCGGTAGGAATAGAGCTTCCTAAACACTATTTTAAAAGACATTGGAAATCCGTTCTCTGTCTATTAGGTCCGGTTATGACATTTTCCTGGGCTATTACTTCATTTTTCGCATACTTCATTTTCCAGACAACTGTGCCTACAGCTCTGATTATAGGAGCTTGTCTCTCGCCAACTGATCCGATTCTTGCTAACTCGGTCCTTTCGGAATCTCGATTCAGTAAACGAGTTCCTCCACGTATCCGACATCTTCTTTCAGCTGAGTCGGCATGTAATGATGGAGTTTCCTTTCCATTCCTTTACATTGGCTTGGTGATTTTTACCACGCATGGAGGTCCCGGTGAAGCTATTAAGGAATGGATAACCATCACGCTGCTGTGGCAATGTGCACTCGGCATTATAACAGGTCTCATACTCGGGAACATTGCAAATCGACTACTACGATTTTCTGACGCTCGCGAGTATATATCTAGACCATCTTTTGTAGTATTTTATCTTCTTCTCGCAATTCTTTCAATTGGTATAGGATCAATTCTCGGCTCGGACGATTTCCTAGTCGCTTTTGGCGCCGGTGTTGGTTTCGCGCACGATGGATGGTTCTCTAAGAAAACCAGAACCGTAGCTTTTCCAGTCATTGTAGATCACATACTCAACTCAACCATGTTCGTGTATTTCGGCTCTATTATCCCCTGGGATCAATTTCAACCAACAACAATCACCCCAAATATCAAATCCTGGACTCTCGTCCTCTTTTTAATACTCGTCCTCCTCTTTCGCAGAATCCCAATCCTTCTCCTTGCTAAACCTATCATCCCCGATATTCGCACGTATCGCGAAGCTCTCTTTGCTGGCCACTTTGGACCTATGGGCGTAGGCGCTTTATTCCTTGCTATAGAAGCGAGAGCACAACTCGAAAGAGGTACTTCGCTTCCTCTTCCAACGCCAAGGTTTCCTCACGAATCAGGCCCGGTTAGCGAGGATACAAAGGCTATCTGGATTATTTGGCCAGTGGTCTGTTTTGTGGTGTTGGGAAGTACGATGGTGCATGGATTGAGTGTGTTGGGAATTAGTTTAGGAAGTCATTTTATGAGGAAGGAAGGGGAGAGAGCACCATTGTTGGGAGGAGAGACGGATGGGTTAGAGGGTATGATTTATGAAGGGGGTGGAGGGGAGAGTGAACCAGAGGTTAGTGGGAGTGAGGCTGAATAGAGGATGGGTCGGAGGACTTCTTGATAAGGATGGGATGATTTCTTGGTACTTTTTAAAAGTAATGTAGCTGTTGGCTATGCGTGTTTCAGAAATAAAAGCCCCACTGCATTTTTAAAATAAAAAGTATAAATGAAATATACACTATTCATTCGACAAGGTTCTTCATTCCTCTTCTTCTATACATATCATATAGATACACATGAACAGCACAGGTACGCACATCATGTTAATACGATAAATATTTGATAATTTCAATTGTAAAGAATCATTATGAAATAAAATCCGGGGAATAATGATTTATTTTTGGTTTTATCCATGCTTGGAAAAATACTCGTTATGATGTTGAAGAGGTCATCCACATATAACAGGATCTGGGGGAATTGAAGGATAACCTAAAATATTTGGCATTTTTCATCTCTTATATTCACCTTTAGTTGCCTGTCTAGAAATACAAGAAATAAACCTAACTGTCTTGGAAGGAGAAACGAGCATAACTATAAGTGAAATATCACAGGCACGTTGGAGGCGTGCTCGTTTGTTGGTGGGTTGGACCAAGAAGGAAATATACGCATATTCAGGATTTACCACCTCGTGCAAAAATGCACACGACGATTGGTGGATTTGCAAGGAGAAACACAAACTTGGTTGCATTGTGCCCTAGAACGCCTTATCAACGATTACACCAAGACGATTTAATTATACGTATTGGTCGGAGTGGGAAACAGTCCTGACACATGCTGAAATTATTGTCAACCAGGAATTCAAGGAGGCCATTCATTATCCCAGAAAGTGTATGTACTAACAAGCCTTGCGCTGCAGCCAAGGCAGAAAAGGGCATTGATGGTTTCGCAAGGAATTCAGGGATTGAAACCCGTGTTAGTCTTTCCGAGACCACTCAGAAGATTGTAGACGTCGACATCATAGGCTGAAGTATTGCTTAAAGACCAAGTTCAGTAGCAAGCAATATTCTAAGTACGATAATGCGAAGCTGTATATGATTTTGCCCAGTATGATGGAGTACTGGACTATTTATGGTGCAAGTCAGCTCAAAAGTGACTCGCTCCAACGGCGATGGTGACTTTCTGAAAGGTAAAGACTCCAGCTGAACCAGTGCGGTGCTAGTGCCCTATATATCCTATTAAGGTTGAAGGAAGTATACATATAATGCTTGTGGTCTTGTGTAGAAAGCTAGCCGCACTATCTCTCCAGCAGGCAGGACCAGGATCATCCGGGCCTCATTCTAATTTGTGCCCTCTTAATGCAGGCATTCAATATGATCACCAGTCAATCGGGGGATAACTATGCGCAGAGTATCCTTGCACATTCTCAGTAACCTTATCACCTTTTTCGGTCACATATTTGAAGGTCTCCGCAAGTTGGGATTGACTAGTGTAGTCTACGAGTGATACCAAAAAGGGCTTGCATTTATTAGCCTACCCCGCTCTGAGGTCCGCATAGGCTCTGAAAACTGTTTATCATGCGGGAATTTGCTTACAGAGAAACGCGGCGAGATTGTTACACAGCACTGCTGAGCTACCAGTCAAGCCTACGCCATCTGTGATGCACGTGCTATTGGACTGGACTTGCACATCATTTTGTCAATGTTTCACAGAATTATGAAGACTTTAACTGAAGGACATCCGCACGTTCGGATAATACATCCTGGTATCTCTGGTGAGACTCGTAGATGTGTACCATATTATGCGGCCGGCGAAGGATCAAATACAATATGAACGACATTCGCTTTTGCAGGCTTTTCAATAATAATAATCGCTTTATATGGAACCTGCGTTCACGCGCAAACATTCTTGCCACGTCCCGAAAGAACTTTGTGCATATCCAGGAATATGATATGACAAGGCGGCCAAGCATGCCACCATGCCTCGAGAACTGGGATAGGTATCGCAAGACCATCACTAACCTATTTGTTGTTCGCAAAATGTCCCTACCGAGGTTAACGTAGTACATGATGGAGAACCATGGCTTTCGTGCTACTTAGGTTGAGTCCTGGTTAAGAAAAGCTACGGCTACGGACCGGCTATGTCAATCATTAGCAAATGGGGTATCCGTAAGAACATGAATCTCGACTTCGTTATAACTATATTAGAGCAAGCCTTTGCAGCCAGATCCAATCTGACAAATTGGAGTCAACTGTCTAACGGGATAGGCTTTGCGCAATATTTATCTAGACTTTCAATTATGAAGAGGAGTGAGATTTTCCGGAAGGTGGCTGAGCGCCTTCCACCCACTACAACCCCTTCGCTTCCCCTACATTTTCCTTTCTATCCTATTAAGATTCAGTGCGTCATAAGTACCTACGTCCAGTATGCAGTGAAAGCCAGCTGTGTGTCAGACTATCAAGCTATGCTTACGTTTGTGAGCTCCTTCGCGCTCTTGTGAATCGTACGACTTTACTACACCCTCTTCTGTCCCCAACGACAGCCAAACGTTTAGCACTGTGTTCTAAAGAGCCATTTGCCAGTAAGCTTCTCCTTATGATATATCTCTCTCCAACGTTGTGGGTCACCTTGACCTGACCTGAGAATAGAGAAACTGGTAACAAAGTCGAGTTTCACCAAAGTAGGCATTGCCATTTTCGAGATCCCCTTTTCTATGCTGCCTGCTGCATCGCTAGCCATTCCTCGTGCCTCTTCTTCTGTAGCTCCCACTCTTTGACCAGCTTCTTGCGCCTATTCTTGGACACCACATTCCCCGCTGCGTCCACGGTCGGGATGCCGCTTTCGTCCCGTTCCAAGTAATCGTCCGAGGTCCTGAACATTAGTAAGGGGTGGACCTTGGCGCGCTCGCGCAGTTCCTTCTCCCTTTCAGCCTCCCTGGCCTCCTGTTCTAGCTTGGCCTTCGCCTTCGCAGTGGCAGCTGATTCCCGCTCCGCGCGCACCTCAATGAGCAACTTATCGAGGCATCGTACCAAAGCAGGCTGGGAGTTGTCGCGGTCCTCGAGATAGATGCCTAGGTTCCAAAGGTGTACATCGCGGAGCTGGTCGCATAAGGCGAGCAGGTCTTTTGCCGGCGCTCGCTGAGCCGCGAGCTCCTTGACGTTGGTGCGGAACTGCTGCAGCACCTGGTCGTATGGTTTGGAGGACTCGACTACCGGTGTTGGCACTGCGACCGTAATTCCGTCAGCGAGCTTCGCTATAGCTGTATAATCGACCGAGACGGAACAGGCCAACATTCGAATCTTGTCGCGCAATTGAGATAGAGGGTAGATATAGGGCTTTGCTGGTGCGGGAATATCGAGGCCCGACCACCCTATACGATCCAGGTTGCTGAGATCTCCCTGGGGATCCAGACCAAATATGGTGACGATACGTGTTACCCACCTAGCAAGCAAGATGACTGTCTGATCTGAAAGTGCCTCTGCCGAGTTGAACTTGGTAACAAGATCGGAGAGAATTCTCATGACAGCTGAGGTGTTGAAGGAATCGCAAAGAGCTGTATCAACATCGGCTTTCGCCTTATCCAGGGCGCTTAATAATTGTTGGTCTGCGATTTTAAGTTCTTGTATTGCTGTAGTCTTGGGACTGGAACGTTTCCAAAGGTCCAAGCTCTTTAGAAAGAAGTTATTGAGCTTGCCTTCCCAGCCGACCACGGCCTTCATAAGCTCGTCTGTTACCTCAATACCATCCTGCCAAGGCATAAGAAGGAAGCAAATTCGGAGAGAACGTGCACTCCTTTTGGAAGAGAACAGTTCTGATGGTCGTATAGTTCTTGAGGCTCTTGCTCATCTTCAAGCCTCGAATCCTACGATCTGTTAGCGCCTTTGTACGACGAAATCGGCATTTGAAACCTTTTACCTCAGTTGCCCCATGTGGATGAAGTAATTTGTCCACTGTACTTGGCAGCCCGGAGTCGACCAGTAAGCTTCCGATTGTGCGAGTTCATTATCATGATGAGGGAAACGAAGATCGACGCCTCCAGAATGGATATCTATCGTCTTCCCGATCACTTTGGAGGCCATTGCAGAGCATTCAATATGCCATCCTGGCCGCCCATGACCCCATGGACTCGGCCATGCTGGCTCGCCTGGCTTGCTAGCTTTCCACAGCGCAAAATGATTCTCGCTCCGCTTCATTGACCTTCCCTTGGACAGTGAGCCTTCACCATCGGCTTGGAGGGCACGGTCGTTTTTGTTCCACGGTTCCAGCCGGGAGTAGCTGTGCCCAGCCTTCTCAAACGAGTCAATATCGAAATATACGGAGCCGTCAGGCGTAGCGTAACCGAAACCGTTTGCCACAATCTTCTCAACGAAGGGGACAATCTGAGGGACATACTCGGTCACACGAGTAATGTGGTCGGGGGCCAGGACATTAAGCGCATTCATGTCCTCGAAAAAGCGGTGCTCGAATTTCTGTGTCAGCTCCAGGTATATCTTGTAGTTATTGGAGTCCATCTTTGCACCATGCAAGGCATCGAGATATGGGAGCAAAATGTCGTCCGTCTTGGCAAAAAATCCAGGTAGCTTTCCTGGGGCTTGCAGGGCCCCAACAGCCGACCGTGCCGTTCCAATGTGTGCTCTCAACAGCAAATCGGCGACAGTAACAGCTTGGCTCTGTTTTGCTGTCGCGGCGTCGGCTAGAGGTGGAGGCTCGACCTTTTCCTTATATGCCTTGTTCACTGCCTCGGAAAAAGTGTCTGGGCTCGTATCCGAGGGCAGAGACGGGAGGTTCTTGCAAATGTAGTGCCGGAATGCGGCTTTGGCCTCTGCTAAAACCGAATCGCTCACCGAGTCGTCCTCAGCGGCATGCTCCTGCTTGAATCCGGCGAGCAGGTACTGCCGGCGGCCCTGGAGGATGATCTTGTCGTCGATATCTGTTGTATTCATAACGAACTTGACACGGAAGCCGAAGTAGTCCTTCATGATGCGACGGATAATGTCGGTCGAAATGTAATTCTTGGCATGGCCGAGATGGGCATCTTCGTACACTGTCGGGCCACACGCGTACCATGTCACCATCTTCCCTGTCGGATCGGCTGGGACAAAGTCATCATTGTTCCTCGTCAGGCTGTTGTAGATCTTCAGTCGGGGCAGCTGGGCGTCAGCTCGGGCTTTAGGGGGGAGCCATAGCGGCTGTTTGCAACCGTTGGAAGTCATGCTACGTGCGCTCAACTATTTGAGTTTGAGATTTTTAGCATCAAAGAGTATTTCTCTGAGAAAAAAAAAATGGGTCGTACTTTTGTTAAGGGAAAGAGGAAAAGCCCGACTGATCCAGTCTATTTAAGCTGTTGTGTTTTGCAAACGAAGGTAGGAATGACTCACCTGAGCAATCTCATTCCCTCATTGCCAGCTCTCGGCAGAACTTCGGTTAAGAGAGTAATCGATAGCCAATTGCTTGAACAGCTTCTTGTAAGCTGACTTCTCCGCCTGTGATATGGCAAGTTTTCGAGGCGCAGATAGCTTCGATAGACGACGCGTTAATTGCTAAGGTCGTGATGAATATGAGCAATATGATGGTGATACGCGTTGTGATATGCGGGGGTGGATTGAAGTCCATAGCAATGGACTTATGGTGATCTGTGCGACAAAACTAGTTCATCGGCCCCTGATTTATACACCCGGTCAATGGTCCGTGATTGAAGATCGTCAAAATCAAAAGCACGTGCCTTTGATATCCTTGGTGGATCCATAAAACAAGTGATTGGAAAAAAGATTGTGTGTTTTAATCAATCGAAACATTAAGATTTTTAAAGTTTTATTCAATATTTATTTTCAATTTATATTTAAAATTTTAATTATAATTTCATTTAATTTTATTTTAAATTTTAAATATAAAATTTAAATTATTAAATATTTTTTTTTTTGGAAATTTTTCTTATATAAATTTATAAAATAATAAATAAATATATTAATAAATAAAATTTAATGAATATAAAAATAATAATAGATTATATAAATTAAATTGAAGAGTTAAATATCATGATTTATGAATTAGATTATAATAATATTATTGATATTAGTAATTTAGATATTGATTATCAAGAGAGTTGTCACGATTCACAGTTTTTATTATAATAGTATTATTGATATCGGTGATTTATATACCGACTATAAGGAGGGTATAATTTAACCGTTGCTTTCAAAGATCCTGATTACCTAAACCTAGAACCCCAGGATTCCTAGAATAAGTATCTTAGACAACTATAATAGAATAGGATAAATGTTCTATCTAATTAACTGAAATAGGATAATCACCCTAAAGGATACCCTATCCTAAAACTATAGTTCCTGAAGGAAAGCTTCTGGGACAAGTATTCCAGAAAAGGAAAGGCTTCAGGATAGGAGAGGCCTCAGGATCAATCATATAATATACTAGCTCTGCTAACCAGCTAGCATAGCTAGCATACAAGGAAGGAGATTAATATATAATCAGAATAGTTTCATAGTTTAGGAGCTTCATACTCAACTTAGTTATCAATTAGTTTATCTATATTCCAATTGATCTAATAATGAATTCACTTTCAAATAGATAACTAATGATTAATAGCTTTAACCTACAATTACCAACTATACAAAACCTCAGGCAGCCGCTACCTCGACCAGATTGTTACAAGAGTATATATAATGATTTAATTGAGATAATAGTGTAACAATCTGATCAAGATAGTGACTGTCTCAGATTTATATAATTGATAATTATAGATTAAGGTTATTAATCACTAATTATTTATTTGAAAATGAATTCATTACTAGATCAAATAAAATATAAATAAACTAATTAATATTAAATTAAATATAAAGTTTTTAAACTATAAAACTATTTTGATTATATATTAATCTCTTTCAAAAATCTTGAAGAGTTTATATTCTTAAGAACTTTAAAGAGTTTAAAAGAATTTATATTCTTGAAGACTTTATTATATAATCTTTATTTTAATATTACAAGAGATACAATTTAGATTATATAAAAGTGACTGTAATAAATCATCTACATCTAAGATTATAATAGTATTATAAGTGTTGATGATTTAGTTATCGATTACAAGAGAGTTTTTTATTATTATAATTAGGAATCTAAAGATCTTAAAATAAATATTCTAGACAATTATAATATAATAGAATAAGTATTTTAATTTTACAAAATAGATTAAAATAATAATTATTTTAAAATATTTATTTTAGGATAATTATATCAGGATATCAACTATCCTAAAAAAGAGATTATTTTAAAACAATTCTAATAAAATAGAATTCTTTTTAAGATAAAGAATTATATAATAAAACTTTTAGAAGTATAAATTTCTTTAAGCTTTTTGAAATCTTTAGGAATGTGAGTTTTTTAAGGTTTTCAAAAAAGATTAAATATATAATTAAAATAGTTTTATAGTTTAGAAACTTTGTATTTAATTTAATTATCAATTAATTTATTTATATTCTATTTAATCTAATAACAAATTCATTTTCAAGTGAATAATTTGTGATTAATAACTTTAATTTATAATTATTAATTATATAAATCTTAGATAGTTATTATCTCAATTAGATTATTATATTTTGAGTATTATTATAATTAAATTATATATAATATAATAGTTTTCAATTAATAATCTATCGAATTGTCTTTTTTTAATTTTATCGAGGCCCTGTAACGATCTGGTCGAGGCAGCGGCTGCCTGAGGTTTTGTATAGTTGGTAGTTGTAGGTTAAGGTTATTAATCATTGATTATTCATTTGAAAATGAATTCGTTATTAAATCAATTGGAATATAGATGAACTAATTAATAATTAAATTGAGCATGAAACTTCTAAACTATAAAACTATCCTGATTATATACTAGGTTCTTTTAGGAGCCTTGAAGAGCCTATGCTTCTAAGGGTTCCAAAGAGCTTAAAGAAACCTACACTCCTGAAGGCTTTATTATATGATTCCTATTCTGGTAGGCTAATCCTAGCAATCCTTTCCTATTGTAATCACTTCAGGATAATCCCCTTTCTAGAATAGTTGATATCCTAAAGGAATTGTCCTAGGATAAATATCCTAAGGTAATCTCTATCTTAGTTTATTTCGTAGAATTAAGATATTTGTTTTATTACACTATAGTTGCCTAGAATACTAATTCTAGGAGTCCTAGATTTCTAATCGTAGCGATAAGGAACCCTTTTATAGTCGGTGGTTAAATCACTGATACTTACAATATCAATATAATCTTAGATGTAGATGATTTGTAACAGGCCATTATTCAGGTTACTACAATAATGAAATATAAACAAACAATTCAGATATCTATCTCTAATTTATTTTATGAAGATTATAATAAATATTAAATTTTTGTTATATAAGTTGATCTTTATTATATTTTTAATAAATAAATTTTTTTGATTTTTATATATAAAAGATTTTGTAGTTAATTTTCTTTTTCTAAGGAACTATATTCAATTAGATTGAATTATTTTTAAATAATCTAATAAATAAAATAATTGATAATTAATTGAATAAGAATATAAAATCTGAAAAATATTATTTCTTTCTTAATTACAAATTATTCAAATAAGGATTCGATAAAATATTCAAAGAAGTAAATCCTGATTATATAATTGAAAAAGCATTATGATAATTTAAATAAACTGAATTAATTATAATCTATATTGTTACATTTTAATAATATATTGATATATTATATAGAATAATGATTATCTAAAGTTACAATTCTATAAAAAATTGAAAGATATTATCAAAAATGAATTAGTAAGAGTTTTGAAATCATTTAATTTTTTTGAATTAATTGAAATCTTTATTTTTATTGATAATTGATTCTATAAATGATAAATAGAAAAGAAAAGGATTATTTAGAAAAGCAAAAAGTTTCAAAAACTTTATTATCAAAATAAATATTATAATATCAACGATCTAATGAAATTAGATGATATCAAGTGATATTATATAAAGTTAAGTAATTTAAGTGTTAACGAAAAAAAAATATAAGAAGAATAATTTATATTATATTTGTAAGAAAAATGAATATATATTCAGAGGTTGTTTTTAAAAGAAGAAATTTTTCATTGTAAAAAATAAGAAATATATAAAATTCAGAAATAAAAGATAAGATTTTTAAGAAATAGAAATCCTAAAAGAAAATTCAAAGGAAATAGGATTATTGAAAAGAAATTTATTTTAGTTTAATTTTGAGTAGTTAAAGGAATTATGTATTATTATTTAAAACTTTAGAATTGATATTAAAGATAATAATGAATTGATTTGCAAAAAGAACGAATTTGATAATATAATCCTTAATCAAGATTAGATTCATATTATAGAATATCTTATATTTGGATCATTAAGTATCGATAAATTAATTCAAAAAATTACAAATACTAGTAATTTATTAAATATCGAAATCATAGAAATAACAAAGAAGAATTAAATAAAATCTTTTTTTCCAATTATAATTAATAAAGTTATACTTCAATATAAGTTTGATTTAGATCAAAGTAGTTTTATTATAATATTAAATAAAATGAATTCATATTTTATTATTAGATATATTATAATCAGTTTTTAAAACTTTTTATATTATAAAGAAATCAAAGATATCGTTTTTATTAAAGATAAGAATATTAAAATTTTCTATATAAAATATAATTGTTATAAAGTAACAATTAATCTGTTTATAAACTTAGGCCTCATCAAAAAACGAAGCAATTTATATACAAATTTGTATAATAAATACTTTATATAATCTCTTTACTCTTAACAAGCTCGGTGTAACGATCTGGTCGAGGTAGCGGCTGCCTGAGGTTTCATATGGTTGGTAGTTGTAGGTTAAGACTAATAATCATTAATTATCCACTCGAAAGTGAATACATTACTAGATCAATTGGAATATAGATAAACTAATAATAATTAAATTGAATATAAAACTCCTAAACTATAAAACTATTCTAACTATATACTAATCTATTTCGGGAGCCTTCAGAAACGTGAACTCCTATAGATTCCTTGAAGCCCTCAGGAGTGTAGGCTTCTCGAAGCTCTATTATGTGATTAGGATCAGACTATATATCCGAGCCTGCTGAAGATAGGGAGACTATATGAAGCGGTTGCCATACAAATTTGTATACAAGTTGCTTTGCTTTTCAAGAAGATCCAAGCTCATAAGGACAGGTTGACTGTTACCCCGTAACATTCTATAAAATGATTTCGTGACACTCGGATATATAATCTGATTGTAATTATATAATAGATTATAAGATTTAAGAGATCTAGAAAATTATATTTTAAATCTATTAGATCTTTATAATTCAATCAATACAAAGATTTATATAATTAAAAAAGAATTTCTTTTGTAAAACTTTATATTCAAAATTAATAATTTAGTATATTTTTGTCACGATTCATGATTAAGATTATAATGTATTGAGAGGCAATAGTCAACCTGTCTATATGAGCTTAGGCCTCATCGAAAAGCAAGGCGATTTGTATATAAATTTGTATAGTAATCGCTTTATGTGGTCTTTCTATCTTTAGCAAGCTCGGACATATAATTTGATTTTAGTTATATGATAAGAAGCCTTAAGAACTTCAAAAGCTCTTAGAGCTTTAGAAGCTTTTTGAAGCTTTAAGGCTTCCTAAAGCTTCTTTATATTCATTAGTATATAATCAAAATAATTTTATAGTTTAGAAGCTTTATACTCAATTTAATTATCAATTAGTTTATTTATATTCCAATTGATCTAATAATATATTCATCTTTAAATAGATAATTAATGATTATTAACCTTAATCTACAATTACCAATTAGACGAAATCTGAGACAACTATTATCTTTATCAGATTGTTACACTTTGAG